CCCCCCGCCCCACGGCTCGCCAGCTTATCCACCCCAAAGCTTGGTTCACCGAAGCACTTGGGCTTTTACTTTTTTTCCCGAACAAATCTATTGTTCGAGAGCGAGCAGGGTTCCAACTTTACCCGGAGAGCCGTACCGTACATGCATGGTTTGGCTCCTAGCTGATAAATACCCCACGTAAGGGAAAAGGGCTCCATCTTCATATCCGTGTTCTGCCATATCCATAGCCCATATAATACGATCCATATCCATATCCATATTTTGCATGTTCCCAACGTCTTCCCCCATGTCAGTCTCGTCTCAACCATGCTGGCTGGTGGTCCACCCTTGTCGGCCCGGGTAGCAGAGACGGGCACAACAGGAGCTTGTTGATACTTATCGCGCGCGCGAGTACACACACAGAGACCGGCCTCCCGGCCCGCGCCCACTCCGACCGGCCCCGACATCCCCGCGATTCTTCGCGCTCGCGCTTTCGGGCTTGGGATCCCTGGGTTTTTCTTCCGGGGGGTTGCGGTGGGAAATGCAACACGGGCAAACCTCCCGGGGACATGGGCAACGCAAATGGGAGCAGCGGAGGTGACTGACTCTGCTGCTGCTGCTGCTGCTGCTGCTGCTAAACTGATGGCTCCTCCCGCCATCTTCCCTTCTTGGCAGCGCCCTCCGTCCGTCGTCGACGCCTCGGCACGGCCCCGCATTCCGTCCTCGTCCTCGTCCCCTTCAGCTCGGCTGCTCCTCATGCCCCCTCTGTCACTTCCTCCCCTGCGATCTGCTACTGCTACGTACTACCAGCAGCCACGCTCTTACTGGCAGTCCGTCCGCGCGAGTCGTGCGTAGCGTGATTGAACGAGCATGGGCGCGGCACGCATAGCATGGGCATGGCATGACGTGGCGTGGCCTGGATCTGGAGAACATACGGTGCGTGTGTGTGTATGTGCAGCAGGTCACGCCGGTCGACGAATTTTTACTCTGTCCTGGCAGATCGGAGGGGCAAAAACGTGCCTGCCATTTACGACAAGACAAATCTTGGTCGGTTCCTGCATCGCGGAGGCGCTAACAAGCGTTCGTCTGGGATGATGATGGCGGGGATCCGGAATGCGAGAAGGGGGGTGGGCAACGGCGGCGATCGGAGTGGGCTCTCTCTCCCACAGGCGGGCGGGCGGCTCCAGCGGCAAGATGCGAAGAAAAAAAAAGATGGGATGACTTGGCAGGTCGGGGTGTCTGCCATGCAGGCCAGCTCCCTCTGCGTTGCGTACGTGCATTCTTCTCATGCATGCATCATGCGTGTGTGCATGTGTGCCTGTGGGTGAGTGTAGATGGGATACAGGACGGGGCAGCAAGCATGTGCACAAGGCAAACAGACCGACATGCTGATAAACCGCAGGCCAGGCACACCCACCATACACAGCCAAACGCGGGGGGGAGCTACCCATCCTGGGCGCCTTGATATGTGTGGTGGCGCTGCTGGTGGTGGTGGTGGTGTGTCTGTTTGCCTGGATCTGGGCCCCGATTGACACATGACGATGAGCGGCCAGCTCTGGAGCTGTAGCTACTAAACCAAGAGGCTGTAGCTAGCTAGCTAGCAAACTTGGCGCTGCTCTGCTTCCATCCTTCCATCGATCGGGCTTCCGTCTGTCCACCAAGATGCGCCTCCTCCGCCCTCTCTCTCACACACACACATCGTAGCCGCAAACCACCAACATCAGACGAACAAGCGTCGACGCCATGCATCCCATCTGCCCGCTACTACTAGCACTGCGCAGTCGGTAATCCCCCCCCCCAAGACGCCGCGTGACATGTGCCATGTGGCTCGCCCCGAGATTTCGCGTGCCTGCCTTGGCCCTGCATGCATTCATGCTAGGGACGGACGTTCTCCGATCCCCCCTCCCCTTCCCCAGCTCTTCTACCTTTTCATGGTGTTAGTGTTGATCGTGGTATTCCTCCTCCTCCTCTTTCCGGGGTACCGCATGCCCGCCTCCCCTTTCCCCGCAGCATGCAGCCCCCTCGGTGAACACATCCCCCGTGGCAGGAACAGCAGAGCAGAGCGCAGCACAGCAACATCAGGCCACTGTCGTCTCACACACCCCTGGAGAGCTACCTTGCGTGGGTAGGGGGATGCTCCCCTCCTCCTCCCCTGGACCGTCACCTCAAGTTACTACAGGCACAGCTATAGCAAAGCCCCACGGCGTTCAACGAGCAACCAGCGCCCTGCCTGCTTATATTACAATAGCTAACGGTATATGTGTGTAAGTTCGTGATGCTTTGCCCATGTCCCCATCCAGTGCGTATGCGCGCCCGTCGGAAAACAGGCCCGCTCGGGAGCTCTGTCTCCCGGTCGCGGCGAGACGCTTCGTGATACCGTCATGAACCCCCCTCCCCTTTTTGCCCTTACTCCAGCTCCCTAGCGGTAGTCATACACTCGACGGACTCGCCTGCAGCCCCTTGGGGGCCCGCCGCAATCTTTTTCAAGCGCACGCGTACACCTTGTTCGAATCGACACGCCACGCCCGGCCCCATCTTCCAAAACGGCTCGTGTCTGTACGTGCGTACCGCATCAATGCGTCACAATCCGCGCCGCCTGGAGCATTAGTCCAAAGATCAGGCCCCTCGCCACCTCCTCGATCTGCAGGCAGTCAAACACCCTGCCCAGGGCCTCGCCCGTCGCCGCCTGGCCCATCACCCCCATTAGCGCAGCCGGCACCCCGCTCTGGATGAGCAGCTTGCGCGCCTTGACCGCCAGCTTCTCCTTTTCATCGGCCGTCAGCTCGGCCGGCCATCCAGCCCGCTCCTGGTCCGTGGGCATCGTGTTCTCCCGCAGCTTGCGCAGCGACGCCGCGATGCCCGCGTCCGACGTGTTGGCGTCCAACACCGACGTCTGGATCAGCGACTGCACCGTCAGCAGGGAGGGGTTGCCCGGCCGCAGCAGGAACGACTTGGCCGCCGTCAGCAGCGTCCGCCGGATGTTCCACGCCGACGAGAGGGTGTACATCTCGTTGATGACGGCGAAGAGCAGCTCCACCGCCACTCGCGTCTCGCCCTCGGACATTTGCGAGTACTGCCGCGTCGCCTTGGCTGCGATGCTCTTCTTGGGCCCGACCGCCGGTGGTGTTGACGCCGCCGGGGCTGCCATTCCTGCGCTTTGCGTGCTGTGGCGACGCGTGTGCTGCATCGTCACCGCTCCATCGCCTGCCTTACCCGGTGACTCCTCGCCATTCACAGACGCCTCGTAATCGGACGTCATCTCGTCCGGTGGCGGCGGCAGCTTGGTAAAGTCAAGGCTGACGGTCGAGGGAGAGCGAAGCGCCGCCAGACTCGATGCCCTGCTGTGCTCTCTGCTAGGTCGAGCACTGGCTGAGGCCGACCCCGGCTCCATCCGCTCTGGACGCCCGACCCTCTCTCCGTCGGCGTCGTGCAGGGACTGGAAGCTGAGGTGCCTCTCCATGGGCGGCACCTTGCCGGGCTGCGTCGAGATGACCGACGACCGTTGGCTGTCCAAGCTGCCACGCTCTGACCGCGCTGGCGATCTTCCGCTGGCGACTGGTGACGGGCCCGAGATGGAGAGGCGGCTGGAGCTTGGTGTCAGGCCCAAGTCCACTGACTGGTTTGTCGACCTCCTGTTCAGTCCCGGCAGGTTGCCGAACACGCCGCTCACATTGCCCACGAATGACTTGCCGCCCTCCACGGCCCCCTTAGGCGCTGTGGTGAGCACGTCGAGCATGTTCTTGCCTACAGTTTCCCAAGCAAACGACTTGGAGTTGCCGTGTGTGTGTCCTTGGGACTTTTCCAAGAATCGCTTCATGCCCTCGCTCTCCGCGAGCGACGCGTACCAACATGCGTCTCGCAAGTACCTCTCCAGCTCTCCGCGAAGAGATTCCCGCGTGTGGATCTTCCAGCTCGGCAGCTCCTTATGCAGCTCCGTGAATGCAGTGGCACCAGAGATCTGAGCGATCCGCCGCAGGATCTCGTGCAGCGTCTCAAAGTCAGAGTATCTCCGTACAATCATCCACCCAGGGTACGCCGTAGATGACGGTTCTACCTGGATGAGGTAGTCCCAGTTCGGTTTGCTCCGGATCTTGCTCGCGTCTCCAGTCGCATCGTCATGGAGGGTAAACGCGGCGTTGTGAAGCGTCAACGGCGCCTTCTTCGGGGGGTCCTCCTCAGAGTTGTCGCCTTGTGCCTGAGGGACGATCTGGTCGAAGCTCGTAAACTGCTGGCCACTCGAGCGCTGAGGGGACGAGTTTTGGCTCGAAGAGCCCATCGTCGACCGAGGCGTGACGGGCGTGTTTTCCACCTCGCCTTTGGACGATGACCCATCTGACGATGTGCCTTGCGGAGTGGCCTTGCTAAATTGGCCAGAGGTCGGAGACACTTCCACCGCAGCCGCCTCCTTCTTGGGGGAATCCGGCACGCCAGCGGCGGACTCCTTGCTGCGATGGTGTCGTATTGGCGAGTCCTGAGAGACCGAACCTTTTCTCGACGAATTGTCGTTTGCAATCATGCTATTCATTCGTTTCATTTCGTCCATTGCCTCCTCCAGCTTCTCGTCGGCCTTGCTGAGCTTCTTCCTGTGGCCGAGGGATTCTTTTCGGCGATTGCGATCTGATTCAGCGCTCGGGCGCCCCGGCTTCGCAATCCCAACATTGCCGACGTTGCCGTCCATGTCCACGAAAACGTTGTTGACAGCATCGCGGCCTGTCTGCATGCCGACATCAATGGCTTGATTCAGGTCCGGCTCCCCGGCCTCGAGCAGATATACGATCCACCCGTTGATCCACTCGGCTTTGCTGCACGTTTGTAGGGTGGTCTCCAGCACCGAGTTGGCCATGATCTCGCGGAGGAAGACGCGAGCAGGATCACACTTTTGCGACCCTTCATCCAGGAACCCAAGCAGGTCTTCCGCGACCATCTTGAACTTGGCAGCCTGCTGCCGCTGGTTCAGCAAGTTGGCCAGCCGAGAATCAGGATTGGACGCCAGATAGTTGTACACGGCATCAGCCGCCGTCATGTTGGTCTCGGGCGGCAAGTCGGCGAAGGCTGCCGCGAGCTCGGACATGAGAACGATGATGATGGATGAGCAGTTGGTGAGGAGGTCCAGGAAGGAGTCGGCGGGTCGCTTCCTCGACATTCGGTTCGAAATAGCCAGGAGATATGAGTTGAGGGTCTTTCGACATGCCAAGGGAAAGGCATGGTCTGCCGGGATGATGGGGCTATACCACCACTTGACGTAGTCCCGAATCACGGCATCGACCAGCCCGCCCAGGGCCTCCCGCGTCTCAGGTCGGAAGTCGTCGAACGCCTTGAACGCATTGTCCTCGTCGCCCTCGCCATCGATGTCCTTGTCGTGTTGAGGCTTGGCTCGTTGGAGGTCGAGCCAGACTCTGTCCAGTATCTCGGGGCCCTTCTCGCCGCGGACCGCGCGCGCAATATCTGGGTTCCTAGCCTCGAGAGACACGAATGCGACGACTCCCCCGACAGCCCCAATGATCAGGAGGCCGACTCGACCGAGGATGGCGTAGGTGATGCCCGAGAAGGCGACGGCGATGCCGGTGAGCGTCGATGGTGTCGCGGTCGAGACGAAGCGAAGGGCCTTGGTGGCCAGGTCGCGTGCCTGGGTCTGGCGCGACTCATCCGCGGGCGGAACGCCTGGCCCATCGTCGCGAGGCTGAGTCGCCGGGGTGCTCTGTGTCGTCGTTCGAGGCGAGGTTGGCGACTGGGGCTGGCTGCCCGGGGATTGCGCGTCATGACCTGGGTTGGTAGACGCCATTTGGCAACGGTCGTCCGACGACGCCTCGATGGCAGGTTCCTCAAGGCGAGCGCGTCGGTGCTGCGTGGAGAACGAACGGCATGTCCAGCTGCAGCCGAGACGCTGGGCGGTGGCAACGTGTCGTATCGGATGAGCCTGCGACGAGGGAGGCGGCAATGCTTGGAGTTTGCAGGAGCGCAGTTGGTGAAGCTCCCCGCCCCCCGTCAAACGGCAAATTCCAAAGCACCCGACCAACAGCACCTCAGCGCCGGCCCATCCGTCAGGGGGGACGGATCACTAATTTTGGAGCGGCACCGCCCTGTCAACCCGCCCCCGGTCGGCGCCACCGCCCCACGGGCGGCCGTCCATGGGTCCGCATCTCACCGCGCAACACGAGATTCACGTACGTTGAAGTCTTGCAGACACGATGGCGTATTAAATTCTAGGTAAATGACAGTTCGGACTCGAGAACGCAATGCAATCAATACTATCAGCCACTCTCCCCATTGGCCGGCTTCTGCATCCACGGACTCCCCTCTCCCCCTGCCAGCTCTCTCCACATCAACAGCAATGAGGGACGAGAAACCAGGTCGGCTTCTCTAGCACTTGAAGAACCAAGTGACCTTCTGCCATTTGGTCATGTTCTTCCTCAGAACCTTGCTGTGGCAAAACTTGTTCTGCAGGCAGTTCTCAAAGCGCACCACCTCCTTGCCGGACTGATACTTTCGCGGCAGCGGCCCGCCGAATTTTCTGCACGAGTCGTAAATGTGGTTGCACTCTGTCAAAACGGTCTTGCGCTCGTAGCAAAGGTCCGGCAAAAACTCCTTTTGGCTGATCTGGCGCTCCTTCTTCCAGGTCCAAGCTCGTGGCTCCAGGCCGTTGGCCTCGGCAGACAGCTCCGGCGTGTTTGCTGTCCCAACGTCGGCCGTGGGCTGCGCGACAACGGCCAGCGCAGAAATGAGGGTAAGAGTAGCGAATGTAGCCTTCATGGTTGCTGTTGTTTGGTTGTGGTTGCTTGAATTGCAGATGAATGAAATTGTGCGGATTGCTGTGTAGACTGTGTAGACTGCTGTGTAGAGCGTGTAGACTGTTGTGATGGCTTCCAAAGGGCGGCTTCGACTGCCCATTATATAGCCATACCGTTACGGCACAGCTGTAGAATGCCCGGGGCTTCTGAACCGGGCCGTCTGACAGAAAAATGATGCTCATTCATGCTGGCTGCATGTGACCTGATCCGTCTGGAAGAAGGATGTCTCTCGACCACGCCGTCACCGCCGTCCGACGGGACGATGATTTCCTTTCATGCTCTCTGAACTGACCCGACTGACAGAAAGATGATGCTTCTTTATGCCAGCTAAGTTCTCCTCGCAATACGAACTGGCATAAAGCCTGAGAAGATTGGCAGTTTTCTGACTGACTCGTCGGCGGCTCTGTCGATACGTACGTCTTACATCGTACTGCTGTAGAGGTTGGCCGAGGGCAAGGAATGCGCAAAGAAGATGCTGATCGAGCAGTCTCTTGGCCACTGCTCACGGGCGATCCAATACATACGTGTGTAGGAACGAAAGCCGAATTCGCGAGTCTCTACGTTTAGCGTGGCCGTCGACACAAGCGTGGTGTTGTAAACGATGGCCGAGTCATTCACTTCCATACTTGTGCATCCCTGCGATTACAGGCCCCGTCACGTGGGTTGGCGTCGCAGCTGGCCGCCTGGGCCGCCACGCTCCACCCACCTGGAATCCAGCGACGCGTCTCCAGTCACCGCGGCAATCTACATCGACTCCACCCAGCTGCGTCACAGCTCCTCGCAGCACACGACGTCGTCGCCTGCGCAGCCATTTGACCGAGCATCATCAAGATGTCGTCCAAGAAGCGCAGCGCGAGTTTCGTCGCCGACTCGGACGAGAGCGACACCGCCGTCGCGCCCAAGGCCAGCAAGAAGAACAAGAATGCCGTGTCGGCCAACGCGCCCGACGGCCGGGACGACGAAGGAAACCCCTTCTGGGAGGTTTGTTCTTTCCGCTGGACATGCCGCTGCGATTTCTGCTCACGCTGACGGACGCTTTGTAGCTCTCGAGCAAGCGCCGCGTCGGCATCTCCCAGTTCAAGAACATGTGCCTGGTTAATATCCGCGAATACTACGAGAAAGACAGCAAGATGCTGCCTGGAAAGAAGGTGCGCGTTGCATGAGGTCCGAGGACATGACTCGAGAGACGGCGGCTAACTGTTGTGGTAGGGGATCTCCCTCTCGATCGAACAGTACACGGCACTGCTCAAGGCAGCTCCCGCTATCAACGAGGCCTTGCGAGCAATGGGCCAAGACGTCGCCGGTTTCGATGGCGCAGGCGTCGCGGACACCGTGAAGCCGAAGAAGGAAAAACCGAAGCCATCCAAGGCCAATATCGACGCAACGAGCGATGAGGAGGAGGACTAGAAGTCTCTCCCGCGTCCCAAGAAGGCGGCGAAGCGCGCCCGCAAAGTCAAGGCTAAGAAGGGCCATTGACGATTCCGCGGATGACTGCATTTGATGGAGTTTCGGCGTTCGAGGGGCTTGCTCTATTGCTCTTGTGTGGCACTCTTGATGACGGGTGCACAAGGTCCGAAGCTTGTTCGGTGGGGATAATGGGCATTGGACGCGACGTCTATTGACTCGGGGAAAAGTCACACCAGACAAATGGGACGGAACACGGTGGCATCTTTGGCCAGATTGCAATTGAAACAATTCCTGCCTCGGTTCAGGCCTTGGCCAAAAAGTATCCCGACGGTCAACGTAAAAGGGTCAGACTCTTGGCATGGCACGAGACCAAGCGCCCAGGTCGCCATGCAGTGCACCTCATTACGTACGCACCCAGCTGTGGCGACTGTTTGAGAACGCCAGCATGGAGACGGGGCTGGCCATTGGCACGGATGAAGCTTGGCGGCTAGGATCAGGAAGCCAGTCTCTGGTCTAGAGCTGCAGCTTGCCTTGATAAAGTAGCGGCCGGAAGTAGATGTAGCTCGAAGAGTTGGGTGTTGTTCGTATTGCGACGTCAGATGGGCAGCATGAGTGGATGGCCGTTTTCGGCACCGGGAAGCACCCAGCGTTAGCCGTTGAAGAGCAGACGCCCGACCCGACGGCAGCACTGGCAGGCACGCGTGGCAGGTGTGGGTGGGTGGGACCCGGGCACGGTAATAATACCTTCTGGAGTTTTGGCCAACTCCTGAACCGGCAGCACTGTGTGGACTGGAAGGCCGCGGCGACTCGCGCCCCCTATCAGCAGCCTGGAGGCCCCCGGGCCCTTACCTATTCTTCTCCCAGTGGGCGAGGCACCTGCGTAGGTCCACTGTCGGGTCCTTCTCCAGCGAGGCGCACCGCCAAGACCCCGCTGGCCCACTGACGTCGTCGCAGACACGGCCGGACTTTCGGGTCGCTGGGCTGGAAGCGCACCGTCAAGTCAATGGGAATTGCATGCAGGTCTTGGCCGTCGTTCTTCCATCCTTCAGCCGCCAGACACGTCGATCGGCGACTTGTCCTTCCTGCTTCTCCTGCTTCTCTTCCTCACACTCGTTTAACCGCCCTCCGGTAGCTTGTATAGTTCCAGTTTTTCGCGCGGCATCGGCTCTAACACGCTGTTCCTTCATCTGGACATAGCCATCATCCTCGTCTTGCACATAACTACTACATTGGCTTGCGCCAGGCTCGCTGGGTCCGCTTTCACGACTTCATCCACCCTCGTCTCGCATTCCCCCGCCAGGATACATTGATCAGTACACTTCTTTTGTCTATATTCCCTCTCGTATTGGCGCGCACCGGCATATTAATGCATCGTCGCAACGGCATCATCTTGGGTACCTCCGCAGGTCTTTCGGAACCGACATCATGAGGCTCTCGTGGCGCCTGGGCCTGGGTCGAAGGGAGACGGTCCACGACTACGTCGGCGTCCTGATCCCGCTCGAGGAAGCGCACCACCACAGCCACTCCGCCCGGACAGGACGCACAGAGTTTGAGTCGCGCCATGATGCCACCGACGATGTGGGCCACGGTAAAGACGAGGACAACGAGGCACATGGCATGCTCGAGATGGACGCTGCCGAGTACACCATCGAGGGGCTACGCCAGGAAACACGCCAGGGTCGCCAAGGACAGTGGACCGAATATGAGAGTGAGTTCTGGCTGCCTGAGCTTCGCGGCTAGGTCGAGTTGGGTCGGGTTGGGCTGGGCTGACATGCAGCAGTCAAGTCGAAGCTCATCAACAAGGCCATACAGGATATAGGAATGGGAAGTTACAACTGGCAGCTGTTTGTTCTCTGCGGCTTTGGCTGGTTCGCAGATAAGTAAGTCCTGCCACTTTGGCCGCGCGCTCTTAAGGCCCTTTGCTGACCGGCCATCTAGTCTATGGCTACAGGTATGCACCGTCTGTGGCACAGCCCGGACTTTTACTGACTGATATGAATAGGGCGTATCTCTCTGTCTTCCATCTTTGTCCGCCGAGTTTGGCATTTCTGAAAAGGCTGTCCGGTACACCACAAGTGCCCTCTTCGTCGGACTCTCGGCTGGGAGCTTCATTTGGGGCATCGGATCCGACTTTATGGGCCGTCGCATCGCCTTCAATTCCACACTCCTCATCACAAGCGTCTTTGGAATCGCGGCTGCCTACGCGCAGAGTTGGGGCTGGGTCTGCTTCTACTTCGCGGCGCTGGGGTTCGGCGTCGGCGGAAGCCTGCCCGTCGACGGCGCCCTCTTCCTCGAGTTCCTCCCGGATGCTTCGAGCGCCCTGCTCACGCTTCTGTCCGTGTGGTGGCCCGTGGGACAACTTGCTTCGTCGCTGGTGGCGTGGTTCTTTATCGCCAACATGCCCGTCGAGCAGGGCTGGCGGTACTTTATCGTCACCATCGGGATCGTCACCTTCGCCATGTTTGTGGTGCGCTTCTTCATCTTCCACCTCTTCGAATCGCCCAAGTTTCTCCTAAACAAGGGACGACAGGCGGAGGCAGTTGCGGTCGTGCATGGCATCGCGTACCGGAATGGCAAGAAGACGTGGCTCACTTGCGACATCCTCGACCAAGTTGCTGGCGACGACAGTGTCGAGGGGACACACGTCACGCAGCAGCTTCAGACTGTCTCGACGGCGAGCGCACTCAAAGAGAAGATTAAGGGAATCTCTGGCGATCGCCTCAAGCCGCTATTCAAGACGAAAAAGCTTGCCGTCGCCACCACTCTCATCTGGTTCTGTTGGGCCAGTATCGGCATGGGCTACCCGCTCTTCAACGCCTTCCTACCACAATACTTTGCTCGCGCCCACGGCGACGCACAGGGAGACCAGCTGCAGTCCGAGACGGCGCCCATCACGGCCGAGACGTACCGCAGCTATGCCATTGCCTCGGTCATGGGCGTCCCCGGCAGTCTGCTCGCTGCGTATCTCGTCGACCACCCTTCTCCCTGGCTCGGCCGCCGAGGGACACTCGCCTCGTCAACCCTCGTCTCCGCCATATTCCTCTTCGTTTTTGTCCTCTTGGGCACCACACCTTCCAGGCAACTCGCCTTTTCCTGCGTCGAGGCCTTTGCCCAAAACATCATGTATGGCGTCCTATACGCCTTCACGCCTGAGATATTCCCCGCCCCGGTCCGGGGAGCCGGCACCGGCGTGGCCAGCTTCCTGAACCGCGTGACGGGCTTGCTGGCACCCGTGCTGGCAGCGACGGTACCGGGCGACGGAGCGACGACGCCCATTTACATATCGGCAGTGCTGATTTTGTCGGCGTTTGTGGCCATGTGTCTAATTCCGATTGAGACGCGGGGCGCACAGAGGCTATGATGACGGCCGCGAATGGTATGATGCAAAGAACGTCGGTTAGAGCCTTCACGGTCATGTACAATAGGCGGCTTTTCTTAGCCGCACCACGGAGTATATTACACGCGAGCGAAGCGGGCGTGCCGTTGCACCTCACCCGGGCTTCACAGAGCATATTTCTGGGCATAGCCAGTTCTTTTGAATAGATCTTAATAAGCGCTTTGTTCTATCCTGCTATTTGCATTTCTTTGTGGGGTTTCTTTGTCCACTTGCCCGCACGTCTATCGGTTCCCTCGGGCGCCACTGGGTGCGTCGATGCGCCTCTTGCGGAACGAAGTGCCCAGTGCGTCTCTCACCATTGGGTCGGCACGGATGGTGTTTTGAACCAGCCACTCGCGCATCTTGCCCTGCAGATTGCCCACCGCTTCGGAGTCGCCCTTGAAAGGCGCAATCTCCATGTCCATCAGTCTCTCTGTATCGGCGTTCAGCTGGTTGGTCACGACCTCGAGCCGCTGCAGGGCCTGCTGCAACGCGCGATCGTCGTCCTGGGCAGCGCGCTGCCTCTGCTGCGTGTGCTCGACGAGGAGGGGGCCAATCTGCGAGAGGGCAATGTACGTCGTGATGGTGAGCTTGCGGGCGAGCTGGATGAACTGGAAGGGGAGGTAGGGCGGGCGGACGCTGAGGCGGGTAACGAGCGCGTTGATGAGGGTGAGGAAACGCGGGAAGGCGGGCCGCGTGACGGCGTGGACTTCGAAGACGCAGAGAGAGATGAGGATGAGCCAGCGGTAGAACTTGCCAAAGTCCATGTAGCCCAGCAGGCCGAGAACGTAGATGGTGGCCGCGGCGACGGCATAGTGCGGCAGCACGCCGGAGAGGACGCCGCGGGAGACGAAGTCGCGGACGGTGACGCACTTTTGCCAGGCGACGACGTCCGGGCCGAAGCGCTCGTATGCGAATCGGCGCGCGGCGTGGAGGAGGGTATCGCTCGCGAGCTTGAGGTGGATGAAGCGTGCCGTGGAGCTGGTGCCGTCGTCGCCGCCGGTGCTGCCCGCCTTGTCCGGGTGGTGCAGAGCGGCGAGGCGGCGGAAGCGCGTCTTGACGTCGCGGTCGGGCGCGCCGGGAGCGAGCCCCAAGTCGGCGTAGAAGTCGGAGGCGAGGCGCAGCTCGTAGTCGGCCTCGTAGATGGTGTAGGCGAGGTATGCGGCGACGACGAGGATGTGGATGACGCGCCGGTGGGAGGCGTGGCGGGGGGAGCCGGGCGCGGGCTTGGGGTCGCCGGCGCGGATGGTGAGGCCGTAGTAGATGGTCTGGATCCACGACGTGGCGAGCTGTGTGCCGCCTTCTGGTTAGATGCATACATGTCTCTCTCTTGTGTGCTCGAGGTGGGAGGAGGAGCTGATGCGATGCGAGTGCGCGGGCGGGAGGAGCCCAGACGCACGTGTGCGACACACGACGAGGACCAAAGTGGGAGGGAAGAGAGACTCACGCCTGGGAGAAAGGACCAGCCCACTATGGACAGGAACTGCGACATCGTGGCCGGGGGCGCGTCGGCGGCATCTGACGACGGAGGAAAGGGGAGGTGGGAAGCGGGAGGGTTGATGGAGGTTTTGGCCAGCGGTGGTGGTTGTTTGCTTGGACGGGGCCAGAGGACAAGCTGTCGCAGTGCGATAAGATACGGCTAGGCGCTGCAGGCTGCAGCCCTGGAGGTGCTGCTGTCAGGGTGTCATTGAGAGTGGGCAGCGGTGCCTGAATCCAGGCCCCGGCGGCAGGCGGGTGCGGCAGTGGCGGGGCCGGGTGTGGGGTCCGGGCACTCGCCTCAGCGGGCTCCGCAGTCAAAGCTAGAATTGGAAGCTCCAGGACAGCTTCCATGTTTCGCCCCCCCGGGGGGGGGTAGCAAGGCGAATCTGGGGAATCGTTGTCCATACGACAGCATTGCCATAAAGAAATATCGAGCCGTAGCTCGCCATCCAGGAATTCATAATTCCCCGGCCGGCGCGCGGTCGGGCCGCAGCGTCAATTCGTCTCCCAAAAATCGTGGTTTACAACGCTGAAGATGACTTACTCCTGGGACAGCGGGGCCTTCAACAAGCCGACATCGGCGCTGTGACTACTGCGCTCACTGCAAAATTTCGGCACACGGTCAAACAAGACCAGTCTTCGCACCAGGATTGCAAGCTCACACCGTGCCGATATGGGAGGCTCTGGTTAAAAGCTGAGCATGACCTTCTCGCAGCGTTGCTCAGAGGACGTTAATTTTGAAAAGTAAAAAAAAAAAAAAAAAAAAAAAAAAAAAAAAAAAAAAAAAAAAAAAAAAAAAGGGCACGGCTGGCGAGCGCCACGCTGAGCGGTGAGCCTGGCGACGCTGCCTGTGAGGCGATGAATGTGGACAGAGACTCTGTGGTTCTGAAACCTGGTTGAGCGTCTGCATTTCATCGCGGCATGTCGGAGATATAATGGAGTGAAGTTTCCCTTCTACGCGGTGGAGTGTAGCAGACAATCTTATATGTACAATTACTGATGTATTTGGACCTCTGACAAGCTAGATAAGAGGAGGTAGCAGCCCTGCATTCAGGCCTCACTTGTCATGCACCAGACCTTATGCGCTTCGGGTCAAAGGCTCGCCCTGCTGGATCTTGGCAGCACCATACTTCTCCAATCGGATAGCCTGGATGGCAATGAATCCGGTGGTGTCCTCGGGGCTGAAGCCTTCAAGGGTGTCCATACTGGCCTGTTCCTCGCTGTACAGGTTGCTTTCAGGCGCAGACCTGGAGAGGACGTGGGCTGCTCCCTTGTAGACCATCATGTCCACTGTACCGTGAACGTGCTTCTGGCTGAAGAGGATGGAGTTTTCTGGTGAATCGTGATTAGCGAGAGCCTTGCTCATGGTAAAACTAGATGACAAACTTACCCAGCAGTTCACGCTCAGGGGAGAAGTACATGCCTAGCCATGTCAGTCTTCAGTTTCACAAAGCAGGACAGGGGAGATAATACCATTGTAGAGGCACTGCGACCACTGGTTCCCAACCCAGGCCATGATTTGCTTGACCTTCGAGTCGACCGTCATACCCTCAATGTCGATGTGTGCAAGCCTGAGCACAGTCAATGCAGGGGAGTCGTACGCTCCACGGCTCTTGAGGCCAATAAAGCGCGACTCGACAATGTCTATCCGTCCAACGCCGTTGCGGCCAGCGATATCGTTCAGGGCTTTGAAGAGCTCAAGAGAGCCCGTCACGGTCTCACCGCCTTCAACCTGGAGTTTGACAGGCACTCCCGCTCGGAAGGTAACGGAGAACTTGGTGGGAACATCGGGGGCGTCGAGCGGGTCTAGATTCCGTGCTGATTAGCCGACACTGCAGCGGAAATGGTAGGGACTTGAAAAACAGCTCTAAAGGAACATACCAACAGTCCTAGTCCAGACACTCTTGGGTGCAGGCACGTCCGGCTTCTCAAGGATACCACTTTCGTAGCTGCAGTGAGCCAGGTTATCTAATGGATTGTTAGAGGCTGCCTTGGTACGGGTGCACATTTGTATACGCACCGTCCTGGGACCACGGTGCCTTGGGGGTGGATGAGACAGGGATGCCATTCTCCGCGGCAAACTTGAGGAGATCTTGTCGGCCCCTAGCGTCATGTTAAAGCTCATTCTTGTAGCGCGCGAAAGAAGCTTACTGGAAACGGTTGAAGAATGCGGGGATCCTCCACGGTGCGATAATGGAGAGGCTCTTCGGCTAGGTTAGCTTTGTTGCTGCGGATGATTGAGCTGCGCAACAGGTACTTACAGGGTCGCATGCCTTCCAGGCAAGTTCGAACCTCACTTGGCTGCGATTTGTCAGTTCTGTGGCAGTCGCCTAACAGCACGCCGAGAAGACGTACTCATTCTACCTGGTGTTAGCGAGGACTGGCAAATAAGAAAATGTGCAAGATTTACGTACGCCCTTGCCAGTGCAGCCGTGGCTGAGAAGCTTGCAATTGTACTTGTGGGCAGTCCGAACTTGAGCGCGAGCAATGACGGGACGAGCCAGACTCGTTCCAAGGAGGTACCTGACACGATTATCAGCTCGGAAGTCGGAGGAAAGGTATCGCAAACGGCACGAGGCCGTGGCGTTCTCGATTGCTCGCAACCGACGACGTCGGGAGCCTGTCGAGTAGGTATGGTCGGACTCACCGGTCCTCGTAAATAGCATTGCCTGTATGTTTGTTAGTATTTCCTCCAATACCGCCCATGCACAAGCATGTGCTAGGAACCGCCCAGACGTACATTGGATGGCCGGGAAGATGAGCTCATCGACGAACTCCTGCTGCAAGTTTTCGATGATCATGCGCTCGGCGCCGAGAGCCAGAGCCTTCTTCTCCACCTCGGCGAAGTCCTCCTGCTGCCCGACGTCGGCGAGGAATGCCTGAAAGCACCTGGGTCAGAGTCGGACCTGACTCGAGCTAGACGACGCAAAGACTCACGACGACGGTGTAACCCTGTGGGAGAGATTCCATTAGCATGTCAATTGGCGCCGTGCAAGGACTTTGATAGCTTCCTACCTCAAGGATAAGCCATTTGAGGATCGTAGAGGTGTCAAGACCTGTGCGAGTCCTTAGCAATCAGGGTTGCCATAGGCGGCCCGACATGTTCGGTCAGGCCATCAGAAGGTAAGCGTACCGCCAGAATAGGCGCTGTGCAGAGGTTCTGTTAGCTCAGTCTGACCTCAATGGTTCTTGAATCATCTTACAGGCAGACTCGTTTGTCGGCAGACATTGTCGATATCGTTGCGTATCGTTGGTTGTTCGTTTGTATGTTGAGAAGAGCAAGCGAAATCGGGCGGTCGGGAATGTTTCCTCGGTTTTGGGGAATGCGCACACAGGTGGGTGACTCACCAACCACCGTTGTGCCTTATTTGCACTGTGAGGGGTTGCGAAACCCTCTCTTGGAGCCACTTCAGAAAATACCCCACCAAGATAACAATAGCTGTATCTGGCGGAGCACGGGGCAAGAATAGTTGTATACAATACCTCCATGAGCAGGTTCAGTTGTCTCAATGCATATTTTACAGTTGAGTAGCAACCCGAAATTCTTTGGCTATCAATCCGTGGTCCGTCGTGCCTTGTATGAATGCCCAGCTAGTGACAGGACCCCAAAACGCTACCAAATTCCCCCGCCCCTAGACAGCCCACCGTAAGGCGGGGTGGTGCCGTCGCTGCCCGCGCCGCGACCCGGCAGTTGGGGGGAAGGGGGGGCCACGTTCGGGCAGTATCCGGTCCCTCGTCCTCACTCCTTCCACTCACTCGCATATCCATCGGCCGAGACGACACCAAAACGGCCGAGACGAGACAACCCAATGCACGCGCGGGCGCGTGGGCGATGAGAATCTAGGGGACGAAGCGCAGCGCAGCCGGACCGGACGACTTGCCCGTCCGCCTGGACCTAGGCCCGCTGCCGCAGCAGCAGTCGCAGCACCAGTAGAGATAGCGCGCGGCCGCGCCAGTTGGAATGCGTGGTGAGTGCCCGGAGCACGCACGCACGCGAGCACACAAGAGGACATGCTGCTGCCGCTCCACCATGTCCTCGCAGCGTCGTCCCTCGTCGCCTACACGTGCCTGCTGGTGACGCTCGCCGGCTTCAAGATGCAGCTCTCACGCCTCCTCGGGCTCGAGGCGGCCATGGCCTCCGCCGCCTCTTTCTCAGGGTCCGCTGCCGCCGCCACCTGCAACGGACACGACGAGCTCTGCGGGCGGCGCTACTCGGACGTGACGCTCATCGGCTCCCACAACAGCGCCTTTGTCGGCGACTCGCCCGCCCACAACCAGTACGTGTCGGTGACGCGGCAGCTCGACCTCGGGGTGCGCTTCCTGCAGGCGCAGACGCAGAACAAGGGCGGCGTCATCGAGCTGTGCCACACGTACTGCTGGGAGCTGGACGCGGGGCCCCTGACGGCGTACCTGCACGAGGTGGCCGCCTGGCTCGCCGCCCACCCGGCCGAGGTGTTGACGCTGCTCCTGACCAACATCGACGCCATCCCCGTGTCCAAGTTCGACGCCGCATTCGACGGCGCGGGCCTGAAGCAGTACGTCTTCCGGCCGCCGCAGGGAGGAGGAGGAGGACGCCTGGCCAAGGACCAGTGGCCGACACTGGCGGAGCTCATCGGCGCGGGCACCCGCCTCGTCGTCTTCATGGACTACCACACGGACCAGTCCAAGGTGGACTACATCATCAGCGAGTTCGACTACTTCTGGGAGACGCCCTACGGCATCACGGACAAGGCGTTTCCAACGTGCGCCGTCGACCGGCCCGCCGGGGGCGACCCCCAGAAGCTCATGGGCATCATGAACCACATGCTCAACTTTAAGGTCGGCGACATTGTGTTCCCCGACCAGCTCGACGCGCCGCGCACCAACTCGCTCGACTCGATACGGAAACAGGTCGACCTGTGCAAGAGCCAGGGCAGGCCGCAGCCCAATGTGATTCTGGTGAGTTTTGCCTCTGTCTGATGACTAGTTGTTGGCGGACGCGGGGCGACTAACACGGCATAGCTGGATTGGGTCAACATTGGCGAGGCGGAAAAGGCGCACTTGGTGTTGAATGGGCTAGCATGAGGCTGCGGCCTTTTATGAATTGCACGATGGATATGAGCTATATGGTTGTCATGGATATGGAAGTTGAACCAAGGGGGGCAAAGGAGGGTTTGCGTGGGATTTGCCGTCCATATATATGCGCGGCACAGGAGCAAGCCAAGCATAATGCCCAGCGGGCAGCATGAAGCTGATGCCTGCGGACCCAAAACTTAAACAATCGAATTGACAAGGATTCTCGCCTTGTTTATGCGAGACGCGAGACGCGAGCCAGCTGACACTTTGACATCAGGCGTGAGTAGAGGGACGAACTGCTTCGTTTTACGTTGTAACATGAATGCATCGCGCCGCCAAAACGGGTGTCAGTGGATGGCCCTCGTAGGGCACACTGACCTGGCCGATTGCTTCGCCTTCTCGTATGACTCTTCGCTGCTAGCCTCGGCCTCAAATGGCACCGTGGTGCAGAACTGGCAACCCCACGGGGGCGACTGCGTCCGGATACCCAAAGGCCACCATGACCGGGTGTGGACCGTTCCGCGCTCCCAAGTGACTCGGCTCTCGTGGTCGACCGCCAAGAGCCCAAGACCGTTAGAATTTGATCTACCGAGACGGGCCAATATATGCGATGCACTGGCGCTGGTCTTGGATCAGCTCGTATATCATTCGGACCAGATGATTGGTATTTTCCAACAGACTGCGATTGATGCTGTTTCACTACAAGAGACGCCCCCCCCCCCCCGAGTCATCGCTCCAAAGAGCCTTGGAGACGTACTGCGGATGACAGCCACATGGCTTGGAGTATCGGCCAAGACCGTTGTTAGGGTTCCATCAAACAGAGATGACCTGCTCGAGCTGTCCGTGGGATTTAGATGTTTTCTCAGGGCGGTACGGGAATCCACCACCGCAATAGAATGTAGCTAAGGAACTTCGACGGTGCTTGCCATCGCGTCGCCTTAGCAGCCGAGACGATGTATTTCTCTTAGCCCTTCAAAGTCGACAGTACCAGCCATCCTCTGGATTGAATCTCAATACAGCTTTGCTTTACTGGGATTGACCAAACGATGAACCCTACCGCCCAAGCATTTTGACGCTTCAGCCATCACGCCCGGCTAGGGGGACATGGGCTGGTTCAACGTTGGCTGCTGCCCTTGAGCCGACATGTGCAACGGCGTATACCTTTCCGCAGCTTGCCGCGCGAGGAGCTAATTCCGTCCTCTACGGCAACTGGTCGTTCGCCTCGGACGTCGGCTTATGCTTATTATCAGTGAGGCTAGCCCAGCTTACCCCGGCCTCGGCAGATGTGCTCCTCCCTGATCTGAATCCTGGGGCGATGCAACAAGGGCCCACACACGTCGAAGGATTAAACCACACACAGGGCACAATCGCTGGCCGCCAAGTGCGCCCCAAGTTTCCAGCAATCAATGCAAGGCAATGAAGCTGAGGCGCAACCCTCCTCCTCGATGCCTGCGCCAGGTTTTCTTCCCTCCGTCTCTCTCTCCCTCTCACGGGGGGGCGATCGCCTCTCTCCGGGTGCTTTGACCTGCTGGTCGCTTTTGGAAGCTCAGAGCCCGGACGACATGGACACCTGCCGTGAAGAGGATAGTCGGCCGCAAGTTGTTGTTGTGAGGACCATGGTTCTCGCTGCGCGGGTAGAAACATCGAGTCGGTTTTCGTCGGTCCGCGAGGGCGGAATGGCATTCGAGCGGGAAAGAAATACTCGGAGCATCGTTGAGAGTCATTGCTCTCCTGAGATGAGAATGAGCGATTGCTCCAGTGCTGTCGGCGCCGTGTGCCTCACGCAAGGTGCTCTCATCCACCACGATGTATAAAGTCGAGCGCAATTCACCTCGCAAGAGTGTCTACCTCAGCAAGAAACACAGTTCATCGTTTCAACTCACATCTTTAGCAGAACTCGTTGCCCCTTTCCCACATCATCACCATGGTTTCTACGCTTTTCGTTCTGGGCATCGCCCTCATCCCAGCCGTCGCTGCTGCTCCTCCTCCTTCTCCTCCTGTCAGTGCTGTCAAAGCTCCTGGAGAAAATATCGTGGGCGGCACTCCTGCCCGGGCCGGGGAGTTTCCGTACATCGTCTCGCTCTCGCGCCGGGGCAGGGGACACTTCTGCGGCGGGTCTCTCCTTAACGAGGACACCGTCGTCACTGCCGCTCACTGTGTTGTGGAGGCCGACCCCGGCAGCACCCTCGTCCGCGCGGGTTCCCTCAGGGCCTCCGGCGGCGGTGTCCAGGTCGGCGCTGCGTCGTTCATCGTCCACCCAGGCTACAGGGGCTCGCCCGAGGGAGGATCGGACATTGCCATCATTAAGCTCGCGCAGCCGATCCGCGCCAGCGGCAATATCGGATACGCGAGCCTCCCCTCCGCGGGCTCCGACCTCCGTGGCGGTACGCTCGTCGAGGTCGCTGGATGGTACGTTTAACCTAGATGCCCTCTCCGGACCGCTAAAGACACCACATTGCCCCGTCGCTAACAAATGTACGTCAGGGGCGCCACGACAAGACAAGGCACCATGCCAAGTGACGTCCTTCTCAAGGTCGAGGTTCCCGCCGTTGAACGCACCAGCTGCAATCGGGCATGGAATGGGAGAGTCGACCGCACCATGGTCTGCGCTGGTGAGGTTCAGGGCGGCGAGGACTCGTGCTACGGCGACTCGGGCGGCCCTCTGGTGGATGCCCGCAGCCGTGTGCTGGTCGGCACAGTCTCTTTTGGCAAGCCATGCGCCCAGCCCAACTCGCCCACCATCTACGCCAATGTGGGTGCCCTGCTGGGCTTTGTCACGGGCAACATGTAACGGAGCTGCAATGTTCTGGACGTTTCCGGGCTGCGGGAGCTCACTGTGTCGAAACGAACGTTGATTCAAGCAGGGTCTGGGACCTCTTTGTACGCCAATTGTTTTCTGGTATATAACTTAGCAACCAGACTGAACATGTTGTGATGCCTTGGAAGAGTGTCAGTAATAAGCCTGGTCGCACCGTAACAGCGCGCTTGCTCCTGGTGCCTGGAGAGGCCGTCTGCTACACTACGCCATACTTGATGCAACAGATGTACTAGTACGAATCAAACAAGGAGGCATGGCGACTTTGTCACGGCTTTCTTGCGTATCATGGGGATCAAGGTGTCGTAGTCACTTACATGTAACTCAGCTGTGGCTATAATTAGCAATACTCGCGTCAGGAGGAGCTACTACTACTACTGTGCCTTGGCGATTGGGCACTCTTAAACCCGAATCAAGGCCCAAGGTAAGCACATTATCCGATTCAAACGCCTCCCGCTTCCAATCCCAACCGTCCAGGTGCAATGAGCGAGGCTGACCCAGGGCCAGAGCAGCCGGCCAAGTCGACAACGTGGAGATATAGTTGTTCATTCTGACAAGAAGTTTGATGCGCGGCGTGGTAATAAAACGCAATGAATGATCCTGGCCGCATTGGTAGACGACAGCCAATATTCCTTGCTGCTCGGACCACCGCTCATCATTGTCCAACCTGGGCAGAAACATGGGTTTACAACGCGATTGCCAGCGCGTCGATTCAACGAGTTTTCCAATGTACGCCTCGAGGCTTCGGTTGTCCATGTCTCTCCCGCGCGTGGTGTTCACTGGTCATCAACATGACGGAGCATAACGAAGGGGTGGGTCTTTGGCTGCCGAGATTTGGCGCAAGCGGGGGCGACGGCGGCCCTGCATGAAGATGCACCGAATAGGTGGACAAAAATGCAGAGCCGGCGCGGGTGTCAAGTTTGCAGGCGGCGAATCACGGACGGCGCATTTGCGTTCAGGCGCGCAGGGAGGCGCCGCACCGCAAATTCAATGGATCGCCGCCCGCCTCCCAGGGCTCTGCGAAGCTGGTCAGGTGTCGCGTTGCTGCAGTCTTGTCGCGTCGTTGTCGACCAGCTTTGAGTCGATCCAAGCACAACAACAACGTGGCTTGGACATGGCGATGTGCAAATGCCGCACCACAAGATTCTCCAGGAGGGGGTCCGGCAGACGGCAGCGTGTAGAGAGCCCAAAAGCATCAGGGCGCGCTGGGGTCTCCGCGTGGCCGTCGCCATCGACGGGAAGGCTGCGTCATTGCGATTCCAGCGGCCGCGACATGGCCACGGCTCCAGCATGCCAGCCAGCTGAGCACCAGCATGAAGCGGCTGCTCCGCCTCCCTCTCGTCGATGCCGACAGCTGGCCCCAGCTTCCGACACCTCGGCGCGCCACTGCATGACGGACCGGCGGCGAGCCCACACTCCGGCGAAATTAAGTAGCACCGCGCCTGGTGGTGGTGCTCGACGGGCGCCACTGCCCTGCCCTGCCCTGCCGTGAGGGTGAGGGGACGGGGAAAGAGCGATACGAGCGGCCGCCCTCCATTTCCAAGTGCCCGTGACAGGGGGGCGCCGAGTTAAAGTTGCCGTCCCCTGGGGCGGGCGGCGTCCATGTGCCTTGGCCCGACCAACACCACCACCTCGCCCAATCTCAGATTGGACGGGCGCCTCCCTCTCTAGCATCCAGGTGTCGTCGACTGCTTCTCATTCCGCTTCCTTCTTGCACGCTGCAGCGTCCTTGTCAGCTCGTCGCCTTTCGACCCTCGCCCCCGTCCCCCCCATCTCTGCCCTCCTGCGTCTCGCGCAAGGAGAGAGACAGCAGTCGAGTAATACCCATGCTCCTCGGGACAATCTGGCGCGGCGCCGCGCTGGCGGTTGCGGGTGAGTTCCAACTATCCTTCCCCCTGTCCCCTGCTCTCTCTCTCCCTCTGTCCCAGAAGCTCTCCTGGAAACGGCGCCTCGTTGCAGCACTCCTCTACCGCCGCCGCCGTTGTGTATAATACATCAATACGCCGCCTTGCGGGCGCGCCTGATTTACCCTGCCCGTTCTACGCCCAGAGACTCGTCACGTCACGTCCATGTATAAAACGATGCCGTTACTGACAACGATGCTCCCCCTCCCGCAGCCCTCGCGCCCGCCGTCGCCCGCGCCGCCGATGACGCCGACAACCCGCCCGGCCAGTCGACCTTCGTCTCGCCCGACGGCGACGTCGCCTTCGCCTTCACCGTCCCCGAGCACAACAACCTCGACGTCTACTTCAGCCTGCGCGTCTCCCTCGACAGCGCCTGGGGCGGCGTCGGCCTCGGCAGCGACGACATGAAGGGCGCCCTCTTCCTCCTCCTCTACCGCGACTCCCGCTCCGACTCCAACGTCACCTTCTCCCCGCGCGTCGCCTACGGCAACTACGAGCCCGAGTTCTACCCGGACCTCAACTACGAGGTCCTCAACGGCACCGGCGTCCGCGACGACGGCTACATGTACTTCAACGCAAAGTGCATCGAGCACTGCCGCAGCTGGCCCGCCCGCGGCACGGGGAGCGGCTACATCGACGTCTCGTCGCCCGCCTCAAACGCCATCTACGCCGTCGGCCCGCGCGAGAGCTTCCGCAGCGCGGACCAGCGCGCCAGCATCAAGTTCCACCGCGAGTTTGGCGGCTTCACCATCGACATGCAGCATACCCAAGGCAGCGCCGACCTACCCGTTCTCAACGCAAACTCCAAGAATGAGGGCGTCTCTTTCGGCTGGCGCAAGACGGGCAAGGCCGATGTCAAGGCTGCCCTGCACGGCGCCTTCATGGTCCTGTTCCTCGTCGTGCTCTTCCCCGTTGGCGTCGCCTTCCTGCGCCTCGGCCAATGGGCCCGCTGGCATGCCGTTAACCAGACCGTCGCAATGCTCGGCGTCTTTGCGGGCTTCGCTCTGGGCGTCGTGACGAGCTTCAACTACCAGAGGGTGAGTATGCGCTGAACTCATTGGAACCCATGGAACACAGTGTTGAATTCCGTGCTGACTTTATTACGCACCCTAGTCTCGCGGGTTCCGCCACTATCACCAGATCCTCGGGTTCATCATCGTCGCCTTCATCATTGGCCAGTTCGTACTCGGCTTCCTCCACCACACCGAGTACCGCAAGACGCAGGCCCCCACAAAGTTTGGCAGGATCCATCTCTGGCTGGGCCGCATCATCATCTTCTTCGGCGTCCTGAATGCCTTCTTGTACGTGCCTCTTCGTTCCGCCTGCAAGCTCGGGTGCGCTGACACATTCGCCTCTAGTGGCTTCTCCTTCGCGCTCGATAACAAGTATGGCATGATCCTCGCCGGCCTCCTTATCTTCATCGGCTTCGTCATGCTCTTCTTCGTCTTCGGCCGCGGCTACCTCAACAAGAAGAAGCGCGTCCAGCTCGCCAACGGCCAGCCCGGCGCCAACACGAGCTACCAGCCGCACCCCTGGCGGCAGGACTACCACCCCGCGCCCCAGTCCAGCAACCCGTCCGACCCGCCCCCGGGCTACGAGCCGCCCTCGCAGCACATCGGCCTGCAGCCGGTGCCGGCGAGGTCAACGTCGCCGTGGAGGAGCGCAGACAAGGACGACGAGGACCCGGGACTGGGGAGCGCCCAACGGCCGCGAGAATTCGCATGAGGATGGTAGTCCGACTCTCGGCGAGCAGAATCGAGCTTCGGAACGGTTTGACAACAGGGAGCAAGCGAGTATTGTTTCATAGCGGGAACCGCGCACGCGACATGTCTTGTACTATACTGTCTTCGGGTCATATCTAGGCGTTCATGTCAGAGTAGATGTAAGGATTCGCAAACTGGTCAGGCCTCTAAATGGAATTGGTTCCTTGAGGATGCGTCGGTCTACGACGCGCTTCCTCGTCTAATTGTGTGTCCCGGGGGACTCTTCGTCTTGTTCGTCGCCCTCGAGCCATATCTCATGCCCGTCTCCTTCCTTGACTAGCAAGCTGGCCAGGCACGCACAAATGGCGTCGCAGGCAAGTGCCCAGAACACAAGCCCGACGACGCCATTGCTGAGCCCGAAGCCGTACACCACACCGCCCACCATGGGGCCTATGGTCCTCGCTGCGCTGCTGACGCTCTGCGATATGCCGTGGACGGTGCCCAGGACACTGGGATGGGGCGAGCAGTTGTTGACGAGGATGACCTGGCTGGGGAGCGCAAACGTCCTTCCAGTCACCTGTATGAACAGCAGCCCGATGATGGCAACCCATATCGCGGGCCCGGTCTTTGCTGACGGCGGCGCCGTGGTGCTAGGCACGACGGACAGGTACGGCACGAGAAAGTACGTGAACGGGAAGCAGAGCAAAAAGTACCGCCACGACTTGAGGGTGCCGAGACGTGCCGATATCCGTGGATAGAGGAACAGCTGCATCGTTATGCCAATAGCGCCCAGGATGGCCATGGCAATTCCGACTGACCGGGGGTGAAGGCCGATGCCACCCGTGAAGAAGAAGGGCAGTCGGGGCTTGTGGTCGGATTTCGCGGGATCCCATACCGGCGTCGACAGAAACACGAACCACAGGGAATTGAAGGTCCCAACATGAAAGTTTAGGAAGAATTGCGCAAACAGCGTCAGGGCGACGTTCCGGGTGAAGATGCGACGGAAGGCGAGTCGCTGCGTGTAGCGCTTGACGGGGGGTTTGACGACGGCTTCCTCGCCATTTAGCTCGACGTCTTCGGTCAGGAGACTCTGGTAGTCTCCGCCTCTGTCCGATCTTTTAAACATCCCCTTGACACTCCTCGTGAGTTTCTTGCCCAGTCGGAATCCGAGGTCTTGGGTGCCATCGCGCAGGGAGTCGAGTGTCTCCTCGAGGCCGAGCCACACAGCGACGGCGGCACACAGAAGGAAGAAGGACGATACAATGTTTGGAGTGGCATAGGGGAACTTTTCGAAGAAGGGCACCCCTCCAAAGACGTCGGGATAGCTGCCCGCTGGATCAGAGAGTATGCCGCCGAGGATTGGTCCAATGATGACGCCGATATTGAAGGTCATGGGTAGGAGGAGGAACGCTCGAGCCTGGAATTTCTTTTCACGGATGATCTCGCTGATCCTATGTTGCGTCAGCCTTCATCTCTCACCTATGCAGAGAACCCCCTCTCTCTCCCTAAATTTTCCGACAACTTGTCGTTGAGTGAGGAGAAAACGGTGAGTAGCTGGGCACTTACATGGTTCGCATGACGCCGATGTTACCGTTGGTCATGCCGCCTAGTGTGCGAAACACCAGCGCCTGCCAAAACGTTGTGGAGAATCCAAAGCCCAGGCACGACACGCTCGTACCCAGAAGGCCTACCAGCAAAACGGTCTTGCGGCCGGCGCGGTGCGAGTCGGCCACGCGGCCCCAGAGCATGGCCGTTAGGAACTGCGCAGCCATGAAGCTGGCGTGCAAAACCCCGGCTTGGCTCGAGATGGTCGCATCGGGAAGGGACGGGTCGAACCACTTGAGCTGATAGAACATGTACGACTGGCATTGTGTCAGACGGAGCGTCTCCGGGTGGACACGGAAGGCGAGTTGTTGAGAGGGTATGATGGGGTTGGTGTTGAGCAGTAGTGGAGGAGCTGCGTGAGACTTACCTGCAACGAGGTCTGTACAAGGGGCTCACTCATACGGGCCAGTGTGATGATGACTAGCTGGTCCTTCCGGGGCAGCTCGCTCCACGCCACTGGTTTTCTGCTGTGGGCATCCTCCTGTTGAGACGGCAGGGCAGCCGGAGGGTCCCGGATGGCGGCTTCGTCGCCCTCCGCTACGGCAGCGAGGGACGGGCCATTGGGGCCATTGCCTCTTGAGCGGGCCGCCACAGGCTCTCTCGGGAAATCGAGGAGCGCGTCTACGTCGGAGTCGCTGTCGGAGTCGTCATGACTGCTATGTTCTCTCATTCAGCCCGATGGCGGCGTCGCTTAATGCCGAGACGCAGACGGTCACGTTAGTGGCGGGATTGGCGTCGAGTCGTCAGAATTGCAGTACTGGGGTTACGGAGGCAGTCAGATGGAGACGAAGGAACGAGTTTGCCGGCCGTCCTGCACAGTGGGCGGGGTCGGGGGGTTTTTGTTGATGTTGTGGTGCTCGAAACGGAGAGCACAGACGGTGTAACAGTGTGAAGACGGTCACGATGGCTTTCAGACCCAACGGCGAGCACGTCAGTTTGAAAGGCGATGCCCTGCGCGCCTTTGTCGAGGTCGCCGCCAATGAGCGACCGTCGCTAGTACGGCCTACGGCTCTTTCATCCGATCGCTCCTTCCTCTCGAACGGATCAGGGTTTCCGCCCAACGGCAGGCGCGAATGCCGAACTCGGCGCCGAAGGGGCAGCCACAAACGGCGCTCGTGCCTTCCTCTAGGCGGGCTGAATGCCGCCCTTTCTTGTTGGTCATGTTCAAAAAGCAGCTCCGGTGGGAACCAGAGATGGATATGCATATTCATCACATCTGAGAAGACAGATTGGGGTCGAGGAGCGTTGTCTGGGGGCAGGGCGGCGGGAGCGGCGTTTTCAGGCCAGCGTGGGCCGCTACGTTGGCGCGGAGGCGGCCGCGCCCGGAGGGGTCCGGCACCGGCCAGGGCTCCGCCCCCGCGGAAGGCCGGCCCTATGGCCAGCTTTCGAGGGGCTTCGGAGCTGCGCAGGCGCAACGGCCGCTCGACATAAAGCCGCCGTCGACTTCTCTTTGTCGCCTTTGATGTCTCTCCAAGCCACGGAAGAAACTCTGCTGGAGTCTTGAGAGCCGGACAATTTGGCGCGGGTAGAGAAAAGAGGAGAACAGACGCTGCACAAGGATCACAACACGCCAAAGGTCACACTCGGCCAGTCGCACGACAGCAACTCATCTCGGCCAGAGTCAAGCGGCCACGATGGTCGTCACCGTCAACATCGGCAGCCGCAAGGTGCAGGTCACCGCCCAGCCCCTCTCACACGAGGCCTTTGCCCCGTTCGGCAGCGTCATCGCCAACCCGCGCTCCGACGTGCACCCCTCCGCGTTCGCCGCCCACGCCGCGTCGCTGCCGCCCAACGCCTTCTCCGCCAACCAGGGCTCCGCCATCCAGTACCGCAATGTGAGCCGCGTGCGCAACCTGTACTCGCAGGCGCCCAGCGGCGGCCCCGGCGAGGCCGTCTTCAGCATGTTTGTCTGCGCCGCGAGGGAGCTGGCCCCGGCGCCCGGCAGCACGGAGGGCACGCCGGAGGACCTGTTCTCCGTCAAGGTGCTGGAGCGCCACCCGTTCACGACCCAGACCTTTGCGCCGGTGTCTTCCTCGGCCGAGACTTACCTCGTCGTCGTCGCGCCCAGCCTGGCGCCCAACGAGGCCGACAAGGACCTGCCCGTTCCGCAGGGCGCCGACCTACCCGGGAGGGGGCTGCCAGACTTGAGCGGGCTGGTGGCATTCGTGGCGACGAACGCCCAGGCGGTCACCTATGGAGCAGGAACATGGCATGCACCCATGGTAGTCTTGGGAGACGAGGGCACGACGCTGGATTTTGTGGTGTCACAGTCCATGAGCGGTGTACCCGTGGAAGACTGCCAACTGGTGGAGTTTGAGTCGGACAGCGGGCACGAGCCACAGATTGACGTGAGGATACCAAAGGGGAGAAGGGAAAAGCTGTAAGATCATTAAAGGCGTCTTTTATCCGTTTCACTACATAAATAGGAATAGAGCCGGCATCAGCCCACAGTTGGTTACCAATTTCTCGCTTTGTCTGGTGAGAGATGCGAACCTGATTTCAACTTGGTGATCCACTCAACCACTCCTCTCTCGGAAAACACATGCTCTAAATTCGCCCGACTCGCGACATCGCAGCACTTTGCGAGAACCTTGGCCGCCTCTCAAAGTCACGTAACGCCATTACAACTAGCAACTCATTTCCGGCTCCGACTGACGGAGTCTGAGCCCCATCGTCGTGTATATAGCCGGATCAAAACGATACGCAGATTAGTCATCGGTGACATCCCGTGTCAAGACAAAGGCGCCATTGGTTCGAGCCCCGACTCCTGAGTCTTTAAATAGAACTGCTTGACGATAGCCTCATCCTATCTCGCTACTCGGTATCCCAGGCATAAGGAAAAGCAGTCACTATGAGCGACAAGGTGTCCTCGACGGACGCGCATAATAAGCTAGAGGACCTCTCTGGCATCGCGCTCAAGCCCGGCGAAAACCCGTACGCGGCTTTCATCAAGGCCTGCCACAACAGCCATGTACGTCGAGCACATGAATTGAAGGAGACCCTCTAATGATCGATGATGCAGGAGGAAATCCAGCAGCTGTACTCGGTCCATCGTACCAGGCGTAACGCCCAACAAAAGGACAAGTTTCTGTCTCCTGACTTCAGCGGCCTCATCATCGACCAGCACCTGCTGAAGCTGGAGAGACCGCATATCGAGCCCGGCTTTCAAGATGAGAGGAACTGTCTCGTCCTGTGGGCGCGGCCGCCGATTCATGTAATTCAGTTGGCTGAAAAGCTGCAAAATATGCTCAAGGCGGCTGCTCCAGGTAGGGGTGTCCCGAGGTTCTCATTTGCCGACGCACGGCGACTAACGGTAATCAGGCGTCTGGCTGATGCCGACGTACCGGATGCATCTCACCACTCTTGAAATCACTTTCTCCAAGACGCCCGAGGAGATTGGATCGCTGGTGTCCGTCCTCCGTCCGGCGCTCCCCTCCATCACGTCTTACACGCACACCCACCGTGCGCGTCTGGTCAAGCCCATGATCTCATATGACCTCTCAGCGTTTGCGGTCTCCTTCCTGCCGGCGTCGGGTGAACTGGCAACCTCGCCAGCTGCGACGCAGCCTGATCCGCAAGATGGCGTCACCTCAGGCGACGACTACACATACCACCACCTGCGGCGAGACATCTTCGACCAGGTGTGCGACGCAGGTCTCGAGGTTGGATCGCGATACCAGGTCCCGAGCGCGCACATTACTCTCGGGCGGTACCTGGACGGGGCTGAGCATGACACTCCGGAGAAAAGGGCTAGCTGGATCAAGGCGATTGACGAGATCAACGAGTGGCTCGAGAAGGAGGTCTGGGATAAGTCGGACGCCGAGTTCAACGGAGAGTGGGTTGTCGGACAGGAGAAGGGTCTTGACGCTCGCAACGGAACGCTGTGGTACGGGGGTGGAAGAACCATCATGATGGGCGAAGGCTTCTAGACGTAGACCGATAGAGTAGACCAGACATTGGATAGACACGCTGGTCATGATCAAGTGAGGGAGCGGCAGCTCAATGGTGGTTCCATTCGACCTGTTTGTACTGGCCCATTGTCACATCCGCCGTCCCGAGTGCTCGCCCTCTGCCTCTCTAGAAATGACCTTTTCGCCCTGGGTGGCCGAACTGACTGCCACTCGAGTTGCCAAGTCGCCGCACGCGTACTCGTCCGTAATGCGTGACACAGAGAACCGTTTTATTCATTCCCTATGAACCCATCCCCAATCGAGGATTTGGTATCCCCCTTCGCCAGCGTCCATGATGCCCAAATGCCGCGAGGAGAAGCACGAGAAATGGAGTGACCCGAAAACAATGCACTTAGAACACCAGAGCCGCACCCTTCGTCTTCTTGTCGCCACTGTACGCCGCCTCGTTAGCACGCCGCCTGACCGCGTTGGTCGTCGGGGGTGACCCGGATTCACGTACCCAAGCTCAAAGTGCTTGCATCGCTTCAGCGCCAGCTGGCACTTGGTCTTGCACTTGACGCACTCCAACCGCAGGACGACCTTCTTGGTCGTCTTGGCCTTCTTGTGGAAGACGGGCTTGGTCTGACCACCATAACCCGACTGCTTCCGGTCGTAACGACGCTTACCCTGGGCGAACAGGGAGGCCTTGCCAGCCTTGTACTGGGTGACCTTGTGCTGCGTGTGCTTGCGGCACTCCTTGCCCTTGCAGTAGGTGTTGCGGGTCTTGGGAATGTTGACCTGTGCCGGCAGGGTCAGCAGCTGTTTGCGACGTGGTGACGCGGGTCGATGGCCCTCGAAGTCGCAGTCGGTCGCCATTTGCACGAGACAGTCCTCGACGCGCGAATCTGGTTGTATCGTCGTCGGAGTCGAAGGTGTCGTCACGAGCTTCCTCATTACATGCCGTGGCCGTCGTCATGCTCGCTCCGTTCGTGCCTCCCCCGCCTCGCATTGATATTCGAAAGTTTGTCGAAGACTGTCATCGCGTGCTGGCAACCGCTCGTGCGCTTCGAGGAGCGTAATCGCCCTGTGATTTTGGATACATCAGACGGGATTGGGGATCGCAGCGAGACGTACCATCTTGACGACGTTGTGCGGTGTCGTTACTTGGTGTTTGGTGATGCAAAGTTCCCAAGATGGAGCGAAATTTGGGAGGTTTTGGTGATTTCTCGCTTTGTGGGAAACTAGGGTAAATGGTGGTCCTGATTGGGCCATGAGGCTAACGGTGGGGCCGAGCCACTCGCTGCCTCGATTCCAGGGCTGTGACTAGCGAACGGTGCTGACATAATGGGTCGGCTGCATTTATGCGGTGGATAATCCACAGTTGTGCATTCATGGTGGGCTTGCATTGAGGCGCGGGACATCGACCCGAAACGGCATCAAGAACCAGGCTCGCAAGCCGAGGAACGCAATTGATGCAAGGCTTCCGGGAACTTGAACTGCTCGTCCCCTGCACAGTTGCCGTTTCGATTCTGCCTAACCTCCTATGCAGTAACATGCCTGTTGCGCAAATTGGAGTGCAGCGTGCCGACGTTCTTCAAATGTAGTATCGCATCTCTTGGGTCCGTCAATGACTGCGTTTATATCCACGAGGCAGTCCAAACTTTGCAATGGGCTGGAATACATCTTCGCAAACATCAAGGTTCAGTTTGGCTTGACGTTCATGTCAGAAGTTGACCACATCATCAGCACGGGTCCATGTTAGTGGTTGTGCACATCGGCAACCCGACTTGGCTTGGTGGCTATACACCGGCTAAACCAAGTTTCCCGGAACAACCAGTCCGAGGGAGTCCAGCAACACAACAGCTCCAACTGCCCCTGTTTGGACGTGGACCCCACCATCACGACCAGGTGTCACCAACTCCCGCCTACAGGACACTTTACGACGACACTGCCGTCGCAACCACACAGCCCACCATGGACCCCTATTCCGCCGAGGGCGAGCTCATCAACATCCACAATCACTTCCACCAGGGCCAGTACCAGGAGGTCGTCGACTTCGACACGTCCTCCTTCTCCCCCGAGAACGCCCTGCCCGCGCGCGTCCTGCAACTGCGAGCCCGCATCGCCCTTGGCCAGGCCGAGGATGTTCTCGCCGACGTGAAGGGCGAGTCGGTGCCCGATCTCGAGGCCCTCGGTGCCTTTGCAGAGTACACCCTTGGCAAGACCGACGCCGCGGTTGCGACGATCCAGAAGCTCGCCCAGTCGGCGGCGGACAACGTCACTGTCCAGATCATTGGCGGGACGGTGCTTCAGGCGTCGGGCAACTCGGACGATGCTCTGGCGCTGCTGTCGCAACATCAAGCAAGCTGTAAGCCTGCGATTGGGAATGGTTCGCCGTCAAGATACTGACTTGCGCCACAGTGGAAGCCGTTGCCTTGATTGTGCAGATCCACTTGCAACAGAACCGAACCGACCTCGCTGTCAAGGAAGTCGCCGCAGCACGGAGATGGGCGCAAGATAGCCTGTTGGTCAACTTGGCAGAGTCCTGGGTCGGACTGAGAGTGGTGCGCAATATGTCCCCTTCATGCATTGATCCGTATTGACAGCGAATTAGGGCGGTGAGAAATACCAGCAAGCGTTCTACGTCTACGAGGAGCTCGCTCAGGCGCCATCGACCGCATCGATACGGAGTCTGGTCTCCCAGGCCGTGTGTGAGCTGCACCTGGGTCGGCTAGAGGAGGCGCAGACCGCTCTCGAGCAGGCGCTGCAAAAGGAGCCGGGATACGTCGAGGCGATTGCCAACCTTTTGGTGCTCAAGGTTGTTTCTGGAAACGATGCTACGGAGTTGACAGAGTGCGTCCCCAATATTTTTGCTGTTGAGGAAATTGGCTAACTTGTTTGCAGGTCTCTGAAGAAGGCAGAGCCCAACCACCAGTTCCTGGTCGATTTGGCAGAGAAGAGCGAGCTGTTTGACAAGGCGGCGGCCAAGTACAGCGCCAAGGTGGCCTCATAGATATCGGTAGAACCATCCTTGATACGAGCATAATGATAGGCGCATGACGACCAAAGGCCGGAAAACACTCGAGTGATTGCTCAATTAATTGACCCTATCCCCTGCCAGTTGTGTTTGTATAGCAAATCTGTGAACCCCGATCCGTGCAAGCACCCTGCCTTACTGCCTCAATTACCCGACGCAAAGCTTATAACCAGCCTCGCTTTCCTAGTGTCCGCCCCTGCAGTTCAGCGTTCCCCCACGCTAAATCCACTGCCAATTCTGCTCGGCTCTGATCTCGTCGCGTACGTACGCCTCAACAAGTGATGTCGGCGCGCTCACAATCTTCCGTGCCGCCTTTGAAGACGCGGACAGCGGCGGCAACGGCACCTCGCCGTCGCCGTCAGTCTCATCCTCCCATCGATGCGTGTAGCCAAACTTGAGCGGGGGGACCAGGTCGTCGCGTTCGACTAGCGACTCGTAGATCGGGGTTAGCTGTCGTTGCTGGGGCCATATTGGCGGGCAAGACGGGCCGTCGACGCCGGTGGGACTTGGCTGAGGCTGGGAAGTGGGAGAGCTAGTTAGTTCGTTGCTCGAAGAGGGAACCGGGGGCTCGGGTGGCTGTCGCGGTTGGACGAACCTCGCGCTGGAAGCTGGGAGACGCTTTCTGGCCCGCTGGGCATGTTTCTTCCTCTCCAGTTCAGCGTCGTCCGAGTCGAGGTCGTCGTCGTCGTCATCATCATCATCGGATATGGCGAGGTATGAGCGGACATTTCCCTAAAACGCCTTAACCTCTTCCGGGTTTCGCTGAATAAACGTCTCCTTGTCTTCCAAAGTCGCGGCCGCTCCTGCTTCTGTGTCAGCCGCGCAGTCAGCATCCTGAGTGATGGCATCACTGCTGCCAGGTGCGTCTGTACTCATGGCTGGGTTGGTCTCGGCCGCGGGTTTAGCGTTTGCCTCTGCGTTGTCTTCGGCCTGAGTTGGCTCCGGCAGCATCGCACCCAAGCCACGTGAGAGTTGTTCGCCCGTAGGTTCCTTCGCAACAGCGTCATCGCTGCCAGCCGCTTCTTCAGCGGCGCCCTTGGCCTCACCCACAATTCCGTGGACGCGAACGCGAGTTGGCTCAGAGTGGACCGCCTTTTCCGCCTTTTTGAAGATGTCCTCGACCGGCAGCTTTGACAGATCCTCAGTCACGCCATCGAGGCGACGGCCCAATGGCTTGTCCGAAAAGTACTCCTGGTATTTGAGGTACGACAGCTCGTCGTCGTCCACGTCGGCGGTATTTGGAACATTGGAGGATGGGACGCGAGGGCGCTTGAGCTGAGAGATGGTGCTCAGGGGCTGGCTTGGCTTGACTCCAGGCTTGGGGCTTTTGGTGGTGAGAGCAGTCGTTGATGTCGAGATGACCCCCTTGGTCGGGGACGGCGAGGGACCGGACGATTCGATCCAGTCGACGATGGACTTGACGGAGCGGCCTCCTTTGTTCACGGGAGTTTGTTGAGGGAGGGCATCTTGGGTTGAGGCGCCTTCGGCGTGAGTCTTGACCGGCGAACCAGGCTGAGTAACCTTGGAAGAGACCTCGTCGCTCGCCTCAGCTCGTTCCAGGTCCGTAGAACTGGCCGAAGCTTCGACGGCGACGACTTTCACCTTGTCGTCGACGACTCCCTCAACGCCCTGGGATCGGCCCATAGTGACGGTTCGGGGCTTTTCCTAGTGCATGGGGGGGAGATATGAGGCTTGATTCCGGGATGCTGGTAGTAAGTGTAAGATGTAGGGTGAATGTGATGACTTCGGATGGGCATGCGAGGACTCGAGCTTAAGAAACGCAGAGCGGCGCGCAGCGCGCAGCTGGCGACATCTGGCTGTCAGCGAAAGGCGCCTTTGCGCGCCAGACGGCCTGCCGGGTCGGGTCCTCAACCGAAAGCAACCTGTTCACCTCGCGGCCCGTCACCTTGCACGTGTCTAATCTCTGCCGGCGTGACAGCTGCGCGCAATGTCCCAAAAGATAACATTCTGATTCCTTTTGGTACGTATGTAGAAACTCTATACCCCCGCTTCTATGGCTTTCCTGCATCCTGTCCGCCACTCATCATCATTGGTGTCCGTTTCAGCGTCACACAAGACAAGTGCCCATCCAACCTAGCCCGGCGCTATCCTTGGCTCGGCGGTAAAAATCACTTTTCATGCGGTAGATGTGTTTAAACAGTAATGGCCGGAAGCCGCCGCCTCCGGAAGTGAGCTGAGGGCCGAATCACTTCTTGTTGGGGAACTTGGGGGCGCCAATGTCGGCGCCGCGCAGCTTGACGTTGAGGACGCGCTCCATCGCGCCGAGCACCTTCTGGTCGGGAGTAGCCGAGCCGCGCTCAAAGTCGGCAACGACGCCCTGAGTGGTGTTGCAACGGGTGGCGAGGTCCTTCTGCGTCATCTTGGGCTCCATCTTCTGGCGGGCGGCGGAGATGGTGTCGCCGACGAGCTTGCCGACAGTGTTGGGCTTGATGATGTCGTCGGAGCGGTCAACCTTGGTGAGGCGCTGGCCCTCGGTTCCACTTGCGGACTTGAAAGATGCATATTAGCAGCTGAGGGCTTTTCAAGGTTTAAGACGCGTTGTCGCGTGCTGGGTACGTACTGCGTTGGCTGTAGAGTACTTCTTCTCGGTGCCGATGACACCGCCGCTGCGCTGAGCGGCGTTCAGGGCCGCCTTGCCGCGGATGACGGTCTCGCGCTGGGCAGCGCCGGGTCCGCGGACCTTGCTGCCAATCTTGGTGACGTTATCCCAGTCGGCCATTGTGGTGGTAGTGTTGTCGGTGGCGGGGTCGTGTGGGGAGCGGTGAATTTGCTCGTGTAAGGCGTGGATTCCTCGAGGAGTATTCGCTCGTCTCGAGAGGGCTAGATGGCGGTCGCAAAGGAGTCTCCGTGTGCGACAATCCGCGGTGTGGTTTGGGGTAGAATTGGTGCTGTGATGGGGTTGCCGACGGGGCGAGAGAATGGACAGATATATGGAGGGGATGATGGCATCAAAAGGTGGAAACTTGACTCAACCGGCGGACGGAGATAAAAGCCTTCGTGGGGTTCTGGCAAGGCTGGCTGTGGCTGTCGGGGAGCCCGTGCCACACACAACGGGCGGTAGAATGTGCTAGAGGAACCCTGGCCAATGCAAGCCAGGGTTCGACCGCTTTGCCGGCTTACCTAACACAGCGTTGATTCATCGGCCAATCGGCGCCGCAGCATGACGCCGGCTCAGTCCATGACGCAGCTGCAGTTGCGCCGCTGGGCGTGCCTGCCCTGACCGTTGGTGTCTCACCCCGAATGACTAAGGCCTAACGAGGCGCCTGGATGCCCTGGCGGTTCCTCACGGCCGCAGAGCATAGACACCTTGATGGCACGTTTGATGACTTCATGGGAGGGGGCTCTTCACTTGCTATTTCACTCGCCCGCCCGCCTTCTCCTCTCTTCTCTGCTCCGCCTTCGCTTTGCTCCCTGTTGGGAGCGTGGCCGGGCCTTCTCGAGGCGGTCCTCGCCGGATTGGCATGGACGGCATATCAGACGGGTCACCATGGGTGCCTGCCGTGCTCATTATTGATCGACTCGACCGGATATTTCGCAGCGATGTCCTTGCGGTTCTATCATTTCTTGTTGTTTCCTTCTATTTTGCGGTTTTTGGAAATCGCCTAGACCTGCTTCTCACCATTCTCTTCATTGCATATTCGAACAGCGTCGCCATCACCAACTGGATGCGTGATTCAACAGCGTTGCACAATTTGGCGTTATATGGAATCTATGTATTGACGGCATGGATCATATTCAGACTTTCACGATCTACTCTCTCTGCTAAAAGAACGGCTCCTTGGGGTGGGCCCGGACAACCATACCTGGTTCCGGCACGGACGACGCACATGCGCATGTTCCCCAAGAAGCATTCATTTGCATACTCTTACCTCATTGCTGGCGTACCTGTCGGTTATAAAGGCGATGTAAACCGCATGTTATCTGCGGAAACACGAGAACGCTCCAGGTTGGCGCAGGCCTGGTACCACGTCGACGCAGTCGACTACCTCGAGCGGGGCCATGCCGAGCTTGGGCTCCGAGGCAAGCTGGACAATTACCTCAGGTCTCAGGTTCGCAGGTATCCCCTGTTTGACTTAACTGATACTGATCTCGCTCAGGGTGCGGACCCTGCCGAATTTCCACACGCCTACCTCCTGACGGCAGCCAGATTCCTGGGATATCACTTCAACCCCGTGTCCTTCTGGTACCTCTACTCGGCTGACAAGATTTTGACGGCAATTGTGCTGGAGGTCAACAACACCTTCGGCGAGAGACGACCGTATTTCCTGCTACGGGACTTTGCTGGCGAGGCCAAGTACCTCTCGGGTCGCAACGAGGCCCCCACTGTCGCGCGGATTCGGGGGTCTGTTGCCAAAGACTTCCACGTGTCGCCGTTCAACTCGCGCAAAGGGATGTACTCGGTCCTTACAAGCGACCCTCTTGGGCCTGGCATGCAGGGCTTTCGAGGCATCGATGTCACTATCAACCTCGCCTCCTCCAAGGGTCATCCGAAGCTCGTTGCCCGCTTGTTTTCGGAAGGGGATGCTATCGATCCGTCGGCCATGGGTATCCTCCAAAAGACGAGATTCCTGATCAGCTGGTTCTGGGTCGGGTTTGTGACCATGCCTCGAATCGTCAAGGAAGCCGCCACGTTGTTCTACAAGCACAAGCTCCACGTATGGTACCGTCCGGAACCACTCAAAGAGAGCCTTGGAAGACACGCAGACAGCCTCGAGACAAAGCTCGAGATGGCGTTCCGCAGGTACCTGGAGTTTCGCGTCCAACAGTCGCCCAACCCTGTCTCGGTGACATATACTCCCAGTGGCATCACTGATATTTCCAAGGACGTTTATGTCTCAGAGGCAGCAGCCGAAAGAACGCCCGGAGATGTTGATCAGATTGAGATCAAAGTACTGACACCAATCTTCTACACGCGTTTTGTCCGCTACGCGCATGACTTCGAAGGCATATTTAGCGAGCTCACAGAAAACGGGACGATTTGGGTGGACAAGCCGCATGTGCTGCCGGACATCTTTTTGAAGAAGGGCGCACCGCCATTGCACGCATCGGGACTTGCCGACTTCCTGTCCTTCAAGCTGATTCAGAGGCTGCGCCGGAGACCGGAACGGATCCCATTCGCCCCAACTTCGGTCGATCCGCCCGGACCGCCGGTTTCCCGGGTTGTCGATATCCGCGATTTCCGCATCTCATCCATGGATGCGTATATATTGGCACACGCCGGCGACATGCTGAAGGGGGAGTATCGGTCGGCGGTTCTTCTCCTACTGGTTGCGGACACTTACTTCTTTGGCAGCGCCGAGTTTCTTGCAACAATGCTAGTCGGTCTGCGCGTGGGGATCTGCTGTTTGTCAGGGTCCTTGCTGAACAGAGTCCTGTCCGGCCCGGGATAAGCGGATTGGCGGGATTCGGCTGGCTATTTGTCAATAGCTATTCGCTCACGCGCATAGCTTGGTAGGCTAACGACGTTTCCCGAAGCGGGCCGAATGCCTTGCTCCAGGACGCCGGCGAGGCAAGGAGTCAAGACAGGATCCAACGGAGGTCAAAGCCAAGAGCCGGCGTCACAGCTGCACATGTACGCCACTCGTCCAACTCGGTGCACCGCGTGGCATGTGCGCAGGCCAGCAAGCCACTGCCGCTGGATAAATGTCACAATGAGCCCATGCGATCGGATTGCCTGTGCGTGAGCCGCCTAACCCGAGTGTCGCGGCGTGTCTCAACCCACGATGTGGACGGGAAGGGCAGTTGCTTCCCCCACGCAATTGGCGCGGCGGGAATTCCAAATCTTCAGGGACAGGCGCCGGCGGATGGATCGGCTGCCCCGCCCCGCCGCCGGGGCACAGAGGAGGGGCGTCCTTTTGGCCGCCGTTGAAGCAGCCATCGGGCCCGGCAAGAGCAGTGGCTTACCGACAATCACACGCGGGACGGGAGGGCCTCGACCTGGACGGGGAGACGGCCAAATTGTCCATGACAAATAATGTGAGAGGAATCCCGACGTCACTCGATTATTGGAACTATGGTCGCAACGCCAACATGGCGAACGAAGCCACGCAGACGAAGCGCTCCGACCGGCACATAAAAAGCATCGACTCCTCCACCGAACGGGCCTGTTGTCCTGCAAGCCAAAACGCAAAACAACTTCATATCAGCCGGCAGGACAAGCGCCCTCGCCAATCAGTTCCGCCGACGCGCCACATTGCGGCTGCATCCTCGTCTTCAAGCTCCCAGTTCCCACGTCATCGAGCCCACGCCGGCCCCACCGAAGCTCCTCCTCACTGCTCAGCTCTCCCTTGAGCTGCATATTAATACCCGTCCACCTCGTGCTTACCCCGCCGGAGGAGGCAAGAGCAGACCAGAACTCAAGCTTGGACTCGTCGACTTGACACAATCCGCATATCTCACTTTGCGCAAAGCCCCGGAATCCCCTCCAACAAGCAGACTCGGACAGAATCAGCCATCATGCCTCTCACCGGACACTGCCTCTGCAAGGCCGTCACCTACTCGGTCGACGTCGATGCCCCTCTCCTCACCGGATATGACCACTGCGACGACTGCCAGCGCCAGTCCGGCTCCACGTACTGTCCGTACCCCCGTCCCCTCACTTAACAACCCTCCTCTCAACAGCGGCAATTGTCCCGGAACTGACCCGGAAACGCAGCCCTCGTCGCCGTCGTCCCCAAGGCGAAGCTCACTATCAACGGCCCCACCAAGAAGTATTCCAGCAAGGGCTCGTCAGGCCACGACGTCCACCGCATCTTCTGCTCCGAGTGCGGCTCCCCCATCGCCCACGACCCCGACGCCGCCCCGGAGATCATCGCCCTCAAGGCCGGCACCTTTGACACTGAGATCAAGAAGAACCTGAAGCCCGTGCGTTCCGCCCCCTCCTTGCACTGCGATGTCTATCTTGAGCCATTGGGCTGACCGTGCCACAGGACACCGAGATCTGGACCGTCAGCAAGCTGCCCTTCTGCCAGGAGCACCTGGCCAAGCCCTTCACCCACATGCCCGAGTAAGGCATGCTGCATATCAAGGGTCAATTGGGGAACAAAGGAATCAAAAGGGAAAGGGAGACAGCAGCAATTCCCTCGTTGTGAGGCACCTGTTGCAAGCAAAAACACAGAGCGATTTGGGCCGAAATCAAGCAGTCGAGCAGTCACTATGGCTTACCATCTCAATAAGAAAAAAGAACCTTCCTATTTGCAAAGGTGTAATTGATTCGTTGCACGATATCAGGCAGAAGTCGCGGACCTGGTACCCTCTGCAAGTCACCATGCATCTTTGTGAATAGGGAGAAGAAAAGATGTTTTGCAAATCACTACTTTGGATTCTTGTGTGCCTGTAGTCTTTATTAATCGTTAATAATTGCCAACCGCTGCGGCCCATTAAGAATTACCCGTCAGGCCCTGCCCCCTCGCATCCCGGCCGAGTCCTCTTTTTCACCTCAAACCCATACGACTCAAAACGCCATCATCAGTGCCGCCCCAGCCACCGCCATTGCCATCCCAGACGCAACTCCCTCGCGGGGAGCAGCAGCAGTCGACGAGCTTGGTGAGGCAGACCCCGTCTGGGTGCCGCCGGTCTGTGAGGTGAAACCCGTGCGGTTGCCGCCCGCGCTTCTAGTGACAGACGCGCCCGACGTGATGCCCGTTCCCGAATCGGAGGTCTCGCCCTCTGTTGCCGTTGCTTGCTTCGTGGCCGTGGCCGCAGCACCAGTAATGGCGCCAGGACCCTGCGGGCCCGTCGCCGTGTAGTAAAGACTCACGTCAGTCTTGCCGGGGAACTGGTCCGAGCTCTTGGTGTCACCAGACGTGGCAAACGGCGCCGCCTCCGTGTTGGCCTCGGCCGAGGCGAACAGAGAGCGGAAGACGGCGGTGGGGGTGCCGGAGCAGAGGGCGTTGGAGGCGACCGAGAGGACGCCGTTCCAGTAGTTGTTGTCGCGCTCACTGCGCAGGCCGTGGACGCGGAGGCAGTTCTGGCAACCTTTCCAGTCGGCAAAGAAGCTGCCTTTGCACATGCACTGCGCGTGTGCCTGATAGTCGATCGTGTCGGTGCCGTTGGGCTGACAAAGAGCCTCGACGGTGGCAATCTCGACGCAGGGAGGAATGATGCCGCTCGTCACAGCCGGGTAGCAAACCTTGGTCTTGCTATCGTCAACGGGGTCGCCGCCCTTGCTATCGGCACGCTGGACGAGCTGCGAGGCCACTGCGACGGCGGGCAGGAGGAGGCCTGCAGAGACGGCAACAGCAGCAGAGCGTCTCATGTTGGATCCCAAGAAAAAGAGGCGTTCCAAGACCGTGGGTAGCGCAAGACAAGAGGGACGTGTGGGCTCAATGGATGTTTGGTGCGTGTAAGTGAAGAAGCGGAGCAGAGCAAAACAAGCGCAGTTGGGCAGAGAGGGGAACGAGGAGAGAAAACAATGTTGCCTCAGCAAGCGCATCAAACGGGAAAGCACGGCAGGGGCCGACTGTGCCAAGCCCTTCGCGCTTGTCCCGCAATGCGTGAGTTGGTCCGTTGCGGCTCCCACGATGCTGCTCGGCGGCTTCTCTGTCGGGTCAAGCTCGCTGACGCGCCTGGGCTGCCGCTGCTGCGTCGTGCCGCGCTTCCGTGTAGCTTCATTTCCGAGGCACGGCAACAACAGGGACGACAGTAACGACAGCGACGACAGCGACGCCGGCAACGGCAGCAACGATACCAATGACAGCAATAGCCTAGGTGGGACGCGACGGACGTATGTAAGTAGCTACATAATAAGATGTCTGCTACCTGGCGTCCAAGGCAAGCCACTCCTACCGTGCTAGATCGCTACAGCAAAGACGGCTGGCGCCGAGATGGTTTGTGGCCCCGAATTGCAGACGACTCGTGCAACCAACCAGTTGCGCCTTTGCGAGTAAGGAAAGCTCCTTACAAATTCCATGCATGAAGCGGGACCGGATATGCCTGCTGCTTGGCAACCAGACTCGTCGCAATGCACGCGCAACTGTTATGTAGGTTCCCTTCCTTCCCCCCACCCGGTGCATTCTGGCGGGCGAGAAGAAACACCACGGCACTGGTACGCATGAATATCGCGGGGCCGCCCTTCCGCAAGGTTTCAACTTTCCATCGATGGCGAGGCAGGAGTGAAGGCGTGCGATGCCACTTTTAGGATGTATCATACAGTTACTGCGCCGTATGATACACTGGTCCAGCTGGTATCGTTCCATCGAAGTGTGAAGTGGTCTGCATTTTACCTCCAGTCCGAAGTATTGTAAGATATGGCATGCTGGGATACTTCTCGCTCTCGTTGATGAAATATAGCCTGCAAGCCGTTGCACCACCTGCACGTGCGCCTGACACTCTGCGGACTTTGGCAGGTAGATTGTGGACAGTGCACCCGGGTGCATCCATGGGGATGCAGGTGCTTTCTACGAAGTACGTTGGCAGGACCGAGCTCTCGGCCGGGCCGCTGGTCGTTGGTGAAGGCACCGACAGATGGCAATCGCTGGTGATCTGATCTCTTCTCCCCACGCGGCCCGCCCAGCGCTGCGTGGACAATACTGCCCGACAATAGGCAGTCTCCAGTGGCGGGGGCCTTCAAACCACCAGCGCCTGGCCAGAGCTCCCGAAAGGGCCATCGCCGGGTCCCTGCGTAGGACTCATGATGTGAGTCTAGAAGTTGAAAGGAAACCAAGTACTTGCTACGTGCTAGGCCGACGTGCGGCGCAAAGAAGCCGCTTCCGGCCCAACACACTTCCACCCCCTCGACATATACAGTCTTGTCAAGTGCCAGGACAGCGCTACTTGGATGGGGGATTGGGCCGGGCAGGTCTTTCATGACAGCGGCTTCAACGTCATTGTTTGCGGCGGCGACTGTTGGAGGAGGCTGCGGTGACGGGGAATAGGAAAAGACATGTCGGTTGAGGATCTTGTGGGTTTTTCTTTGGGCCATGGGTCACTTCAACTGAGTTGTAACTTACATTGCACACATACACGCTGTGCCGCCCTACCTCGTGAGTTTGTGACTGCAGTCCCAAGTCGCCGTCAAAGTGGCACACTTCACCCATCTCCCATCACCGCGGGCTTGTTGAACTCATGATTTATTACATTTTCATCCTGGATTTATACTAGCCCCATTCACGTACTTGCGCGGGGCCTAAGGCTGTCATGCCGTATTCTCGACGTGTCATCGCAGCCGCATGTCTGTGAGGACCTAATTCCCGTCCTCTTCTAAATGCTGTCATAACTCGTTACTCATTGCACCGCCGAATCCCCTCATGCCACAGCGAGCATTGCCCAGACACCCACGGCCACACCCGCGGCCAGTAGTCCGGCGCTGCGTCCGCCCGCCGCAGCGGCCCCCTTCTTCGGCGCCTCCTTCTGCACGCTTCCCGTCTGGCTCGCGCCCGCAGTGAAGCAACTCGCCGTGCCGCAGTCGTACCCGCTTGGGCAGCACCCAGCCACGGGCCCAGCCTCCTTCCCGCAAAGGAACCACCCTCCCGCGCACGTCGCCGATGCCGTCGCCTTGGGCACGTCCGTCGCGGGCACTACTACCGTCACGCCGCCCGACACGAGCGTCGTCGATGATGCTGCCGGGCAGTCGTGCGTTTGGCAGTCGCGGTCGGTGCGGCAGCAGCCGCCGCCGTGCGTTGCCAGGCATCCGTAGAAACCCGTCGGGCAGCCCGTTTGCGTGGGCTCGTCTTGGGAGGTCGGCGCCGCTGTCGTGCTGGCGGAGTCCGCGTCCGAGGAGGAGCCCGTGGGTCGCCAGGGGGGTCGGCCCGTGGCGGAGCCGTCGCCGGACGGAGTGATGGTCGTGGTCTCCGTCTCCGTGGTGGGTGCGGCAGACGAAGTGGCCGTCACTGTCAGTGTGACAATGACCGTCGACGGGCTGCCGCCGACCATGGTCGTCTGGGTTGACGTTATCGTCAACGGAGCGCTGGAGCTCTGCGTCGCCGAAGCGCTAGGCACACCTACACACTCCGTGTTAGCCACTGCCTCTTGTAGCCTCTGCATCACCAAGTTGGTTGGGAAGACTTACATCCGACGCCCTGGCAAACGTATCCCGGGATGCAGCAGCCGCCGCCCAGGTCGGACGGACAGCTCGTCGCGCCCGTGGGGCAGTTGCCGACGCCGCCTCCGCACTTGGATCCATCCGGACAGCACGCGACATGCCCGACCATCGTGTCCGGCACGTCTGTGCAATAAGTGCCCTTCTGGCAGCACTTGTTGGGCGAGCCCTGATCCGCGCAGCTCGTCATGCCCGCCGGGCAGCTGGCGGCCCGCTTGCGCAGCAGGGCGAGCGCCGCGGCCGCCCGCCGCAAGTCGTGGTCCTCGCTATCGTCCAGGTGCCTTGCAAACGCAGGGCGAAAGACCCGCTCCGTGCCGTTGTGACGTTGCAGCGCAGCGTCGTCGTCCTCGTCGTAGTCATGGCTGTTGAGATCCTGGAGGAACACGCTGCTGTCCTGGATCCCGCCAGCGGGCAGAAGCGGCGCAAACGCCAGGTGCTCGGGAAAGATTTTTTCGCTCGAGTCCAGTGAGAGCTTCTTGACTGCCGTGGGAAGCTGCTGAGCGGCCGTGACCTGACAGACGAGCGCCAGGAGCGAGGCTGGGAGGAGCAGCATCGACGACGGCGGCGCCATGGCGCGCGAAGAGGCCGCCTGCAGGGTAGCTGCGATTCCGACGTCAACGGGGGCGATGAAACGCGACCGCACGTGATTGATGCGTGAGTGACCCGAGGTGGCTCTCGTGAGAGGCTCGCTAATGCGTGTTTGCGTTTGTGTCTGCGTCTGATGCTGTACTGTGGTCGTTGAAGGTTGTGCAACGCTGCCAATGCCGAAGCGAGTTCTGCTTAAAATGCAACGGCGGCCGGAACAAACTGGGTGGCTGGGAACACGAGGTCGGCCCAAGCCCAATCATTCAACACAGCCCTGGGCATCAAACGCAGATGCTCAACCCAAGGCCGTTTGAATAGTTGTTTGCAATGGCCGTAAGCGTTGAAAAGAGGAAAATGCATTAATTCGCATTGCGGCCGATCATGCTGAGACTGGAATGCAGAGACACATTGTGCCTCTCAGGGTCCATGACGTAGGCACAGGTACCGACAGCGGCACTTCCCAGGGGGCCCACAGCCCACGGCAGCGGCCCGCCCACCCGATCACCGCATTGGGCTGGCTTTAAGGTTGGATGGGTAGATGAAGAACGCAATCAGAACGAGGCATGGCCTGCCTTTTTTACAGTGGATTGAGATCGTTATATCGTACATATGTTACAGGATCAATCGTTCCCTCGTTCCAAGGTACTCAGAACATCGTCTCGCCCTTGTCGGCTTCATCCTTTGCAGCACTCGCCCCCTCGTCGCTGCCACGGCCATGTGTTTCCGCGGGCACCGCCGACTCGCCCATCGACGCCTTGACAAACGAGTGGCACAGCAGGCCGGCTGCCACGCTCACATTCAGGCTATCCACACTGCTGCCTTGGACAAATCGAGGTACCGATACCTCATAGTCCGCTGCCACCTTGATAGGCTTCGACAAGCCGTGGCCCTCGTTGCCGAGAATCAGCACGCAGGGGTCGTGCTCCAGCGGGCTTGTCTGTTCGATCGTGTCCGTGGAGACGAACTTGTCGCCGTGGCGCTTCACAAGCTTGCGCTCTGGCGGGGCTACAGCTGCGTACGTTTTCCAGCCAGCCTTCTTCGAATCCTCGATGAACTGGACCGGCGAGTCGACAGTGAAAATGCTAATTTCTTCGGCTGCCCCGGCTGCCGATTTGAGAACAACGGGCGTCAGGGTGGACGAGTTGCGGTTTGTGATGCCAACTGCATCCACACCGAGATAGCTTGCCGTTCGGAGGAGCGCCCCCAGGTTGCCAGGGTCGAGGATCTCGTTGAGCAGCAACACAAATGGCTTGGGCGTAACGTCGTTGGATCGAGGAATGAACGTGTCGGTGCCGTTGATCGCCTCCTCCTCCCTCGTTTGGTGGTCCAGCTGGACATGAAACCCAAGCTTCGTGGGGGTTTCTTCGAGCTTGCCCAAGGACTGCACGGGTACTTGCGGCAGCGGCGAGGTCTCTAGGACAAAGCCGTTGTGCGGGCGCCCCATGCTCATCTTGTCCATGAGGCGTTGCTCCTCATTCGGGACAATCTTGATAGGCACCCCTTGTCTCCTGGCCAGGGCCATCATGACGGCGTTGTCTTTCGAGTCTTTCCGATTCTCGCCACCGTAGATGTATAGCTTGTAGAGCTTGCGTCTCCCCTGCTCCAGGGCGGCCTTGACGACGGATCGGCCGTAAAGAAATTGGGACGCCGCGGTGGTATAGTGTATCGTCATTGGCATCATTCCCCTTCCACGCCCCTTGAACTCGGCTTTCCCAAGCGAGCCGTCGTCGTCTTCGGTGCGAGGCTGGCGGCTGCCGTTGGTATGCGCTGCTCTTCGTGGGCGCGAGTTGTCGTTGTAGGAACGGTTCCCAGGAGGAAAGGGCTCTTGTGTTTTCGGAGACGCAGGTCTCCGCGGGCGCGACCGGTCATTGTAAGGTCGAGGCGCAGGACGGACAGGCTCTTGCAGGTCCAGAGACGCAGCTCGTTCCTTAAGCTCTCCGTGCTTGAGCTGGTATACCAAGCTTTTCTTGCCAAAATTGGACTCCGGATCGAGGAACCGCTTCCGTCTTGTTTGCCGCCCGCTCTCTTCATCCTCATCCTCGGCTGCCTTGCGGTCCAGCTTCTTCCTGAGCTTCTGTTGCTGGCGCCATGAAGAGGCGCCGTCAAGCGCTTTGCTGGTTCTGGCACCACCTCGGGCACCTTGTGCACCTCGGGCGCCTCTAGGGCCGTTGGTGGGCGAATCTCTTGACGGCCATCGATCACCGGAATGAGCCCTCTCCGACCGGCGCAAGCCCCTATGTATGGCAGACAAGCTCGCTGCACGTGACGGGATCAAGGTTGTCGAGGCTGAGCGATGGAATAGTTCCTGCATGAGAGGCCGGCATACGCCGGCGGCTCTCGATTGATGTGCCAATATCATGGCATTCTGCGTGGCGATTGCAATGAGGGTGTCGTATCTGTGTCGCAAGAAATTATGGCCTGGAATCTCCAACGCGACGGGCCATTACACAGGGACTTTTTTCTGCCGCGCAAGCTGCAGGGATCAGGTGTCGATGGCGTGGGCGGTGAAGGCACCAATCGAGTGCTGATTGGGCCTCGTCTTCTCTCGAGTGCAGGTCGTTGCCCCACCATCGACTGCCCTACGCGTGCCTCCCACTGCGAATCGCGTCTGCCAGCTGCGACGACCGACGCCTGTCAAGCATTCGGCCAGAGCTGGCATCATTCCTTTACGCCAGTCGACACCAGCCGGCCAGCCCCATGATTCCTACCCTCAACATCGATTGCCAGGGCAGCGAATGCCATGGTGAGCCCGACGTTCGAGGTAAGTTTAGCCACACCAGAGCCTCAGGCGCATGGCGGGGACATCTTAACGCGGGTGGCCGTTGCTGACACGCTCTGCAGGTGGACGACGACAACGCCGTGGATGAGGCGGTGGCCAGGCTGCTCGGGGCCATTCAGGAACCCGGCCCCGGCGCCGAGCCGGTTGACACGATGAGCCCCAGCTTCCCCCCGCCACTGCCGGAAATATCATTCGATTTCGTTACGAGCGATGTTGGTCAGTATGGAGTCGCCTGGCGCGACAGCAGCCCGGACGTGCCCGTTGCGCCGATGGGCGAGGCCGAGATCGAGCACGAAGCAGACAGCACTACGCAAGATGGAATGAAGGAATCGTCACCACCACCACAGCCTCTGCTTGACGAGACGTCGCAGCGATCAGAGACACCGCCCGGGCGACCAGCAGAACCTTCGCCTCAGCCGACACTTCAAGATTCGACTGTGGCGCGCCTGGAAATCGCCATCCCAGAAATGCCGGCCGAGTCTCGCGGAGAATACGACGAAGTTCACAGCCATGTCGTCGAGCTCATTGCGGATGCGCTACCAGGCCGAGGCAACATCGAATATCTAGTCGAGATGACCGATGGCCGAGAACAAATGGTGCGTGAGTCCCAGACTCGTCTACACCGTCCCTGCCCTCTTGAATACGAAATCAGCCTGTGTGTGCGCTATGCACTTCCATGCACTCATGGGCCTGTGAATCCCCCGCCCAGCGAGGCGAGCCACCGCTTTGCGCCCCGCCGAGCACACCCGCTCAAGCAGCACCTCGCGGTGGCTCCCATGGCATGCGCTGCACCTCCCCCCGCCCCGACATCTGCCCAGCTGATCGCTCTGTTCTGTGCTTTTTGCATCGGATCGTTTTGCATTGCTCTCCTAACATCTACCTAACCGTCACCTTCTGCCCACCTCTCTTGCCCATCTTTGCCCTGCATAACTCGCTTTCAACGTTCTCTTCCGCAAACCGGTTCATAAACTCTCCTGCCGCTGCAACAGCATCACGACTAACGCGTATCTTCAGGTATCGTCAGAAGAGCTGCGATTCCTTGAAAACGGTTCCGAAGCGTTGCGAATATTCAACAGTCGGGACATGTCGAGCCGCAAACGCAAGCATGGCCCTGAGGATGATTGGGACTCTGAAGCGGACGATCTCGAGTCCGAAGGCGACCTCATGGACATCGATATCGATGACGAAGATATGCCCCGCCAACGGACAACGCGGGCTGGCCGCGCTTTGCGATCTCGTGTTTCCAGCTCCCGTCAAGTCTCTGCGCCCAAATCACTCTCCTCTGATGATGACAGCGACGATGCCTTGAAAGCACGGTCAGCTCGCCCGACTCGCACGCTGCGGCAACGCCAGCCACAATTATCCAGTCTTTATACCGCGAACACCAAGAGCGTAGTTGATCTAGAAAACGATGAGCTGGCTAATGACCCTCAGCAACCTTCGGATCAAGACGATGACGACTTTCGCCCCGTGGTGTCAGACATCTCGTACAAGAAGTCGAGGCGAAATGGTGCTGCCCTTCAGCGCAATAACAGAACGGGAATACAGAGACATCTCGTGCGATCGCGCGCGAAAGCCAGAACTGGATCAGATGGCTCCGACATTGAGTTCGAACAGCCACGCCGCTCCTCCAGGGCCACAAGGAACATGCTTGATATGCGAGACGATGCGTTGATGGACGATGACTCTTTCTACGTGATAGAGGACAAGGCACCAGGAGTTCCCAAGGTCGTGTCGGTTCGGGAGGTGTTCCAACCGCTGCCCGTCGATTCGGCTTTCGGTACGGTGCATATGGGCACTTGCCACACCTGCAACGGCTCAAAGCAGCGTGGCCAGATTGTCCAATGTCAAGGATGCAGCCTCTCTTACCACAAGCACTGTTTGGGGGTCCGAAGCCAACGCGACCATCTCGTGACCAAGGTTGGCGACGACAACTTCGTTCTGCAGTGCAGATACTGCATCAACATATATCGGAAGAAGGACAAAGCATCCCCGAAGCACAGCATGTGCCAGACGTGCAAAGAAGACGGCGAGGCCTGCGTGCCTTTTTCCCAGAAGAAAACTTCCCGTCAAGAAGAAAAGCTGCGCGAGGAGAACGGCGGCACGGATCCCATCACAACAGTTTCGCCCAGGCTTATCAACAATCAGGAGGTCCTGCTATTTCGATGCGTTACCTGTCACCGGGGCTGGCACCTTGACCACCTCCCTCGCGCTGGGAGTGAGCCGATAGGAACGGACGTCAAGTCGGAGCGACTCAAGGATTATATGGTCGACTGGCAATGCAACGAATGTAGCACGACAAAGCACAAGATCCACCGTCTGGTGGCTTGGCGACCGTCCAACCAACTCGGGGTTGACGAGAGTCTGATACCTTCATATGACAGCCTGAGCGACGACGACAAGGAGTATCTCATCAAGTGGGAGACCCGCTCCTATTTCCACTGCACATGGATGTCAGGTGCCTGGGTCTTTGGCGTATCTGCGCCCACAATGCGGATTTCTTTTGGCAAGAAGGATGCTCAGCAGAGTCTGCTCAGTATGACCGAGAATGAGGCGATACCCGACGAGTACCTCATGGCCGACATCATCTTCAACGTGAAGATGAAATCGAGCGCCCCGAGAGCCAAAACCAGGACAGCTGAGCTGGAAAACATTTCCAGTGTGAGCAAGGTCTTGGTGAAGTTTCAAGGTCTAGGCTACGATGATGTCGTCTGGGACTCGCCACCTAGTGAAGGCATGGGAGAGCCTTACAGCGCCTTCCGGGAGGCATACCACGAGTATGTCGAGGGCAAATACTTCCAAAACGAGCCTTATCCCAAAATCCGAGAGCGAATCAGGCTGTTCAAGGCCGCCGACCTGCAAGAGGTTGATGTTCAGCCTGCCGGCCTCAAGCGAGGCAAACTCATGGGATATCAAGTGGAAGGCCTCAATTGGCTTCTGGGAAACTACCATGGTGAAAGGAGTGTCGTCCTGGCCGACGAGATGGGTCTGGGCAAGACGGTACAGGTCGTTAGTCTCGTCACCTACCTGGTCCAGGAAAAGCCGAAGGTATTTCCCCCCCTCCGTGCGCTCTTGCATCGTCATGCTCACGCTTCACTAGTGCTGGCCGTTCCTGATTGTTGTTCCCAACGCGACATGCCCGAACTGGCGCCGAGAATTCAAGCAGTGGGCGCCGGGTCTCCGCGTGGTCACCTATCACGGCGGCAGGGAGCCGCAGGAACTTGCGTACAAGTACGAGCTGTTCCCTCACGGCTCCAACGATATGAAGGCCCATGTTGTCATCATGTCATATGACTCGGCCCAAGACCCAAAGACGAGAGTGCTCTTCAAGTCCGTACATTGGGCCGGGCTGGTCGTCGACGAGGGACAGCGGCTGAAGAACGACCAGAGCCTGTTGTATCTGGCACTGCGCGCCCTGAAGATTCCTTTTCGGCTTTTACTCACTGGCACGCCGCTGCAGAACAACAAGCGGGAGCTTTTCAACCTCCTTCAGTTCATCGACACGAGTCAGGATGCTGCGTCCCTCGACGAAGAGTATGCCGTGCTTGATAAAGAGACACTCCCGAGGCTGCACGAACAGATTCGTCCCTACTTCCTGCGCCGCACGAAGGCCGGAGTACTAAAGTTTCTGCCGCCCATGGCGCAAATCATCTTGCCGGTGACGATGACGGTCATCCAAGAGAAGCTCTCCAAGAGCATTCTTGCCAAGAACCCGCAACTCATCAGAGCCGTGTTCGCCAACGACAAGATGAAGAGCAAGGACCGCGGCAGCCTCAACAACATATTGATGCAGCTACGCAAATGTCTTTGTCACCCATTCATGTATTCCGAAGCCATCGAAGAGCGCCACCACGACCCTTCAGTGCTCCATCGGAATCTCGTGGAAGCCTCGGCGAAGCTCCTCTTGCTGGAGATAATGCTGCCGAAGCTCAAGGAGCGAGGCCACCGAGTTCTCATCTTCAGCCAATTCCTCCAGCAGCTGGACATATTGGAAGACTTTCTCGCGGGCATGGGCTTCCAGTTCAGAAGACTGGATGGTGCAATGTCAAGCTTGGAAAAGCAGCGCCGCATCGACGCCTTCAACGCGCCAGACTCGCCTCTCTTCGCGTTCCTGCTGTCCACCAGAGCCGGCGGAGTTGGTATCAATCTGGCGACGGCAGACACCGTCATCATCATGGATCCAGACTTCAATCCTCACCAGGACATCCAAGCACTGTCCCGAGCGCATCGCATCGGCCAGAAGCAAAAGGTCCTCTGCTTCCAACTCATGACCAAAGACACGGTCGAGGAGCGCATCATGCAGGTGGGCCGAAAAAAGATGGCTCTCGACCATGCGCTGATTGAGAGCATGGACGACGACGACCTCGCTGGAGATGACTTGGAGTCCATACTGAAACATGGCGCCCAAGCGCTGTTTGACGAAAATTACCAAGCGACGACGATACACTACGACGGCCCCTCGGTCGACAAGCTTCTGGATCGCTCACAGATGGAACAGACCAAGGCAGACGACGAGGGCTCTGCCGACACGCAGTTCACCTATGCCCGCGTCTGGGCTAACGAAAAGCAAGGTTTCGATGACGGCTTGGACACCGTAGAGGACGAAGCTCCCGTGCCCATCAACTCGAGCGTTTGGGATAAGATCCTGGCGCAGAGAGAGGAAGAAGCTCGGCTCGAGGCAGAGGCGAACAAGGAGCATCTGGGGCGCGGTGGAAGACGTCGAAATGTAAGTTCATGCCGCTGTGATATCACGCGACTGATGCTAACATTTGGTCAAAGGCTATCAACTACAAGACCAACGCCGCTCTCGAAGGCATACCGCTGCCCGAGGGTGTCGAGCCAGATTCCTCCGACTCTTCCGACGAGTTTGCCGGCGCCGAATCCGCAGACGAGTCCGAGGACGAGGATCTGGCCGCAAAAGGTAAACGGCGCAGACTCTCCAGCGTTCAAGTTAAATCTCCGGCAGTGACCCCTAGCAAGAAAACAATTTCGAGACGCAGCGTTGACGTGAAGAAGCAGACGGCGACCTTGAAGACGCCCTCGAGGCGGTCAAACCCGCGAGCGCCGGCGGCGCGGACTCCAGCAACGCCACGAAGCCGAAGCGCGCCAAAGCCTCAGAAAGCAAAAACTCCAGCGACACCAACTCCAAGAAGCCGAAAGGGACCGAAGCAGGGCGGTCAAGGCGCGGCCACCCCGGTGCGCAAGAAGTCACGACAGCTCCCCTTGACGCCAACCAAGGGGACGGGAGAAGCAAGTCCATCAAAGCTCGTTATCGAAATGGCACAGAGCGAGGGCAAGGTGGTTCCTCAGTCACAGCTCCCGGTCCAGGCCAGCCCTGTTGGTTCTACGGCGACGCCATGTCTGGTGGCAATGGCATCCCCGGCTACTACTATCACCCTGCCGGAGGAAGGGGTCAACAGCAGCCCCTGCCAAGCTTAATGAGCGGAGGGACATACGGGTTCACGCCGAACGCTTCGTTTGCCCCTGCTGCCCCAGCAAGGCCGACGACTACACAGAGAGCGTTGGCGGACAACGTACCAAACATGTACCTGAATCGCAGCCTGTCAGAGGCTGAACTACGACTTGCTATCGACGAACTGAGGCATTCCCCGTCGGACCCCGCCGCGAACCAACAAAAGATATCTACCTTGCTGCACCAACTGAGAGTGCTGCGCATGCAGGTCGGACCGGCGAAAAGGTGACGGGGGTGTGACACGACATCTGAAGATACCCTGAAGGAAGAGAAGTGGCATGCGATAGAGATCAGGCATGGGCATGAAGCTGGCTGGAATGGCCACGACTCTATAGAGGAATAGACTATGCCATGTTGCGCAAGCCGCCAAGGGCAACTATTTGCTTGTGACTCTCCTGCGTGATTACTTGGGCGCTGGTGATGTGTGAGGTAGGTATGTGTGTATCCGTGGCCCGTGGGTGGTGATGAGCTTAGGGCGCCTTGCTGGTGTTGTTGCGGCTCAACATCGGCACTGATGCTGCGTGACTGCCTGGGTGCCCTGGGTGTTCCGCCAGGTAGGCTGCAAGCTCTGGAACGCATCCATGCGGGCGGCTGCTGCTGGACCCAAGACCCCACCCCCACCAAGCTTCGAGCTCCAACCTCAGCACCCTCCACCCACCACCACCACCCGGCTGCCATTCGCCTCGCAACCAGCACCCCGGCGCTGTCGTTGGACCTTCACCTCCGGTCGCCGCCGCCTCTTTCTATCGACCGCGTGCGGCTCTGCCCTTGCACCCACTTCTAGAAGCAGCCGTGTTGCCGACGAGAATGTGCCGCAGGAGCCAGCGCTAGCTCGGACAAAGACACTCCCTCGCCGCGGCATCGTCATCCCCGCGCAGCGCGCCGCCAAACCAGCAGCCTCCCGCCCACGCTCGCGGCGTGCTCGCACAGATCCAAGATGGAAAGAGCCAAGGCAGCGTTCGAGGCATGCCCTCCGCCTGCATCCATCGCCAAGTCCAGCAAGCAGTATGACGCGGCTATCAAGCACTACGTATCAGCCCTCGGCAATCTACCCAGAGAGGCGCGGGCCGCCGTCAGCGACGTGCCAGACGAGTTTCTCGACGTAAGTTGCCTACCCTCGACTCGGAGTCGGGGCATGTTCTTACGCCATGCAGGAACTGGACCTCGAGCACAACTCGATCGGTTACTTCTTCGTCTTCGATATTCTCCTCTCCGAACGTAATGAGGCGACCGATGAACGGCCACCACTGTTGGAGAAGCTCCTTGTGTTCCTGATGTCGTTCGACCCGGTTCAGATTCGCTATGTCATTGGGCCGTTTTTGGCGTTGCTCGAGAGGATCGTTAGGGGCGAGCTCTACTCGGTACGTAAGCCCTCCAACGTGGCTTCGCTGCTCCGTCGACGCTGACATTCTCATCTCAGCCACTTGTTGCGGTGGATCTGGCCACGACCGCCTTGCTTCGAATCGACCCCGACGGCTCTACATTCACCCCGCTCCATCACATTCTCGCCATCAATGCGTTCGCCACGAATGCCGTCGAGCCGGCCCTCAAGCTCCTTGGCGCAGATATCCTCTTCTACCCTGGCATGACCAATTCCAAGGACACTCGGCCGCTGTGCGACCCGGACGTTCCCCCGTCGGCATTCATGCCTTCTGCTACGGCCAGATCAGGCACGATCACAAGCGCCAAAGTCCTCGAATACGAATTGCTCTGCGGCATGGCCTACATGGAGAGACGCGACTGGGCCAGCGCTCGCACGGCTCTGGAGCGCGTCATCACGTATCCGTGCAAAGATAGAGGCGCGAGCGCGATAATGGTGGCGGCTCACAAGAAGTGGCTGCTCGTGGGCCTGATGCACGAAGGGAAAGCGCCCAGTCTTCCAGCTCACACGCCACAAGGTGCACAGAGCGCGTACCAGCTCCTGAACAAGCGCTACAGCTCCTTTGCATCCTTGTTCGACACGTTCAAGCAGGCCGAACTGAAGGAGGAATTCGAGTCGAACCAAGACGCGTGGGCTGAGGATGCCAACACGGAGCTGATTGCCGAGGTCATGGCGGCGTACCAAAAGTGGCAAATCATCAACCTTCGGAAAGTATATCTGCGGGTATCCATTAGCGAGGTGAGGAGTTCAACAGTGGATGCTCGCACCGGACAGCGACTACCGGATGACCAGGCAGCGCTTGCGTTGGTCCGAGACATGATTCAATCGAACATGGTGCAGGGGAGCGTCGAGGACGGGCCCACCGCTGGGGAGAGCTACCTCCATTTCCCCCACACCGATACGCTGTCCGAGAGGGACTTTGCCATCGAGGTGGCCCGTAGCCATAGGAGCGTTGAGCATCTCAGCAGCCTGTACCGTGCCACCAACAAGCGGCTCAGCAGCAACAAGGACTACCTCCGACACATGTCACAGGAGCAGAAGCGGGCCAAGATGGACCGGGAAGGCGATGCCGCTGTTGAGCTGGAGCAGATAGAGGATGAGGACCTCATGACTGGTGTTATGGCGCACGTTTGATGCCCCTGTTCTCCCTTTTGCTTCGGAGAGCCAGGGTCGAGAGGCGGGCGCGGTTTCAGGTACCGCGTGCCTCGTGTTAGAGAGCATAGGATTGCACGAGCCGTCATGCATCATATTAATGAAGTGACGACATAGAGACGAGAGTAACACGAAATTATCATGAAAGGGAGTCGAGCTCTGGTGACTGTTGGCTTATGCTCGACACATACCTGGTAGCGTTCATCCCTTGCGAGTGTCGCAAGGGTGCTTCCACCTCGTGTAGTATTGCTCCTCCCGCACAACATCAAGCTCGTCGTCGTCAACGATCCCAGCAGTGCGAAACGTGCCTGCCATTAGTAGGTAGCACTATTATGTAGTACCCGCACCTCCGGGAGCACGGCGCCGTACTCGGCCCCTTTCCAATATCCAGAGCCGGGCGTACGACCCGCAGTACCTCTCAATGGCATCTGCCACATCGCTTAGCACCCCGTCGACCTCGCTAGCCACCTGCTCGAGCTGCTCGAGCCATTCCTTCTCCCTGTTGTCCACGTTGATGTGCAGCAACGACGCGACGACCTTGCAGCACCACCAGCGGTCGAGCGAGGTGTCGATCTGCCGCAGTTGGGAGTAGACTTTTCTCTGGGGTGGGAAAGATCTGGTTAGCATTCTGTCGTGGTTCGTCTTTGGGGGTTGAGGTGTGTTACCCGCTCGTGGGCGAGGCGTCGTGGGAGACATTGCCGGCAGATCTTCAGGGGACAGGTGTGCACCTGTCTGGCGGCGCCGACTTCTTCGGGTATTGTTCCGTTCGGCATCGCTGGTGGTGAACAGACAGGCATCTGGTGTCGGGCTTGGGGGGGAAGGCGGGAGTAGATGGGCGGCACGGCGATCAACGGGTGGGATACTCGAGTTTTCGTGTCTGTAGTTGTGTCTATCAAGAGAACATCTCGTGGGATTCGCAGCATATAGTGTCAAGGAAGCTGCCATTCTCGAGAAGAAAAAAAGTACGGATCATGGAGTCCTCGCCTGCGGGTGGTGGTGACGCGCCCATTTTCTCAGCACGCAGACACGTTGGCGCGTGCCTGTTTACCCCCTCTCTCCTCGCAATCGGAATATTATTCACCGTCGTAAATTCTTGCTTCGAAGATTGAAAGTGTTCTTACTGGGTGAGGGGGGAGTGTCTGTCATCCGTCAGAGCGGGCCGGCTGGTGAAAGCATCTCGACTGCCCTCGCCTCACCGAGCACGTCAATGCAACATTGCATAACAACCGAGGTGCGCGGTCTCAATGGAATTTGTTCAGACACGGCGACGTGGAAGGCTGGCTCCTAGGTGCAAGGTACAAAATGCCGAGCAAAACTTTAGTTTGAGATTGCCGATGGGACCCTGTCTGGTGTGGCTTGGTAGGAGGCGGCGTTGGCCCAAGTAACCATGTTTCATGACTGCGCGAAATGCGGCACACGTCAAGGTCAAGTGGTGTCGTCGGGGGGAAATAACGCCAGAGTTTGGATTTCACTCTGTGTCGAGCATAGTACAGAAACTGGGAGCCGTTGTCGAGATGGATTTGAATGTGCCCGTCTCCTTTCTGGTCTCGCCGAGACGGGGCCACGGTAGCCTCGGTCCTGTGTGTCAATGAGGTGCCATGGAACGACCGCCCAGGCCAACAAACACGCAGCGGGACTGTCGCATTTGACATCGTTGGTGGCTTTGCTGGATGATTCTGAATATTGTCGGCTCTATGCCTCATTGCGATTTTATGTGCGGCCGACGTCAGGGACCGTGGTGAATCCCTAAACTCCTCGAAACTCCCTGTCTGGCATGTCCTTCATGGCGTCCCAATCCAACCTCTTGGTTCCTCGGCCTCCCGCCTCTACATAAAGCCTTGTCTGCCGCTCCGGCGCGTCCCCGTCTCCCTCACAGATCAACCCCCTTGCCCCTCCTTGCCCAGCAACTTCACCTTCCCCCCTAGGGTGCCGCACCTCCGCGCCGCCAGGCACTTATTGATGGCCATGCACATGGCTTTTATCTGGTTGCCATGCATCCCGTCCATGGTGAGCCAGTTGGGGTACGACTCGTCCGTGAGTGCATCCCAAAACTCCCTGTAGAGGGTCCTCCAGGCTGGCTCATTCAACACCATGATCGACTTCACGGGCATGAAGATCTGGCCGGCGTCCTGGGTGATGATCCATTGCATATCGAAGACGGCCATGTCGCGGCGGGAACGATTGCTCGCCATGGCCCCGATCTCGTCGTCCACCATTGACCCCACGTTGTTTTTGGCGGACCAGTGGTCGTGCAGCGGGAAGTTGCGGTCCGTTGCGAAGCCCTCGCGTCCGCCGGGGAACTTGACCTTGGGATGGTCGAGGAGCCAGGAACTGCTGATGCGGACAATGACAGCCGGCTTTCCCCTCCCGATGAGGCGCTCCAGGGGCCACCACGTGATGTCCTCGTTATCCGGGATTACGACGCGGTGCTCGAGTTTCTTGAGCAGTTGGTACAGCTCGTTCGTCTCCCAGTCGTTGAGAGGCTGCCAGTGCCGGTCCGCGCTGCGCGCCACCATGTGGATATCCCAGATGAAGAGCTCACCGGGCACCTCGCGGTTGAACTCGTTGACGGTGTCGATCATCTCCTCCACCCCGGCGCCGAACATGCCCTGCCAGCCGAGGATGCCTACCTTGGAGGCGTGGCTCTCGCGGAAGTGATCGTGCCACCTCGTGGCGCGAACATCAAGCACGCGGATGCCGCCGTTGCGGATCTGGTCCCAGAGCCCATCGTTTTGGGTCAGGGTGTTGGAGGGCACGCCGGCTCCGATGGGAGCTACGGCCTTCCACATGCCGGCGTGGTGAGAGCGCGGCATGGCCAGTTCGCGGAGCGGAAGATGACCGGTTTCGGGCAAGGTGGCCTTCATCCAGTTCAGGGGCGGTACCAGCGAGGACAAAGCCCACCCCGCCGGGAGAGTTGAGGAACCCGAGGTCGTGCTCCGTCTTGGGGGCGTTGTTGAGCGTGCGGAGCGATTCCATGAACCGCACCCAGACGTGGTGGCTGTCCCCCTTGCGGTACTCGACCTGCAGTGCCATGGGTTCAGACGTGTCCTCGAGGTGGTAGCGGACCTCGGCTGCCGAGTCGGCACCAATCGACCCGCCGTGAGAACGGACGCGGACGGAGGCCGACTCTCCAGGGTTGATGTACTCCGGCCAAACCGTCCAGTCATGGACCTGGTACCCGTTGATGTACCCGCGCCGCCAGCGGTAGGGGGTCGCGTTGATGAGGCCCGCGGTGGTGTCGCCTTTGCTACCTAAGATACTGGCCGGGGCTCCAGACACGATACCGCCAAGAGCCATGACGGCGGCCAGACAGATATGGGAAAGAGTGAGAGCACACATCGTGACCTTGTTTGTTTGGAGCACACAGAGCTGAGTGGTTTGTTCGAGCGTCTGAGTGGATGGGTGAAGTAAAACAGTGAGGATAACACGGAAGAGAAGCGAGTAGAATGCACTGACAAGGGACTCTTTATACGACCGTCGAGATCAATATGTGTAAGTGATATCGGAGGGCCGTCGAACCTTGGCTTCATGGTTTGATGTGGCTTCACGATACTCTGCTCTGTAAACATCAATAAGTGGCGAGGTAGTTGGCGGCCAAGTCACCACCAGCGGCGTCACAAAACTCTGGTACGTAAAATCGGGCACTAGCCAGACCATCCCCTTGGCGGTGCGATGGTTTCCTCTCTGTTCTGAAGAATCGCACGGCGCGGAGCAAGAGTTGCGCGGTGGGCAAAGATAGTTTGTCGAGAGCCAAAGTATGGCCGCGGGACGGATGACGGCGCCACTTCACGCGCGAAGCTAACACAAAGGCATGACAATTTTGAACGCGGCACGGGCAATACCAAACCTCGGAGGCTGAGCCGTTACACATGCCGTTTTCTGGTGGAGCTCAAGGCAGGTGATAGAGAATCTGATAGAACGTGTATTGCGGAGCAATGGGATGGTGTCCAAATAGGTTCTCTCAATCATTGACTCCATCCATGGCCCTGCATGTGGTATAAACATGCCCAAATCGCTCCCAAGTAGTGTCTATCCTATGTAACCCAAGTGGCGACGCATGGCCTCTCATCTATTAAACAAATTGACAACTACATCCCAACACGGCGCGATGCCTTTATGACGCAGCAGCGCCCCTCCTCCGACGCACAAAGCTGGGCAGAGCCACCTTGGAGGGCTTCTCCTCGGAGCTGTCCCTGGGCGTCTCCGTCTGCCGAGGCGCCCTGTTGGGCTTGCAGCAGCATGCCATGCCGGCGTGAAGCAGGAAGGCGACGTCGGTGAAGACGGCGCCGATCCACATAAAGACGAACATCTTTACGCCAATGACGGCCTGGAGGTTGAGCTGGTCCTGGGCGGTCAGGGCAATCTTGGCGGCGACGCTGATGACGGTGGCGATGATGGCGGCGACGGTGAGGACGATGCCCGAGCCGAGGGCAATAGTGCCGAAGAGGAGGGTAAACCACCGCGTGCGGATGACGAGCGGCGAGGCGAAGATGAGGACAAAGTTGACGACGGTGCCGGCCATGAAGCAGCCGTACATGACCTGGGAGCCGATGCGCAGCAGGGTGAGGATGGTCTCGACCTGGGAGGGCAGGGCGATCTTTGCGCCGGCGAGGAGCTCGCTGACGAGGATCTCGACGGGGTTGAACCAGTAGAACTGGGTGGGCGTGGAGCAGTACGTGACGCCTCTGGATTGCAGGCGCGCAAACGGGGGGTCAGCAAGAAGAGCGAGAGTGACGAGGCATTGTGAGAGGCATAGATGGGACATACTCGTCATTGTAGCCCTCGCAAAAGTTCCACAGGCCGACCGAGTAAAAGTCGTGCAGGCCGAGGCTCCTGGCGACCGAGTTGAGCAGGTTGGAGTTGGCGACGGCGATGGGTATGATTTGCGAGACGTCGAGCTTGAAGAAGTAGATGTCGGTCAGGACCGACGACGACTTCTTGGTGTTGCCGATGAGGACGAGGATGAGGAAGGGGATGGTGAGGAAGTAGAGCACGGAGGCCGCAATGGCCGTGTTGCGGCGGGTGTTGGGGCCGGCCATGGCGGGGGACGGTGATGGCGATGGTGATGGTGGGAGAGAGAGGTTGCGGCTGTCAACGATGCGAACCGGGGGTAGCGGCGCGTTCGTCGAGCTGTGTTTGGTGTTGAGGAGCGCCGCGGCGATTGCAGCTCGCAGACGGCAGTCCTCCGCCGCGTGGTGTCGCGGGTTCGTCGGCAATGGACACGGGAAAACGGCAGTGAGGGTCTCGACGACGCTCACACAAGACGAGCACGGCACGACAGCGTGGTTGGACGAGCGAGACGTGACGGAATGGTGAGGAATCTGAGGACCGGGCAGCGCGCGGAACGCTCCTCCTCCAATGGGCAAACGTCGTCATTGATGGGCCCTCCTCCGTCCCGGCAGTGGTGGCGCACGCGCCGGCAAGCCCAGCCGGTGCGGCAGCAGCTGGAAGCCCCCCAGCCCAGAATCCTTTCAGGCACCATTTGCAGTGACCTCAGTGGCTCGGGGCGTTTTTGGCGTTGGCGGGTGGTGCAGAAGCCACCGCCACCGGGACGCCGAACAGCGGGGCCGCCTTCTGTGCCGCCGGGTTAATGGGTTGTGCCAGCCGGGGCCCCCCCCCTGGCCGGTCGCGAGCCGCGGTGCTTCAGGAATCAATCACCGTGCCAGGGTGAGGAGTGGATTGTTGGCCCTGACGTGCGTCAATGCGCACCCGACGACGTCCCATCAATCCATCAATCAGTCAATCAATGTCTCTCTTCTCTCTGAGAACCCCGTGCCGGCAGCGAGTCGACACCGGGAGATGCTGATCCCCAGCAGATCGCGACACGATTTCACCCTGCGACGACCAGCGAGCTGAAAAAGACTGGTCCACCGCGCTCCACCTTCCAGGTTGCTACGAGAGGAGTCTCCAGTGATGGGCGTCTGCGTGGTCACTCAGTCGAGTGTCACTGATGGTTGATGGCAGGCTCTGATTCTGCTGCCTTTGCGCGCGCGTCGTCATCGCCGAAGCCCCATCACCACCACCACCACACCAGGAAGAAAGCCTCACCCACGGCCGTCTTTGCCGAACGGCATTGTCTTGGCCCCCCCGGCCATTGGCCCACTGCCCCGTCTCTGCTGTCCTCTCCTCCTCCAGAGCCTGACCTGCGACGAAGGCGCAGCCTGCGAGACGGGCCGGAATACGAGCCTCACTCAACGACACCCACGCAAGCACCCTCCCTCCCCCCTTGTATGTCCCAATGTGCGTGGGATGTACGTAGTCCAAGGATCCATCCATTGATGACCTGGGGGGACGACAGACTTGGGACGATCCGCAGTTCTCTCTGTCGTCTCCTCATCTAGAAAGGCAAAGGGTGGGCCGCGCTGCAAAATTGAGTTTCTTGACTCTGCGGCCAAGCTTTGCCCATCGCTCTGGGGCTGCTCCGCCGACATGCACCGTTCTTTTCTTGTCCTGTCGTGGGCCCAGCGTGTCGCACAACCCAGGGGGGACCCGGTGAGGTCATGCAAGTCATGGACGTGCTGGACGAGCGACCAAGGGGCTTGGAAGGGACCCACGGGTTGTCTTGGAAGCGTTCTTGGACGTCTTGGGAGGGCTTGGTGGTGCTCCGTCACGCAAGCAATGGCCAAGACGTAGCGAGCAGGTTGCTCTCAACGCAACTGTTTGCTTCACATGCTGTAACAAGAACCGTAGAATACCTTACCCCTGGTCCCGCGTCGCGTATTAGAGCAGATTTGCCAGGCCTGCATGAGAGCCATCCTTCGCGCAGCCAAGCTCTGCCTCGCCTACGACTAGTCCGGCAACCGGGCTGTGCACCTCAGTCAGTGCCAGCAATGCAATGTCTCCCAAGACATAAACCGACTCCACCGCCGTTAGTTACCACCAGTCCGTCTGAGGCCCGATGCCGATCTTTGCTGTCCCCTCTTGCCCGTGCTGGGGCTGCTGCTTTCTTCAGCTCTCTCCTGTTTCGAGATTGCCTTGGTCTAATCTGGCCGATCTGGCTGATCGCGCCGCTCTTTTACCTTGTCCATCACAGTTCCCGCCTGCACGGACCGACGGGGAAGCAAAGAAAGAAAAGAAAAAAATCTTTTGACGAAGCCGCAAGTCCCGTTGGGACGTCGTGCCACACACACACACACACGCCATCCTGTCGTGCTACCACCGTCTTAGCGGGTTTGCGCGCGTCGTCTGGTCACAGATCGGGCGCTTTGCTGCGGTGGAGCCGCCGCCGACGTCAGCCACAGGAACCATTGATTCGCATATCCGCCGTCTGCGCAGCTTCTTTCTCACGTTCCTGACGCCTCCGAACGAGGGCCAGCAGAGACGATCGGCCGTCTTTGCTCTGTATTCACAGGATCAGGAGCGGCATTGATCATTCGATCGGGCCACATCCCGTCTTTTGAAGAGCGTCCGCGATTTCGTTTCGTTCGGCTTCAACTGCCGGATCGTTGACGGGTTGGCCGGCGCGCGCCACCACCTGCACCATCACCACTGCCGGACTAGCCCCCCCTGCAGTAGTAGTGACGAGTCGACGACCCGCGTCATCGGTGCAGAATTTCCATTCGAGCCACCTCCATCTTCACATCTCGACTTGACCGCGGCCTTTTCTACTCATCCTTCTCGGCCGCGAGACGCCACTTCTCTCGTCATGAAGGCGTCGCTGTCGGCGGCCCTCGGGCTGCTGCTCATGCCGGCCGTCCTGGCCCAGAGCGTCTCCTTCTCCGAAACCTCGGAGCTCAGCTTCTACACCGGCACGAGAACGGAGAGGATAACGCGGGAGACGGGCCCCCCGACGGGCCCGTACACGACGTACAGATCCAAAATCACCCTCACCGGCGCAAACACCACGGCGTCGGCCACAACGACGTCATCGGGCACCATGACGACGGGGTCCAACTTCACGACGACGACGGGCACGACCTCGCAGCCGCCCAAGAACACGCAGCCGTGCAACAACTACGTCGAGTTCTGCACGCGCAAGTACAGCAACATCTCGTTCGTGGCGGCGCACAACTCGCCGTTCGTGCGGCCGGGCAACTCGGGCTCCAACCAGGCGCTGCCGGTCGAGATGCAGCTCGACGACGGCATCCGGCTCGTGCAGGGGCAGATTCAGTGGCCGGCCAACGGCACGGTGCCTCACTTCTGCCACACGTCGTGCGACCTGCTCGACGCGGGGCCCATCGCCGACTGGCTGACGCGCGTGCGCAAATGGGTCGACGGCCACCCCTACGACGTCGTCACCATCCTGCTCGGCAACGGCAACTACTCGACGCCCGACCTGTACGCGCCCTACATCGAGCAGTCGGGCCTCCTCAAGTACGCCTACGAGGCGCCCTACCTGCCCATGGCGCTCGACGACTGGCCCACGCTCGAGCAGCTCATCCTGCGCGGCAAGCGCGTCATCATGTTCATGGACTACATGGCCGACCAGAAGAAGTACCCCTGGCTGCTCGACGAGTTCTCGCAGGTCTGGGAGACGCCGTTCGACCCGCAGGACCCCAAGTTCCCCTGCACGGTGCAGCGCCCGCCCGACCTGAGCACCGAGGCGGCCAAGGACCGCCTGTACCTGATGAATCACAACCTCAACGTCGAGTTCAACGTCTTTGGCGCGCAGATCCTCGTGCCCAACGTCGCCCTCATCAACGACACCAACGCCGCCAACGGCTCCGGCAGCCTGGGCCTGGCCGCCAACAACTGCCGCTCCGACTGGGGCCGCGCCCCCAACTTCCTCAACGTCGACTACTACAACTACGGGAAGCCGCCCGGGTCCGTGTTCGAGGCCGCGGCGCGCGTCAACAACGTCACGTACAACCGGCCCTGCTGCGGGCAGGTGTCGCTGGCCGCGTCGACGCTAGAACGCGGCGTGTGGTTGGCGATGCTGGCGTCGGCGCTGGCCGCGGCGATGCTCCTGTGATAAGATCAAGCCGCCAAAGTCGAATCGACCACGCGCCTTTGCTGGAGCTCCTGTTGGGTTTTACTTTTTTTTAGCGATTTTTCTGTTGGTAAAGTATAGACGGCTGGTGGAGTCTCGGCAGCTGAGCGCAATGGGCTGGAAAGCCCCGAGAAGTCATGGGAATTTTGAAGGGACATATTCTACAGTTGGATAGACAGTACAGTGCACCAGGTATATATGTGTTTTCAGCTTTTACGATTTATTGCCTCTGTGTCTCATGTGTCTGTTGGCGACTATCGACGTCTGGTCCGTCAGCTGAGCCGCGCAGAGCGCCATCCCGACATGGTTCCCGCATCGAGCGAGACTCGTTCCTTCACCGCTCGAGGCTCACCGGGGCCTCACCGTCTTGAATACACGAGCCATCGTTTCGCTGGTGAACGAAGAGACTCGTAATAGAGTACAGCTCTGCGTACAACCCAAGCCTGGTGGCTTCGGCGACCTTGACGGCGCGTGTCGACTGCCGTCGGGTGGATCGTCGCCGATACGAGCCGAACCCTGCACTGGGCGGTTTGGTGGCTGCATGCGCTGGCGACATCAAGTCCCTCATTCTTGGATTCGGGTGGTTGGGCCTGGAAGCTCCAGCTGGGAGGCCGCCGCCGTTGCCGCACGAGCCTTGGTTGCGCGCCGACCAGCGTCCGCAACGGCTGGCAGGTCCATCTATGCGGGCGTGTACATAATACGCATGTACTTGGCACGTACGGAGCACGGTTTTATCACATGCGAACAAATGCAGATGACAACCCCAGGATCGGAGCCCGACATGGCGGCGTGCGTTGCACCGTGCCTGCGAGGGAGGGCATTAAGCTTCCAGTCCCGTCAGACCGGGGGGGCGGAGGCAGCCAGTGACAGAGGCGCCCGTCGCTCCGGGCCGCGGGGGAGCCTGGGCTGTTTCATGCCCGCCTGGGGCCGCGAACCTTGCTGACGACTGACTTTGGACAAGGCACACCAAACTCACCTCCGTCCCCCTGATGGCCTGCCAATCGAATGTTTGTAAAAAGGCTCACTGCGCTCCCCAATCAGAAGCCGTGCGCAGGCGCTGAACCTGCATCCATCCATGGGAATGGCCCAAAGGATTGGGCGAGACGCTGCGGCGTCGAGGGCGCGCCGTGCTTTTTAGCGTCTGGAGCTGAACGGCACACCGTCGCTGGAGCTGACCGACGGCAAGTAACGGGACCGTCCAGTTCACTCAGGTGTGTTGCGAAGGTGGTGGCAGGGCGGCTGGGCGGGACCGGGACGTTGAACTCAATACCACGAGGCCTGGGGGAGGGGGCCCCTTAGTGGACCGTCTGGCGGAGGGGAGGGGGAGACCTGGACCCCTGCGTCGCCAGCCCTACCACAGGCGCCCCCCAACCCGATCCACCAGACCACCACCACCACCACCACCGAAGACCTGCAGCAGTCCGCGAATAGCTCACCACGAACAGTGCTGTTCGCCCCGTTGCCTGCCCGGGGCCTGCCCCCAACCCGCCCCGGCAGCTTACATGGATGTAGTCGCAGTGCAGTCGAGTGCGGCTCTTTTTCTGCGCGCGCGCACGCGCCTGTCCCTCCCGTCGGCTGCTGGCATTTGCCCACCCCCCTGCCAGCCAGCAGCAGTTCACCACCTCAGCCTGAGCTTCCTCCTTCCTCCGTCCTGCTTGACCTCTCCATATCCCCTCGTTTGCTGCTATTCCCGCTGCTTCTTGCTGCCTCATACGCTCGTTCAACCCGGCGCCCCGCGTCACACAGTCGATAGCTACCTAGCCGTACGCGACGGCACGCAATCACGCAGCGTCATATATCGCCAACCCCCAGGCTGCGCGGAACCTGACTGTCTCACCTCCCGCCCCTGTCGTCAGCAAGCAACCGCCGCCGCCGCTGTCATCGTCGTCCGTAACGGGGAGGTTCGCCATGGTCTGGCACCGAGGTTATGGACCAACGTAGCGATTTGGGCCGCGAGCCCATGCGGCCGTATCAGCACCCTCCTCCGCACCCTTCGCAGCAGCAGTACCCTCAGCAACCGCTGCACCGCGCAGCTTCCAACATCTCGGCCCTCAGTGACCCCGGGTACACGCCTTACGATACGCCTCCGTCTTATCCCGCTCAGTTCCTGCCGCAACAGCAGCAGCAACCGCCGCATCAACAGCACCAGCTGCGCGGCCGCGAATCCCTCGTCTCGCTGGACTCGCAACGCCGTTACTCAGCTGCGACAGATCCCGGCCACCTAACTGATGAGAGTCGCTATCACTCTTCCCCTGCGGCGCCTGTATGGCCGGGGTCATTTTCGTACTCGGGCGCGACTGGCGGATACTCGCCCGTATCTGGAGGGCCTGCCCCCGGGTCGTATGTCGGCCGCAAGGTCTCCATGGGCAACCGCAAGTCGAGCTACGCATCCTCACTGAGGCACGCTCCCGTACCCGAGGAAGACGAGTATGATCTGTCGCTGCTTCGGTCAGCGGCACCGATGGGCAGCGAGCCGCGGTACGACGCAATCCCCGAAGAGGAGCCTGTGGTACCCATGTTCGACGTCACCACGGCGCTGGGGCCAATGGATTCGCACGACGCAGCCTTCATCAAGAAGCTCCAGGACGAGGAGGCAAAGGGCCACCTCACCGGCGGACTCGGCCAGGGTTTCACCAAGGACTCGAGAGTTCGCGTGCGAGACCAAGAGCTACTGACGTCCCCGACGGCGATGCAGCGCAGCCTGACGCGATCGTTCACGCGACGGAGATCCATACAACCTCCCAGTCGAACCGAGACGATTCGCGAAGTGGGCCAGGACGAAGCGAACCGACGCGGCGAAGTCATCGAGGTGGTTATGGACCACCCCGCGGGCGGTGCCGACCTCAGCAACATGGAGGGATCCCATATGCTATTCGACTCGCAGTCGCGGAGGGCCACCACCTTTGGCCTCAAGGAACAGTCCACCCAGGTCTTCTACCCGCAGCCCAACTGGAGGCCGTTCGCCATGAGATGGCCCTACCTCACGCTCCTGATACTCCTCTCCATCGCCCTCGGCGCCATGCAGGAGATCTTGTTCCGCCACTACAGGGACACGGCCATACTCAAGTTCAAGTCGCCCGACGACGTCAAGCCCGGGCTGTACTTTGCCGTCAAGTTTGCGCCCACGCTATCGGCTGTCGTGTACGGCGTGCTGTGGCAGTTTACCGACTTCGAGGTCCGCCGCCTGGAGGCATACTACCAGCTGTCCAAGCCCGGCGGCGCCCTGGCGGCCGAGTCGATCAACGTCGACTACGTGACGAGCTTCAACCTCTTCCGGCCGTTTCGGGCCATACATTTGGGGCAGTATGCGGTGGCCATCTCCTCGATCGCGACGACGCTCGCCGTCTCACTTGTACCGACATTTGCCGCCGCGTCAGTTGTGCTCAACCCGAGCCGGGATGAGCGACTCAAGAACCCAGGCAGCGAGAAGCTCCTCAATTTCTCGGCGACTTGGTCGAGATTACTAACAGCAACGCTGGCAGTATGTTCTGTGCTAGCCTGCATTCTTATGTACTTGTTGCAGCGCCGACGCTCAGGCTTGCTGGCAGATGTTCGAGGAATCGCCGGCCTCGCGTCAATGGCCGTCGTGAGCCACATCTTGATGGACTTCAAGGACATGGACACCGCCAAACACAAGGATATCCACCACAAGCTGAAGCACAACCGATACATGCTTCGCAACTCGTCGCTGGCCCCGGATGACGAAAATCCTGCCACGTCGCAGGAGAGGGATCGGTTCCAGGAGGCGCACCTGTCCGAGAACCCTCATCCGCTCATGCTACGGCCAACGGGCTGGGTGCCGTTCATCATCGGCCTGCTAGCATTTACAGGATTCATTCCGACGTTTCTGTTTACTCCGGCCGACATACTCACGGACAAGGCGCCCTGGCTGGTCACGGCGCTGGCAGTCTGCTTAAAGCTGTCATGGAACGCGCTGGAGACGGCAGTCCGCATGATGGAGCCGTATTATATCCTCTCGAAGCGGCACGCGCCGCCCAGCACACTGATGCTCGACTACACGGCGCTGCCGTTCGGGTACCTCCCGCTGCGGGCCCTGTTCAACGGGCACTTTCTGGTGTTCGCGGTCGGGTTCGGGAGCGTCATGGCAGAGTTCCTGACCATCCTAGTCTCGGGCCTGGCGACCGTCGACGGCAAGGACTTTCTCATGGAGGACCCCCTGGACGGGGACCAGGACCGGTCGCACCCGGACAAGGGCCGCTTCATCAACTCGGGCCAGGAGACGTTCATGTCCTTCTTCGTGTCCTTTGGGCTCTCCGTCTTCATCCTGCTGTACATGGCGGTGACGGCGTGCGTCGTCTTCTTCCGGCGGCGGCACCCGTTCCTGCCGCGGCAGCCCAACACGATCGCGTCGGTGCTGGCCTTCATCCACCAGAGCAAGATGCTGTACGACTTTGTGGGCACGTCCAAGTACAGCAGCGCCGAGATGACGCGCAAGCTCGCCGACGGGAAGTCGTACGGGCTGGGCTGGTTCGTGGGGAGGGACGGGCAGACGCACTGCGGCGTGGACCAGGAGGAGCTGACGAGCAACTATAAGCATGGGGTGGACTTTTCGCAGCGCAACCAGCCGTGGAACATGCAATGGGATGTTCTCTAAGGACTGGGAGGCTGCAGTTGGGGTAGAACGGCTAGGTAGGCGTAGAACTCATGAATAGAACATTCGAAGATTAATTTCTCTGGATTTGTTCAAGTGACTGTACTACAGTGCCTAAAAACACCTAATAGGACGGGATGTAAGTGTTGTGGCAACACTTCGATGCATAGGGTAGGCCACCCTATATGACGCCCGTGATGGGTCTCGCAGCGTGTCTCACAGCACAGGAGCCTTGAAAGTACGGACACTCTTTGTTCATCCTAGCTTCGTTCTGAAGAGTCTAGCGTCGAGAGTCACATGTAGCGAGACGCAGGAGGCTACTACATGGGCATCGGGATGCTCGTCGGATCTTGCGGTGTCGAGTGGCGGGCTTCACTTCACGACTGGCTCCAAGGAGGAGACCCTCGCTGTGCAGCTGGGACATCGCCAGCGCCCGCTTGGTAAACACTCAGACTCACAATTCTACACCGGATCCAGCGGGGATGCAAAGGCAGTTGATATGAAATGCGGAACGGTCCTCGCGCCTCGCTCCACGGGAAAGACCCTCGTACTGCAGCTGGGACATCGCCAGCGGGTGCTTCGCACACACATAGGCCCTACATTCTGCACCGGATCCAGCGGGGACGCAAAGACAGTCGATATGCGAGGCGGATCAAGTGCACAGACACAAGGCGATCAGTCACAATACGGCATGTAAATTCGTAGATGCGGTGGGCCCGTGCCGGTACGTCAGATCCGATGAGCAGCTGCGCGAAAGAAAACCACATCGCGAAAATGCTACGGCACGGTGCACGTGCCAATCCCAGGTACGATTCAAGCGTAACGTCGGTAGATGCGTTGGAGCCAGTCACGACGGACGGACGGGAGACCCAACGAACGCCATGGTCAGAGGTTGGCCTGGGCGCGCGGGCGGCGGATGGACGGACGGACATCTCGAAACCGGGTGGCCACATGGTCGAGACGTCGGGTGTCGTGCGTGACGACTCCTCCTCTCCCACACGGCCGCCCACTTTGCCTATACAAGTGGTAGGGTAGTGGTTCCTCTCTATGGAGAGGGTGCGTGCCCCCCTTGTTTCCGGGCGTGGCGCGTGTCAAAAGACTCCAGTACCAGGTGCGGGTGAGACATGGGAGGCGTGGGAACGGGTATCCCAAGGTATGGAGCGCGTTCTGTGCCGGGATTCTAACAATGCCTCGCTACGCGGGCATCTTCCCGGGCTTGGGGTTGGTACTGCAATTAATGCTCCGTAACCTTGCTTGCCGTACATTCTTTACAGTACCCAGCCGTGCGGCGCGTGGAAGGGGACAGGAGGGCCGCGGTCCCGTCGGTCATGTGCTGCTGGGCAGGCGTGAGTGTGCATTGTCGGATACATTGAGATGGAGACGAGAGGTGGCCAAGGATGGAAAGGAGGAGGAGGAGGAGGCTTGGATTGCTTGGGGATGCGTACGCGGCCCGGCTGCTGCGCCGAACGGTGAGAGAGATGAAGCGGCCCGCATGGTGCGCTTGGCGATGCCCGGCGCCGAGCAGCATCTGAAGAGGACAGGACGGAGCATCGGATCCTCCAGCGCAGCGGCGCGCGCAAGCCAGTCAGACAGTCGGGCAGGCAGTTATTCAATGCCAGTGTCGCTTCGCTGCTAGCGGTACGTGAGAACGTCCTCGCACGGGATGACGGGCTACGGGCTAGTTAGCGCTACGTTAATTCACATAGAGCCGGGCCGGGGGTGTGTGTGTGTGTGTGTGGCGTGGGCGGGCAGCATTCCAACGGGTGGGCAGCCCGCGAGCGGATGACGATACGATACGATACGCCGGGAAGAGAAGCGCACGCGCGTGCGGTCGAGCCAAGAGCAGGAGCAAGAGAAGGAGGAGGAGGAGGCGGAGGGTCGCAGATTCCGGTGCCCGCGACAACGTGTCCAGCCCAGCCCAGCTCGCCTGAGGCAAGCCCAGGCAAAGCGGCGGCAACCCGTGGAGTGAGGTAGTTCTGGTGTGTGTTTGTTGGCGTGCATCCGGCTGGTCGGTCGGGGCGAGGCAGTGCATCTCGTCAGGGGCAGTTTTGCAATTTCACCTGCATCCAATCCAGTCCGGGGCGGGCGGGCAGGTGAGCGGGTCCCCCTGCCTGGGCGGCTTGGGGGGACCGGCCGGCGCGCCGGCGCCATGGATGGATGACGGGCGGGCGGGCGGTCGGTTCGACACAGCGCTGGCGGCGGGTGCAAGTCAATGACGGACGGGCGCTACTGCATTGTGCTGGGCAAGGTGAGCGAGAAGAGACGCCCGCGTGCGTACCGATGCGTGTGGTTCATACGAGCACTAGGCAGGTACGCTCACGGAGTGTTCGGTTCGGCAATGGAGAGAAGCGTAATATGCTGTGCATAACGCGAGTAAAAGATGATAAAAAAAAGTTTTGCACGCGCGACGCAGGCGGCTGACCACGAGCTCGTAAAACGGCGTGGCGAGCCTGCCGTGATGCCCGGTGGTTGCTGCGCAGCGGTGCCGTGTTGCCCGTTCGCCCGCCCGCCACTGTCGTCGTCGTCGTCGGCGGCGCCTCCTGCTGCTGCTGCTGAACCTTCTCTTACTGTACTCGTACTCGCGCTCTGCCCAGCTGAGTAGATGCATACCCTCTTTGAAGTACAGTATAGTATTTCCCCTTCCCAGCGGGCGCCGGCTGCGCATGACACCTGAAATGCAGTCCCGCGTTGCAATGTTCTCCCTCTCTCGCTGAGCGACGGGCGCCAGACTCCACCCCCTGGCATGTCCAGCGACGCCTGTCCCGTCCTGCTTGCGGTCGCTGCGCGCGCCGTAGTAGCGAGTCTTGCTCTCATGCCCTTCCACAATACGAGCGCTCGCTGGTCGCCCATGCTGTCCGTCGCCCGCCCGCCACCGCCTGACAGCGGCCCCCTCCCCTTCGCGCGCAGCTGCGCCCGAGGGGCCCTTGATTCCATCGTCGCGAAAACTGTCATCCGGGGTCGCCTCCTCCTGCTCCTCGTGGCCAGCCCAGCACGGCCCGGGCCCTTCGTACCTGACTGAGCCACGATTCTTCGCCTCGTGTCGCTGCGCGCGCACCATGCCCGTCTAGCGGTTTACCTCGTACGCCGGCCCCCCGGTTCGTCTGTAGTTTACGAGCAGGAACCTCCAGCAGTGCAGCAGCCCGCCGTGGGTAGGTACACACTGCCTGCCCCCGTGAGTGAGAACACGCAAGACACGCTCTCGTGCCACCCCGAATTGCAAGCTTTCTCGATCCAGCCAGGGGGTGGCCGCCAAGTACAACTGTTAGGGCGGATACGAGATCACCACCCCGCCGCGGTCGTGCGACGTAGCCGGTACCTGTGCGACGCCGCAGCGGCCGCGGCCACCGCATGTACTGCACAGCCCGACTGGCCCCACATGACCGACACAGTCCAAGACGCGTTACCAGCAGGCCCGCCGCCGTCGAGGTCAAAAATGGGCTCGCTGGCGCTAAACGGGGGGAGGCCACCACCCAAGCCCGCCGCGCCGCGCCTTGATTCGCCCTCCTTGACGCTGCATCCGTCCATCCCAAGCATCCGTCCAGCCATCCAGCCCACTCTCTTTCTTCTCTGTGAGGCGTGTGAGCGAGGAGGTGTGGGCTCGACTCGCAAGGCCCTCCTCCCTCTCGCTCCCTCCCCCCCCGTCCCCGTCCGTCGCGCATTACATTCTGCCACCCCCTGTCGCTGGTTCCGTCCGCTGCCCAGTCCTGTCCCTGCTTTGGCCGTTTGCTGCTGTGCTCGCTGCTGCGCGACGTCAACCCTCCGCTATTCCTCCCTCCTCCATCATCCCTCCTCCTCTCTCCCCCGGCGCTCCCAGAGGGAATCATCACTCCGTCAATCAACAACCACCAGCATCTCATCGCTCGCTTACCACCGCTTCGCATTATCGCCCGGCGTCGCTCGCCATTCTTCTCGACGCGACTCGGCCCTCTTTTTTCTCTCGCCTCCTTCGCTTCTTCAGTTTCTGTTACAGCCTTCTATTTCCGTTCCGTTGCAACCGCTATTCTCTCCGGCAGATTTCCCTCGTTTCTCGCTTGCACCCGCGACCAACCGCTACCACCACCGCTCGTGCCCGCCTCGTCGTCGTCGACTTCGACCAACGCTTCGACACATCGTCACGGACGGACCCGATCGGCGCGTGCGTAAACTCAATCTCGTCGTGCGACCGTAGCAGCACGGCCGATTACGTGGACGACTGCTCACATTCCCCAGTCCCCGCTCGACAACAAACACGACGACGGCCACAACGACGAGTGGTCCGTGGCCCTAGAAGCAGGATTCCCGCGCTTCGCCTGCTGCCGCCGCAATCTCCACGACCGCGTCGATTGAATCGAAGCGTTTCGCAGGACGACTACGCTCGCGGCGCCCCGGGCGGCACATCCGACATTCGCCCGCCCCGTGAATCCGCATCCCGATTGTCCCGGTAATTGCAACACCGTTCAAGATGCGGTCCTTCTTCAAAGCACCGCTGGTGCTGCTCTCGTCTATGGCGGCGCTCCTGGCGCCTGCCTCGGCGGAAAGGCTGCTGCTGTCCAATTCCCTCAACACCTGCCAGCAGGACTCCAGTTTCTCGGCTTCGCTCTTCAACGTCGTCTATACGCCTTCCAACAACTCGGCCAGCGTGCAGATGGTGGTCACTTCCTCCATCCAGGGCAAGGTCATGTTCGACCTGGCCATCTCGGCCTACGGTTACCAGTTCCTCCGGAGGACCCTCAACCCCTGCGACATGGACCTTGCTGGTCTCTGCCCCATGGTTGCTGGCAAGAACTCGTTCGGCTTCAACCTTGCCGTTGGTGAGGATGCTGCTAAGCAGATCCCGGGCATCGCCTACAACATCCCGGATCTCGACGCCAAGGTCAAGGTCTATGTCAACCTCACCTCGACCGGTGAGAGTGTCGCCTGTGTCGAGGCCGACATCTCCAACGGAAAGACAGTCAACTTGGTTGGCGTAAAGTGGGCCACGGCTATTATTGCCGGCTTGGCTCTCCTGTCTTCCGCTGTGGTGAACGGTCTCGGTCATTCCAACGCTGCCGCCCACGTCGCTGCCAACTCGCTGGCCCTGTTCGGCTACTTCCAGGCTCAGGCGATTGTCGGCCTTACCGGCGTTCCGCTGCCCCCTATCGTGCAGGCCTGGACCATGGACTTCCAGTGGTCAATGGGTATTATTCGTGTCGGCTTCATGCAGGACATTTTTACCTGGTACCAGCGAGCCACGGGCGGCACTCCGTCGACCATTTTCGATTCTCTCACCACCGTGTCTGTCCAGGTCGCGAAGCGTTCCCTGAAGCGATCCGCCGAGTATGCTCAGCCAGCCATGAGCCTGTTCAACCGGGGTCTCGCCATGATGCCCAAGACGGCAGTTCAGACGGCCGGCAAGTTGATGAAGCGTGCCAACCTGACTACCGGCTCGGGCTCGTATATCGTCTACGGAATCCAGCGTGTGGCGTTCAAGTCTAGGATCGAGACGACCAACCTCTTCATGACGGGCCTGACCTTCTTCTGCATCTTCGTCGTCCTCACCGTCCTCGCAGTGGCCGCGTTCAAGGGCATCTGCGAGCTATGCGTGAAGCAGAAGTGGATGGACAAGGACAAGTTCATCGAGTTCCGCAACGGCTGGCTCACCGTCCTCAAGGGCATCCTCTTCCGTGTCGCCCTCATTGGCTTCCCTCAGATGGCTATCCTCTGTCTCTGGGAGTTCACTCAGGTCGACTCTCCCGCCGAAGTGGTCCTTGCCGTCTTCTTCTTCTTCGGCATGGCCATCACGCTCGCCTGGGGCGCCAGCAAGGTCATCCGCATCGCTCGTCGCTCCGTCGCGATGCACAGGAACCCGGCCTACATTCTCTTCTCGGACCCCCAGGCGCTCAACAAGTGGGGTTTCCTCTACATCCAGTTCCGCGCTTCGGCCTACTACTTCATTGCTCCGGTCCTTGGATACACCCTGATCAAGGCCATGTTTGTCGCCTTTGCGCAGAAGAGCGCCGTTGCGCAGGCCGTGGGCTTCGTCATCGTCGAGGCCGGCGCCCTGATCGCCGCGTCGGTCCTGCGACCCTGGATGGACAAGAGCACCAACTCGTTCAACATTGCCATTTGCGTCGTCAACTTCCTCAACGGCATCTTCCTTCTGATCTTCTCCAACGTCTTTGGCGCCCCGACCATTGTTGTCGGCGTCGTCGGCGTCGTGCTCTTCGTCCTTAACGCCGCCTTCTCCTTGATCCTGCTCATCATGGTCATCGTCTCGACGACTGTCACGTTCTTCCGGAAGAACCCGGATGCCCGCTACCAGTTCATGGCCGACGACCGCGCCTCGTTCATGAAGTCGCAGACGCAGCTCAACACGACGACGGAGCTCGACGCTCTTGCCGCCACGGCTCGCGGCGACAAGGCCGGATACAAGTCGCACCTCGATCTCGACGACGACAACGAGTCGCTCACCTCGGACGACATGCGCCGCCGAACGGACCCTGCTGCCGCGTCGCAGCACTCGTTCCACCAGGGCGGGCCTCGATCCCCCGTGAACCCGTCCATGCCGCTATTCCCGGCAGGACAGCGACCGGAGAGCCCGTTCCGCTCGGCTTCCCCGAGTCCCTATCAGCGATCGGGATCCTCGCTCGGCCAGCAACGGTCACACCAAAACGCGAGCCCCGCAGGATATCGCTCACAAAACAATGCCAGGTAAGGAACCCAGCCGGAAGATACATGGTGGACGGATGCTGACGAGTGAAAACGATAGCCCCTGGCAGCGTGGAGCCGGCTATGAGCACTAGACGACCGACAGGGTGCATATAGTGTATTCGGGTGCCATTATGCATGTCGCGCGTGTCACGAGTTGCTGGACATTACGCGGCTTCCGGATGACGCACGAGCATTTCGTTTCCTTTTCGGCCCAGAGGCCTGGATGAAGCGCGCATCGGCGTAGACCATTGCTTTGAGGCATACTCGTGGGCATGTCCCACGGATGCAGGGCCAGCGACCCCTACAACAACCCGACCGCGCGATCCCTAAGTTCTCTCGATTATTGACGTTTCCTTTGATTGTTTGCTTGCCACGGAGGCATGACGGCGTCTGCGATGACAAATGGCGTTGGAGATCTCAAACTCCGTGCTCATGTACGAGTGTTTGCTTTGTATATATAAACGCACGGGAAGAAGCACGGAGGAGGAGGCAAGAAGTCATGGCCGAACGGCTGGCCAACTTGGCCGAGATAAAGGAGGGAAGCAGCTGGGCCAACAGCGCCATCAGGTTCCATCACAATACAACCACGACACTTCAAAGACCTGCCTTTTGCTGGAGACAGGGCATGGGTGCGCTCTACTGTGTGACTGATCTGTTCGCTGCGCCAAATCGTGATACGCATATGCAGGACACTACTCTGACCTTTGGTCGCAGTCGGCGCAAGACACGATGCACAAAGTCAATGACTCTGACTAAACTCACGCAAATCCCGAGGTCATGGCACGGGAAAAACAAGGGGAGGGGACCGCATGCGTACGTCTCGAAGCGTAGGAAAGATCGGAAGGTGGGATGACTCGTGTGAGCCTCACTGATGGTGACACGGAGCGGGAAGATGAAGAGGTTGGTAGAGCGCGGTGATGCAAGGTCGAATTGCGTCAGGCAGCCATCCGGGCGGAGCCCGGCTGCCCGAGATGGCCCGCCGGCTGAGGTGAAGGGCGCGGCGCACGGCAGCTCAGCACCCGGGACGAGGCGTCGTCGGCGTTGGGTGTAACAGCGAGAGCGAATGAGAGATTGAATTCGTTTGCGAGGACGTTTGGGGGCCAAGTGAAGTGGGTTGGTGGGTGTAAGTGCGTTTGAGTGTCTCGGCAGGTGGCTGCGGCTCGACATAGGCAGGCAGGTCGGCTCACTGCAGTGACTTTGCTAATTTGGACGCGTCGACGAGATGGCATATGCAGTGCACGTTTCGTTGTTGTGGTGGGGTGTGCGACTCGAGTGAGATGATGAGATGGGTTCGTTCCGATGAAAGGGGCCACAGTCGGTGTGAAAGAGCTCAGTCAACGTCACTGAAAGGCACTCGTGAAAGACGCACAAATATCGAGTTGGTTGGGCTCTTGAGCCCGATGTTGAATGAAAATGGACACTTGCAGTGCATGGACCGGCAAGGGCCTGGCAAGGGCGGGAGCTGGGGCGGTGACGATTGATGCAGATGCAGCTGCACATGCAGTTACTCGCCTCCGGCGGGCTCGGTCGTCGGCAGTTGGTTCCGTTCGTACACCTCGAGAGCGAGACATCTTTGCGGACCCGTCGGGAGGCCGTTTCAATTCACACCTAGGTCATAACTCACATCTTTTATTGACTCGCGCTGTGGTTCGCATCGAGCGACAGCCTGCCTGGACTGCACTTGTTTCCGGTCGTCCAGGCAGAGCTATATAAGGAGGCCCCTCAGTCCACCTCATCTGGTCCACTCACCTCTTCCCATCACCTCTCCTCGTCACCTCGCTTCCTTCTATCTCCCAGATCCAGTACTGGATACAATGCGGCCAGGACCGTGACCGAACGTGGCACGCGCCGCGGCCGGCGCAGCTTCCCAGCTGTCCCCCTCCCCGTCAGTTCATGTTGAGGCGGCGCCAAGCCCAGCGTCGTGAAGCCCAATTGCGCCTCAACAAGTGCATGGGCAACCCCCAAGATTCTGGAGAAATATCACTGGGGGTTTCTGTCTCGGCTCGTGCCCGAGACGTGTGAGCAATCCACTGCTACGCCTTGACCTGTGGCCATCTCCCCGTACTGCCCTCATATATGTACGTCCCGGAACTGCGTCCCCGCTGCTCATGTCTCAGATGCTGACCTCGCGGGCTTTTAGTGCAGGTGCTTGGCCGCTTGAGACTGACGAACAACGACTACCTACGGGACGCTTTACCGCGGTGGAAGCTCATCTCGACGTCCGCCTGGTACCGGCGGCTCGTCCCGCAGTTCTGGAGAACGCCATGAAGATGTTCACCTCACCGTCCCCAGGCCGGCGCTCCAGTCGGGTTCAGGCCCCGTGTGCCCTCTGGCAGCACTGGTGCTCCTCACCCCTGAATCTCGAGCGGCTTCGTCGTGCCAGTGCGTGCCTGGCTTGCAGAAGCAGCATTTCCGCCGGGGAGCGGGCAACCTCCAGAGCCCTTCTGCCAGGCCATCGACGGTGCGTCCAGATCTTTGTTCCTCCGGGAAGCGTCTTGTGTGAAGTTGCTGGTCACTGACAGTGAGACCTGTAGGTGCTGCTCGCCAGTGATACCATCAAACGATGGGCGCCAAACAGCTGACGCTGATCTGGCTCTCGGCACGTGGAGTCCGCTGGAGATGCCTACGCTTTTGTAGTAGTCCTTCCCCATCGTGGTGTCGGAAATCGGACATTCGGCAACATCTGAGTTGAATCGTGGTGCCTGCGTTTGTCAACGATGTTCTCGGCCATTGCGCCGGAATTAGCTGTCTTTCGCACGCACCCATATCAGCTGGGTTTCTCGTGGAGCCAGTGAGCAATTCACCGGCGCAGAAAATTGAAGAAGCACATCACAACCCCCAACCTATCTCACGCCCACCTGTCACGGCACGTCGCAGCACAAGTGCCCATATCAAGTCGATGCCCGAGGTCGCTTCAAACTTGCAAATTCGCCGAGAAGAAGTCTTATGCCTCGCAGAGCATATTATCTTGGCAGTGCCCGCCACCCAAGCATGCAGGCGCCTCCCGACGACTGCGTCCTGCTGCTACATCTCGTCCAAAACGGGAACCACGACGCCAGATCGCTGTTCGTCTGTCGGGTGACAGCAAATACAGCAGCAATGCTGAACTTCTAACTTGTCGTTTCTGATGAGGAATGATGCCTCAGACCTGCTCGATGTGATGCTGGCAGTTATCGCAGCGAGAGGAGAGAAGTCGTCTGCCTGTCCCTCACTGGCTTGAGTGCAGCTCGCGCTACCAGGACGAGGGCAGTGAACTTCACGCGCGTGCTGTGCCCCGGAATCCGTGAAGAAGCATCTGGGCATAAGACCCTGACTGCACCTTGCCGCCGTGGATGGACTGAAGAAGCCCGCGGGCAGGTCACCGCGGCGAGCCCCACGATACCAGTTCAGGACCATGAAACCGCCCGCGGCCCGCAAAGCTCGCCAGCAGATTGGGGAGTTTCTGCCATTCCAGATGTGCTCGCGGTGTCTGGAAAACGACCGGCCCTGTGACAAGCAGCGTCCGAGCGGCGCCTGCATCATTGCTGGCGAGGAGGACCAGTCATCGCTAGACGTCAATTATGACGACCTTGCGACGCGAATCCTAGTCTGGGCTGGGTAACTTCACATTGCTCACTACGTGTGGATTGTCCGACCTGACGAACACACCGCAGTCTCAAGAGCCCAATCTCAAAGGTGACGGCTCTGGCGGAGAACAGCTTCTGTCTGTTGAATTCCGCCTCACGCATGGTCTCTTCTTCTCGTCCTTGGAGAGCTGAGCCGGGCGCCTATTGCGATCAAAGCCAGGGCCGCAATGAAGGCGCCGCTGGCCGGGCTGTTGTGCCGCTGGCCATCGAGAGGAGTCAAGGAAGTATCGGAGAACCGTCTTCCATGCACCTCTCTGCCATGAGAGGGGTTTTCTCAGGAGTCTCAGGACTGAGGAGTCCGTGGTGGAGCCTCGCTCCGTACCGTGGTAACGAAGAGTGGGTTGCGACGACATCAAGGCGCTCAGTACTCACTACCGTCGGTTCTCGCCTGTACGACTTTGTGAACCTCGGGACTCGTGGCGCAATGGCAAGGCCGACTGTGCCGAGAACAAGGCCCCCCGTGCAGCTCTCGCGATGACCTTCACAACGGGGCAGAGACATAAACGACCAAGATACATCCTCCGAAGCAGTACTGTGGAGCCAATCATCAATCATCATAACAATCCGAACTCACGCAATGCCCGATATCTTGTGGAGGTCTGCTGGGGTCGCTCGTCGGTGTTGCAGCATCCCGACCTGTTTCCAGCCTCCTCCTGCTGCAGCGACATCGTCCGCATTTGGGCCATGTACATCTACGCCATGCACATATCGAACTGTAAACAACCGGGCTGGGTACAAGATATACGGCAGTTACAACCTTGTGATGGGGTATGAGCGCCATAATCGAAAGCCTTGCGGCTGCCCGGAGGGCCGGCGACGACTGGCCATTCCACTTACCGGACCCAACCAAACCCCAGCTACAGCGGCCAACTTCGCGCACGGATCCCAGAGGTCTTCGGCGGCGTGTCTTTTCAGCCATGGTGTCAGAGCTGGCCCGAAAGTAACGGCGTGGCTGGCAAGACGACACGAGTGATCTGACCATGGAAGCCACGGATGAAAGGCGGCAGACAGCCGCGGAGAGTCAGAAAGTTGTTCGTGAGACACCTCGACTTTTCATGTGTGGCTACACATCTTCCAGTACACCCTTATCCCCTCCACAAGAACTACTTGTGAATTAGTCCGGGGCTGCGCTGGGGAGAAGGCCGGGCGACAATCGCATCTACGCATGCCGCCCGGCTGCAAGTCGACAGCTGGTCCGGCCGTCCGGACCAGGAGCAGTGGCAAGACATGGCCTGCATCATGAACAACTACGGCCCAATCCTTACAGCGAAGACTGCCAGCGGATGGAAATGTCAAAACCTCAACGGCTCGTCCGTAGGCAGGTCTATCAATACTTTACCATACTGCAGTGGGGGGGTCGGGCTGTGTGGAAGGCACGAACGTTTTGGCCAGTTCGCTCGCGGATTCGACAGCTTGAGGCAGGGGTGTTGCGATCCAACAGCTTTCGTGCTAAGAACGAGCCCGCCGTTATGGCACAAGTCATCCCCATTATCGAGGGCGATTTAGGTCTCGAAAATGGAGTGTATACCACCAGGGAAAACCCTTTTCAACAATTTTGAACACCTCCCCGACGGCACGCTCACAGTGTGTCAACCTGACCGGTATTACGGCGAGACTCTGATTTCTGATGCTGTCCAATCCACCGGCGAACTGGCCAAAATGATCGTGCCTTCCATACAGCGCGGCCGCCCGACTGTATGGTGGACACAGTTTCCCGGGTGGCAACAAGTCCATCTTCGAGACCTACGTTACCCTCGATGACCGGAATGACTTGTGCCATGATGGCGGGCTCGTCCTTAGCACCAAGGCTGTTGTATCGAAATAGCCGAGTCTCAGCGTCCGTAAGTTGAGACGCAGAGAGCGAATCCCTCCGCTGTGCCATTCGGGCACCAACGAGGCGATGCCCTGACGGCGGCGCCGTCACCACAAACGCTCCCTGGTTCCGCCTGGCCTGCACAGCGCCAGGCGTTCGCACATAAGGACGACTTGATTGGACGACGGCAAACGGCCAAAGGCGCTCGGTAATGGACGGCGAGCGGCTCAAGTCTCGCCTCAGTAAACGGACAGGCTCCAGGAGATGAGGGTCGTGGCACTCGGGCGGTCCCATTCAACAATCTGTCGCATTTGACGGACGATGCATACGTCTCATCCCATCCCGGCAAGGACTGACAACTCCGAGGTGGACTACGCCATGACATTTTGTCGATTCTGGGGCCCTGGAATGGGAGAGTCGAAAGAGGCAGGAGACTGTCACGTCATTGCGCCGCCAGATCGAGTGGACGCAGATGTTCTGGTCCATGGGCCCTGTCAGTCGTTCTCAAGGCGGCTCAAGCATTTGGCAAGGCAAGGCGGCCCAGACCTCCAGCTCGACGGGCAGTTGTTCGATGCGCCGAAAGAGCCATACGAAGCCTCCAAACCTGGCGAGGTCGAATTTGCCATCACAAAGCGGCGGCATCCCGATGATGACCGGGAGCGGGAAAACGAGCCCCTACGACTCTGCGTCGGGCGGGTGGATTGTTAGCCGAGTGATATCTTCTATGACTGTATCAGACCAGAAGCACTCCGACATGGTGCTCACTGCCAAGCACGCTCCCTAGCACCGAGCTGTGTATCCGGAAACTCTGGGCTGGTCGGACCCGCGTTTGCGGCAGCTACAACACATCTCAACATACACTCTGTGAGTGTTCTCGGACCCGAAATGCCACACACAAGCCGTATGGAGACGGCGAGGCAGCGCCTCCTGAACCAAATGTGTATCATTCTCTTATACGACGCTCTCCTTTGTTTGTCTGGCGGCGACTGCGCAAGCTATTTAGTTTTCCAAACACCTTTTCTCCAAACACCTCCAACGCCCGGTTTCCGAAGACACCGGCGATCTGCGAAACCGACAGCTCCATGAAACCCACAAGCCACAGACTCTGTACATATCCGACATACCCGCAAGGCCGGGTCTGGTTCCATTGGTGGCCGGACGCACCGCCGTCAAGCGTTCTCATTATTGCGAGACATCGCGCGTGGCGCCGGTTGGAACGCAAGAAACCACCGTCGTGGCAGGTCTGGAAGAAGAGAAAGAGGCGGCCAGGCACAGAGAAAGGGTAAACGAACCGATCATCCTTCGCCGCGAGTGCCCGCAAAAGCCCCCCTAGCGCTCACAAGATTCACTTGGATTCGAGAACACGCCAGACCATGCGTTCCTTGAGACGCTCGTCCGTCGCGCGTCTGTCGCCCTCAAATTGAAGTATGAGAAATGTTTCCGGTCGATGCGGAAGACGGAGAGCGATTATTAGACGAGCTGATACAATTGCGTCGTATTCAAGGTGCGAGGAAACGTGACGCATCGGAACGGCGAACTTGCACGCCGCCGAAGCTGGAGCGCACGAATAACGATCTCATACGCACTTCCGGGACATGGAGGATCGGTTCGGCGTTTGGCTAGGGGACTTGTGCGCGCGTCGCCGAGTCGAGAGGATCAACAAGGACAGACGATATGTAGGCGGCTCCTCTGATAAGGAGCATTATTTGTCCGCCACTCCCAACTCCAGCTCTCGACAATACGTCCCCTATTAGCTGGAAGAAGACGACATTTCTCGCAATAGAAATTGGCCGCCAAAATGATCAGCAACGCGGGCGCAGACCGCTGCTGCGTGATTGGTGGCAGGCGCCCCAGGACACGGCTACGAGACTGACGACTCATGCTGGGAGGTGAGGGTGGGCGGAGCATCATCTTGCGCTGTGCAACGCCAATGAACGAAGCGCTGTACGCGTTGTCCTACCGGCGGCTCGACGATGTGACTTCTATCAGGCCGAGGAGCTGTCCCTGACTCGAGGCCGCTGAAGGGGGGGGGNGCCTCGTCTCTTCCCTGAGACGGCGAGTCTCGCTCAGGGACGGGAGACTGTGCGATATTATTGACCACAACGCAGCTGGAACGGGACCGATTGGTAGCTTGGCATATATGCTTGTCCCCTGACTGCGCCAGCTCCTCGGTTGCCATCGTCAGGGCCCCGTGCCCTCGGCACTGGGCAGCAGAACAACGGCGCAGGTTCGTTGTCGGGAAGCCGCATACATACACAAACGAGAGGCAGCGAGCTCGCACACCGCTGCAACAGACCCTGCGATCCAGTTCCTCGCGGGGTCCGCAAGCTCCAGTTCACCGGAGAGGACGATCCCCATCTGACAATGGCCGCGAAGACCCCCCTCGTGCTTTCCACTGTACGGAAGGCCTCCCCCCCCGCCTCTTGCTTCTCAGGAAGCGCAATTCAACCGTCTGACTATCCCTCTCCGCCCCTGACCGCCCTACCAACGGGCCTGCTAATCGGGAGAAAAATACGCGCGTGCAGTGCAGCGAAATGCAGCGACGTGCATCCAGCGATTCAGTTCGCTCATCTTGAATCCTCTGCGGGCAGACAAATCTGTCCTACCAACAGCCAGCAACAACTACAACAGCACCTTTTACGACTAAATAGCTTCTTTCCTGAGGTTCTCCTACCTTTGGAGATACCTCGCTCGCCGTCACGAGACCCTGCCAACTGGGATAATCACATACTGCAGTAATTCCTCTCCTTCCTCAAGCATCACAAAGCAGCAGAGCAGAGATCTGCGCGATCTGCGACATCATCGGCGGCAGCGTCGGCGGCCGCTCTGCTCACGCGTCCAGTCCCGGATCCGTAGTCACTTCTGGTAGAGCCTCACATCTGGCCGAGCGTCACATAAGCGCCGGGTACGAACAACGTTCTGCGCGGCGCGGACGGCCACTCGACTTCTAAGGATGCTACCCCTGTGGACGCTACATCTGTGGCTCCTGAGCGAGAAGGGCATGACTCTGTTCCTGAAGAGGTATCCGGCGAATCGAGCTAGCAAACAGGGCCGGCCCCAACTTGGATGGACATCGACTGGTCGACAGTCGTGTTCGTCGACGTGACCAAGGTTCCTGACTCACCGAGCTGTGTGTCCGGAAGGCACATTGCCGGTACCTATGCTCTTCGACCTACCGGGAGGGAGCGCGGAGACGGCCCGTCCGTTCGACAAGCAGCGTCCTTGCGACGGGTCCCCCCTCCCGGGGCGGCGGTTGCCGAGAGAGACGAGATGGGTAGTCGAGAGCAGGCTCAAACTCGAACCGCGGTGATGGAAAAGCAAGTGCCGGGTAAACTTGACAACTGGGATGTTCCCGGGGAGAGAAACGAGGTGACGAGGTGTTTTGATCCATTTCGTCGGTCGGGATTCGAGAGAGCGTGTAGCCGAGCAATGGATCCTGAAGAGGGATCGAATGTTCATTCATGTCTTTTGACGAAACGCCGGTGATGTTACCAGTCTCTAGGATTACTGAGAGTATAAATAACATACAATTCTCCACGAACATGCCCATCATCTTACGGTTCCCTAGCTGGACGACGTCTCTGGGCTGTGAGGGACTCAAATCATTGCGGCGTGGCGGCCAGATCGACAGACAGCTGCACCATGTCATCGGGACGATTGCATGTACGGACGTTATCGAGCCGCCTCAATTCACGAGTGGGAGTTCAGTATCATGAGCGACAAAAGAACCTTTTTTGCCTGTATTCAAATAGTGTTGTTGTGTGTAATATGCGTACATATTAAGCTCCTCCTGTATGAGATTCACCCCCACGTCGTGTACCACTAAGCTCATCCATCTCGGCCCCCCTGGCTTCATCGTCTCCGCCCCCGCGACAAAGAGGTAAGTAAAGGTAAGTAAAAAGACGCTGCGGGTCCGCAGGAGAAGGGATCGAAATGGCATAAGAAAACAAAAGAGGCAAGATAGTAAGTAGTTCACAGTTCGGGACGGGAACGCCCCGGCTAGTACCCCCTCCCGCGGGCCAACCTCGTGATAACACCCCAACGCCCTTTCCACCAGGGTCTCCCAACTCCTATTAAAAGGCAAATCCTTGCTCTAGCAACTTGTCAACGTCACCGCCGGCTGCAGCGACGGCTTTGAGTGCGGCTTCGCTGAGGCGCCTCCGCCGGTCTTGGGCCTCCTTTTCGCGCCGGGCCTTGGTCTTGGAGCTGCCGCTCGGCGCGACGCCCGTCATCAGGAGTGACCCATCGTTGGGCGTAAAGTTGACGAAGCCAACGCCGCCGCCGCCGCCGCCACCGCCAAGATCGTCACCACCAAGTGAGATGCTCACCGACCCGCCGCTAACGTCGCGGGACCGGCGCTTGCGGACGCTGCATGGCGTGCCTGGCATGCTACCTGGTAACCGGCCAGAGGTGCTGCGCGACGAGGAAATGGAGGCCCCCGAGCTGTGTCGTGAGCGAGGTACGTTGGAGGGCTGGCCGGGCGATGGTGACGCAGAGGGGGCGCGCTGCTTGCGCATTGGCGAGCAGGACATGTGCCTGGCCCCCGACGACTTGGCGCGGGGCGGCCGATGCGGCCGGTCGGTCGCCGGGGCCTTTGGTGGGGCCGGCGGCGGGGGCAGATGCGTCGGGCCGTTGACGCTCAGGTCGGTGACGACGGTGGGTTGCCCTGGTCGAGGCTGCGGCATGTGGATCATGAGACCGGCGGCGCCAGTGTCAGCCATCGGCGCGTACTCGTATGGCATCCCCATGTGTTGTGCGTGGCTGTTGAGGTTGACGCTCGTGTTGCGGTGATGGCTCGCCATGTCTCCGTTGACCGGGGCGCCCTGCGACATCATGCCCATGTCCCACCAGCCGGGCTCCTGCCCGGTGGTGATGTACTCGCCTCCGGCGCCATTCCACTGGTCTGGCGTCATGACCTGTTGTTGGTGGTGCTGCCAGGCAGAGCCCGACGGGACGTGGACGCCAGCGGGGTCCGGGAATTGCCCAGGCTCGCTTTTGACGCCCGGCGACTCGATGGGCGTGTTGATGCCGGACTGGCCATAGTACTGCATCGAGGCTGCCGCCGGCAGCGGAGGAGGGTTGTTTTCGCTGAATGGGTCGTCGCAGAAGCCGTGTATGAACTGGGCGCTTGCCGCGTTCTGGTGCTGCTGCTGCTGGGTTGGGGGCGAGTGAGATGTGTTGCCGTGCGTGACGGTGCGCGTCCGCCCGCGTCGTTGCTTTGGGGGCTTGAGAGGTTGAGGCTGCTCTTCTGGCTCCGGCGAGCCAGTCCTCTGGATGGGCGCCGGCTTTCTCGTCTTTCGCAAGTTGGTCGCCTTGCGAATCGTTGACGAGAGCGCCTCGACGAACTTCTTGGGCTTGCGGGCCGCCGTGTTGGGCGGCGTGGGCGATGCTGGATCCGACACGGCTGATCCCTTTTGCGGCGAGTGGAGCGAGATGCTCTCGAGTCGGGTGAGATCCGTCTCCGACATGGAGCCGCGGCCGAGGTACTCGAATTGCTGGGATAGGTGAGACTCTGCGCCGATGGCGAGGTCTTTGGGATCAATTTCATGGCTTACAGACGAGGCAGCCGGCCCCATGTGAGAGCTGTTGGAGAGGAAATCCAGCTCGTCCGAGGTCGATACGCCTGACGAGCCGGTGCTCTCAGACATGTGGTTGTGAGGGAGATGGGCCTCCCCCGTGAGGAAGACGGACTCGGGCCCGCCGGCCAAGGCCGCGGTCATGGCATGGGCGTGGAAGGCATCGCCGGCGCTTGTGGTGACGGGGCCGTCGTGGTCCAGGTCGACAAACTGGCCGAAAAAGTCGCTCTGCATGTCGGCGGCCCCTTCCAAGTCCTGCCAGTAGAAGCCAGAATCCCTATTATTATTATTGCTGCTGTTTTCGACGGCGTCCGCCCGGTAGGGCATCGTCCAGGAGGCCATCCCGTGGTATTGGGGTTGGCCCTGGGTCTGGTGTTGTTCACCCACTCGAGGCGCCCGTGTAAGTCGAGAGAGCCAGGGAAGCCTCAGACCATGCAGGCGAACGGGCGAGTAGATCAACGCAGAGTCGCAACGGGACACAGCCAGACAGGACAGGACAGCCGGCGCTCAGTGATGAAGGGCGTAGAAGCAGGCGGCGGGATGGGAGAGATGGGTTAAGAAAGGGTGGCGAAGGAAAAGGTCAGCGAGCGAGGAAAGGGCCCGGTCATAGTCGACGAGATGTGGATGCAACAAAACCTTGGGCCGGGCATATAACCAGCAGTTGAGGGCTTGGGGCCGTGGGAACAGGTACCCATCCACACCCGTACATAGCAACGGGCAGCAGGCAACGGGCAACGGGCAACCAGCAACCGGTGGATGGGCCGCTGGGACAATGTGTGTTATTCGGCGGACGGGTGGAGGAATGCACGGGGTTACCTATGCCCACACATTCCATCGGGCAAGCCTTTGCCGTCTCTGGCTATTATCCCAACCGACCCTCGGCGGCGCCCAGAGCACCGGCCGACCCACTTGCGGGGGCCAGCGCGCGCAATCAGACAAGCCGGCAGCGTTAAGCATCTCGTCCCGGATGCGAAGGGCCAAGGGGAGGCCGGCCGTGGGGGAGGGGCGGAAGGCAACATGTGCGTGATGGCAAAGGCAAAGAGGCCTACGGATGGAGTATGGCGGGCTTCACTTCAGGGTGTGTAGGTCGGAGTGGGTACCTAGTATCCTTGCGAAAGCGTAAGTAAGTGAGTAGGCACAAAGTAGCCTGCGACAAGCGACCGCCCGAGGCCGACGGGAGGCGAAAGGGGACTGGAGCCAAACCTTACAGCCCAACCGCCGTGTTAGTCAAGCCGCACATCATCGCCAGCCCGCCCTGGCACGATAAGTTTAACCACGGGCGGCGAGTGGGCCGGGCCAGGTGCCGTGCGGCGCTGCGCCGTGATGCACCGAGGCGTGCCTTGCCCTGCGCGAAGGCGCCTCTGGCGAGCGACAGAGCCCGGCAAAAATAGCCATGAAACGGGCGACATGTCGATGCGTCGTCGTGTGGGTTGCGGCTCCGTGGGCTGCCCGGGGCCTCCAACTGCCTGTTAGTCGACATGAGGTCCTGCAAGTGAGTCTGCTGTGTTGGTGGCAGACAAACCAGCGCCGCGCGCACCCGCCTCTCCACTTCCCGCTGCGGGTGGTCCCATCCCTTTGACAGAGGAGCTTGGACAAACCTTTGCGCTTTGCCATCCACCAACGGCCGCCGTGCCCTCCGGTCATGGCTGCGTTAGCAGCCACAACCCCAACTGTTCTGTATTGCGGATGGTGCTGCCCTTTGCAGACAAACGAAGCATCGCAGGTGACGAAGTCGAGCTCTGCTGTGTGACCCAATGTCAACGCTCCCAGGGCGAAGCTCTCTGTGCCCCGTACTTCCCTCACAGCGTGGAGCACCAGCGCCAACTGCACTCGGCGTGGCGCCGCTGTCAAGCGCACATCTGCTCGTCCATGTCTTGGCCAACAACACCACTCATCAGCGCCCCGGGCCTCGAGACGCTCAATGCACAGGCGCAGCAGACGCAGCTCTGCGTAGCGTGGGCAGGGACGGCCTGCAGGCGTTTCCTGTTCCTGAATCCTCAACCTGCAAAGGTCCACATGTTTCAGCCCAAGAATGCCGATTGCCAAGTCAACGGGAGAACCATGCCCCACGAGCCGGGGAACAAAGGGCAGACGCAGGAACATCGTCATTAATGCATTAATATCCCGAGCCCGGTCGGCGCGTGATTGGCGACCTGGATCAGCGGCACATCTCGTGGCGGCTTTGTCTCTCTCTTTCTCGATTGACAGGCTCCCCAATCGGCTAGAATTCTCCGTCGAGGAGGTGTGCCGCGTTGTGCCTTGGCGTTGCGCCAGAGCGTCGCCGCGTGCCGACGACAGCGACCGGCTCGTCGACCTCGTTGGCGTCGATGGCGCAACCCAGCTGAACTGCTTGCCTCGTTTTGGGGGAAGGTGGGTGCGCCTGTGTTGTGTTGATATCGAGGGATGCGCCTGCTCACCGGTTGAGGCCAGCCGTGTTGGTGGTTGAACAGATGGAGTAGATGGTACCTCGCAGAAGGAGGACCCGATGCAAGGCACAATCACGATGGCTGCCGCTGCGCCGCAGAGCAAAGCGACGGCTGGGTCGAGTGGTCGAGCAGTGGAGGGTGAGGTGAGCGCAAGAGACCGCGGTGCGACAGGTGGAGGTCTGCCTCGACCGTTCGTTGCCTTGTGGCCTTGTCTACGCAGCTGCCTCAGGTACTGTCTACACTTGCATCGTACCTGCCTCACATACGGGTAGCAATGGAAGGAACTGCTACTTCAGTGTCACGTAGGGAAGGTACCTACGTGCTTGGCGTGTCGTCGTACCTTACAGGGCGCAGCTGTCAGGGCTTCACGCAAGGGGGCCGGCAGCGGATGCCACGCAATGGGGGGCCCCTGACCGCATGCACGAGGACACCAACGACGGGTCGCACAAAACGGACAAACGACGCATCGCCATCAGCATCATGGGCCACGACCTGCATGGCGCAACCCCATCAAAGGGTCCTGGGAGCCACATGGAGCCCCCGCCCCCATGTTCCCGTAACACTCTCGACTGACTGACTCCTCTTGCCGATGGCATCCATCGCGTCATGACTCTCAACGCCCCGTGAGCCACGAGAGGGATCGAGGAGCAAGAGAACGACCACCGCCATGTATCAAGCCCACGCCGCCCTCGCCGCCGCCGCCGCCCCTCTTCGTACGACCAAAAAGGCCGATCGACTCGAGCCTGGAGCGCCCAGCCGGCCCAACGGCCCTGGCCAAGCCAAGCCAACCTCGTACGACTGCCGCCCGCTTCTACAAAGGAGCTCCTCACGACTGGCTGTTTCGCGCGCGCAATGCCCACTGCCACATGGGGGCTGCGGCGACGGGCGCTCCCTCTCTCGCGATGACGGGACAGAAGACGAACGGGGCGACCGGACCCCACGACAGCACACGAGACCTGCACGTGGACGTAGACTTGTGGCAGGCGGTCCTTCTTGCCCGTCCGCCACGGAACCTGCACTGCGTGAAGAAGCGCAACTCATCGCGTGAACTAGACGGTGCGGAATGTCGCCGCCTGAAAGGGTCCCGTGGGCTCCAGCCGCCGGCGCGACCCTCCACAGCGCCCCACGGCGCGACCACCTAAGGGCAAGGGGAGGAGCAGGCACTGCGAAGGCCGAAGCAACGGGCGGCAAGGCAAACAAGGGCAAATGGCACCATCGCGACGGGGATCATGTCAATCGGACGCCACGGGTTAGTCCAAACCCGGCTGCTTCTGGAAATGCCGACAAGGCAGAGTGGAGCTCCCTTTCGGATACCGCCATGGGGATAAAGGCTTCTTTCTGGCCATTGTGTTCCGCAAAAGTCCACCCTCCGCCAGTCCCGTGGCTAAATGTACACGCACATACAACAAACAATGCCCTCCCTTGGCCGGGCACATCGTGAACCTTCACGTTGGCTAGTCCCCCTTCCCCTCTCCGTCCTGACAAATCCCCGTCCCCTGCGCCTGAGGCCGCAACTGGAAGGACAACCACGCCCAGTCCAGTCTGTGCCGTGCGGCCACCCCGATTCCGAGTCTCCGTCGTACGAAAAGACAAGGACGACCGCAAGGCCACGAGCCGCTTTCTCCCGGTCTCCGGCCGGCTCTGGCCAGAGTACCCTTCTGGCACGAGTCTCGCCCAGCTCGAGTCCGGACCGGCCGTGGAGGGTCGACGCCAACGACAAGGGATGCCAGATCCACGCAAAACACCAAACGCCGGGTATAGTAATCTCATATCCAAGTCCCCCTGCCGAACAAAGAAAAAGACGCCTAGCCATGCGGCGAGGCCGAGTAGGGGTCGATGGTTGGGTTCTCATTACCCCTCATGCTGTACATAGTTGTGGCAATAAATGTTAATGAACACGGTCGTAAGCCAGATGACGCTCTGCGCTGCCGTTGTCCATTGGGGAAGCCGGACCCTCTTCGGTGGGATATGGTAAAGGCAAATCGGGGCCATCGATGATCGATGTGGGAATCGTTGACGAAGCTCGTGATCTGGCCTCATGCTTCCTCTGCCGTCTCCTTCGCATCCGCGCCGACTTTTGCACGACGACAGTGCATTGCATAGCCGCTTCGGACGATCTCTTGAAGCGCAATACACCGTTGTTTTGGACCAGCCTTGACGGTCCCGCGAGCGTCGAACCACCGTCGTTCAGCCAAGACAATTCATCCGCGCCATCACAAAATCCTTCATCTGCTTCGAGGTCAGGTAGGGTGGCGCCGTCTTTCGGGTCGATTTCGATCGGTGGATAGTCTCGCCAGGTGCCTGGCAGTGGGCGCATGACGAGTGCCTCGAGGGACCTGATGGGCTTCCGTGATGGGACAGCGGGTTCAATAGCTTCTATCGAGTCGGCAACATTTATGCTACTGCGAGGAAGAAGATGCCCCAAATCCTCCGCCCGGGGGAGACGAGAATGCGCTGTCTTGCGTTGTGGAAGAAGAGGCTCGATAGGGTCGAAAGCCTCGATGGGATTAAGAGTGCCGACGGCCTTGAGAGCCTCGATGGAATCAAGGGCGCCGATGGGTTTGAGAGCCTCATTGGGGTCGAGAGCCTCGATGGCTTTATCTGCATTGGTCCGAGTTGAGGGAAGTGAGTCAGGCTCAATCGGCTTCATGGCGAGATCCACCGTTGGGCGTGATGAGAATTCCAAAGGTTGAATAGGCTCAGGAAGAGGCTCAGTCGGTTTAGTAGCAAGATCCCCTCCACGACTGGCGGATGACATTTGGCGGCGCGATAGCATCCGTCGCCGCCTCATCATCTCGACGCTGCGAGGCACCGGCAACTGAAGAGGCTCAAAAAGGTCGGCCTCCACGGGATCGATATCCATGGCCGTGTCCGTGTCCCCCGGCTCAAGGCCTTGCATGCTGTCCGTGAGGGGCGTTGCCGTGGGTGCCGCGGGTTTACACTCTGACGAATCCTGGCCCTGATCTCGGCGGGTTATCAAGGTTTGCTGGCTCAATTTCCGGGCGAGCGACTCCATGGGCTGCTGAGAGGCCATCACGGGAGCGGAGCCGTCGTTGCGGTAAGGATGCTGGTGCCGGATGTGGTTTCGTCGACGGCGTACCCGGAGAGGCGTCGGGGTCATGGGCCTCGACGGAGCGCATTCCAACTCGGACGCTGTCAAAGGCGGTGGGGGCACCTCATCTACGACGGCGGGCTTCGGTGCCGACGACGACATCGCGGGTTGCGGTGCTGGTGGCTCCGACATGGGGGGCTCGTAGAGCCATGAGTCTGGGACATCCATGGTGAGGCTCGCATCGAGGGCGCGGCCGGCTGTTGAGTCGCCCTCGCCCTCGACCTCGATCTCAACCTCTCCCGTCTTCCGTGTCAGCACCGACAGCGGGCCCCGAGTTGACGGCTCATTAGTCAAGTCTCGACGATGTGCGGAAGCCGTGATAGGGCGTCGTCGTGGACAGCTCTGTCGATGGGTGCAATTCGCAACACTGCTCCGATACCCCTCGTTCAAGGCTGCTGTGCTGGGCGGGTGGTGATGGTGACGATGATGATGATGATGATGATGAAAGAAAGAGTGAGTGCATGAACGAAATGCACCTCAGCCGTCCCGAGAAGACGGACGGGCACACACTTGCACTGCACGGCACAGTGGGAAGGAGAGGAGAAGCGAGACAGAAGGGCTGGGCCGGGGTCTCGGGGCGGCGGGCGGGCAGCCAGTAATGAGGGCATACACGGGCGCTAGGCCCAGGAAACGGGCGGTGCGTAGGGGTGCCTTGGGGTGAGGTGTTGCGGCGCCGCCTTTTCCCAGCGGACCGGCTAGCGTTTGCCAGAAGGGGGGCCCGCTAGCGATCCCAAGTGGCCCACGCCTGCAGGATCGCCTTCTTCTCTCGGGGACAGGCAACACAGGGCAAGGTTTCCGGCGCCGCTCCAGCTGGCCGGCACGGGTGTGCCTTGGGGCGGCCACGGGGGAGGAGGTAGGTAGGTACCTGTAGGCGCTGAGGTGGCTGCTGTCCTCCCCAAGTACCCGCACCCGACCCGACCACGGGGGCGCTCAGCCAGCCAGCCAGGGGGGGTGTGGTGGGAAGATGGGGCGGGGCCGCAGCGGCCGGGGGTGCGAGAAGCACAGGCCCGGGAAGGCTTCTGTCGGGGGGAGCTGGAGGCGCCAGTGGCCCAGCGGCCAGTGAGGTGTCAAAGACGGGCAGCGTTCGTGGCCGCCCGTGTGAGCACTTGGAGAATGAATCGGGCTCCAAGTCGACTCGGGGGCTCCTGGTTTGCTACCGACGACTCGGAGCGCCGAGGCCATCCCGTCATCTCATCTGGGTCATGCACTGTGCGTGCATGGCCCGGCATGTCGTGTCAGGCCATGCCATGTCATGTCACGCCCGGATGCCATGGCAATGGCAATGGCAATGGCAATGGCCTGTCGGCTGCGCGGCCGCCGCGGCGCGTCGCGCAGGGACCAGCCCGCGATGCGATGGCGTCCAGCAGCGGTCGCAATGCGAGAGAGGATGGCCCGGGGAGCGTGCTGCACTGCTGCCGTGTTTCGCCAGGCCCCCGGGCATGGCACGACAGCAGCAAGCCTTCGCGTGCGTGTGTCGATGACCCAGCTCCCTGCAGCGTGTACCTTTAGTTAGGGCAACCGCGCGCGAAAAGGACACTACGAGCGGTAGAGGCATAGCACCAGGCACGGGGCAGCGTGGCCCGACTCCCTCGCGAGATGACGAACGGCCGGGGGAGGGGCTAGCAGTAATTGTTAGCTAGCTGCCGCCTGGGTCGCCCGAGACTTGGGGGCACTGGCAGTTGCCGGAGACAGAGAAACATGCAAACCTGTTGCGTAAATCTGTCTGTCGTCTGAAAGGCGTCAAGCGCCAGAGCACGCGTGAGAGACACTTTTTCGCGGAGACAGCCTCGATTACAAAAAACTGAGGCTGATGACGGATACAGATGGGCAGACAGCTGCACGTCGTTGCATGCACGCCGGGTGAGGCTTCTCACGCGCCGCCCACGCCCCCAGCAACGACGACGATGATCACCGAAACGGACAAGCAGGACAAGAAGGTCCGCTCCGCTCCGCAAAGTTCCTTTCAGCCGCAGGCCAAGCCAGCAAGCTGTCAGACTCGCTCCCCTTCATCATGGTCGGGCAGCAGTACCTAGCCCCCATGCCCCCATGCCGCCATTAGTGAACTCGTCGGGGACAGCTTGCATGTGGATGCGGATACCTTCCTTTTTTTTTCTTTTCCCCTCTGTGCGTCGCGCGGCCCTCTCCCGTCACTACTCCGTAGCGGGCTGTTGAAGGGGCTCATCAATTGCCTCTCCTGGCAGGGGCGAGGCATTGCTTCTTGCCACATCGATCCGTGGGATGTCGCGGGCTGCTGCACCCCTGCGCCTGGTCTCCCGTCGCCGGCAGCAAGGGGAAAAGGCGAGAGGAACTTCAGGCTCTTTTCTGGTTCACCCTCTGCCGAATGGGGACTGACACCCGGGCATGCGGGGGAAAAAATTACCGCCGTTTTGGCAAACAAGCCCGCGTGAAGAACATCAATAGACAGCCCAAAAAATGGTAAAAATCAGGAGAAAAAAGTACACCATCTGGTAGCTAAGCTTTTAGAGCTCCTATTGGCTTTTTTTCACCTGCGAATTTGGACTTTTCAGAGGTGAAGGAGCATTTTGGCTGCGGTGAGGGCGTTCTGAGTTGTGCCCTGAAGGCGGCGGTTATTTTTTCCACCGCATGCCGGGCGCCAGTGATGAAAGTCCGCAGCGCGCCGCAGCGCAGTGCGGTGCCTTTCTGCTTGGGGTATCATATCCCTGCCCGGGGCGCGCGCGCCCCCAGCTTTCCATCCGGGGACCTCTAGGGCTTGGTCCAGTCCGCTGCCAGCTTCGCCCTTTCGACTCACCACGCCAGTGATCTGCTAGCCCAGGAAGTCAGTCAGGACACGGCAGGGGTCCGTCCAGACGAAGGTAGGTCGGTTCGTCGAAAGCGAAGACGACGAACGAACGAAACGAACGAAGCGTTCAGGCAGAACGACCGACCGACCACCTGGGAAAATGTGCTGCTAGTGTGGTTTCTCGTCACCTATCACATCCGCCATGCGTCACCTCCGTCTTGTGGCTGCTTGCCCTGCCCTGTCCTGCATCCATGCCCTCTCCCCCAGCAAATGCTGAGGACCGTTTCTTGCAAAACACGGAAACGGGGCCGCTGTGGCTGGCTCCCGCCGCCAATGACACACGGCCCGCGCACGTGCTCGGCTGCAGAAGCGTCCGGTGCGGCGCCCGCGCTTGTGAGTTTGAATCGGGATGGCAGGGCACGTCTTGTGCGAGCTCGAGCGGCGCTCATCACCAGGACATCAAGGATGAGAGAGAAACGCTGCCCACCGACCGCAGACGACGCAGACGAACTGCAGTGCAGTGCTGTATGTACTGTCATGTTTTGCCCGCACATACGTATGTACGCATGTAGGTTGGTATAATAACGTTACATGGGGTGTACGGGGTGTATTCATGTACGGATGGGCCCATTATGTACGTGTGTCTGTCTGGTCCGTCCAACCCAACAGACAAAAAGACGGCAAGTAGATGGGCATCCCGGCTTGTGACGACGACCCGCGTCCGCGTTGGCGGTACTCGACAGCCAACAGCGTGGCAATCGCACACCCTCTCTGCGGAGGAGAACGCCTCGCCGTGAGTGGTTCGAGTCGATACCGAGGGTTGGGAAAGAAAAAAGGACTATCCTTGTCTGGGGAGGAGCGAAGTAAATGAGTCGCTGCGTGCGCGCAATGGCTCTCTTGCCTGCGTGGGTGGAAGAGCTGCAGATGGCCACGCAGCACACCAGGGCTTGACGGGAGAAGGTACAGTAACTACGTTGGTACGCAGGATGCGTCTCCTCCCACGGACTGAGAACGAAGGCGTCGAAGCAAGCAAGCAAGCAAGAGTAGAGCATTCAACGGCTCTCCAGGTTACTGCATTCAACGATTGACATGTATAGACATCTGTAGCGCCTTCACCGATAACCATCGTCTCTCAAGCGCGCCCGCGCCCGCGAGGAGAAGAATTACAATAAGATCAAAGGTCCCCCAACTGCCGCGCCATCTGTCCCCTCGGCCAGACTGCCTTTCTCTCCTCCTCTCTGCCTACCTACCTACTGCCCGACATTTCGCCTGCGCTGCGGCGGGCGAGATTGACCCGACGACAAGCAGTGGCCGCATGCCGCGCCCTTCATCAGCCCGCCAACCCGTCAGCGCGTCTCGCCCAGCGGCGCAAGCTTCCCCCCATCCCCCCGACTCGGCGGCGGCAGCTGGTGACTGACTGACTGACTGGCTCGCTGACTGACTGCCCAGGTGGAGGACCGGCACGATGGGCGAGCCCGACACCACGGGACAGGGACGGGCAGGCCCATGGAAACAAGGCGGGTCTTCTTCCCCCCTACCCTTCCCTCCACTCCACTCCACTCCACTACCCTTCCCTCCCGACGCCTGTCAGACTTCGGACCCGCGGGTGATTGATTGATTTGCTGCTAGTCCCGCCTACCCCCCGGGGGGCGTGGAGGAAAGGAGAGTGGGCGGGCGACAGGCAGGACGAGAGAAGAAAGGGAGAAGCACCGACGGGCTCACGCAAATAGCAGCGCCCAGAACTAGGTAGCTCCACCCTTTCCGTCCACCCGCCGTGTGGGCTCCATCCATTCATCCAGACCGATGCCATGCCATGCCTCTCCCGGCGACACAGACGCGCAGACAGCACAATGGGGGGATCCTCCACGCACTGAATGATTGGTGGGAATGCGCGGGCGTAGAGAAGCACCTTGATTAAGGTTCCCTTGGCTGAGAGTCAAATGGGCCGCCGCCGCGGGAAGATGGCCCAGCCATGGTCGCACGCACGCCGCTCCAGAACAAAAGGGTCTGGTCGGTGGTGGTGGTTCTTCTGCGTAACGGCGGCGTTTTGCCTCGTCTGCTCCGGGCCGTGTCAGTACAATTCCCTACCAAGGTTGTGTTAGTCGCCAGTCAGCCATCGGACGACTGGGCTTGTGGTGCCATGCCCGGGCACAGTGATGATGCTCCTGCTGCTACACTGCTGAGCATGTCCAGCTGTGGTTTCTGTCGCCCCCGTCTTCCCGACGCCGCCGCCGCCGCCGCCGCCGCCACAGACACACCTGTGCAACCCGACCTGTCGCCGGGCCACCTTCCGAGAACGCGGCGCACCCGAGCACCAATGCCCCCCATCTGAAGCCTTGTACCACCTCCTCATCTGTACAGATTGAAGTGCGAAGTACCGACCTACGTATGTGCTCCGTACCACCTCCAATCCCCTCGACGAGACGAGGCTTCGTCCCGTCCGGATGCGCTGGCCGGCAGTGAACTGCCAGGCGCCCGCGAGATCGACACGCAGAGGCCCTCTGTACTCCGTTGTCGCACGCAGGCACAGCAGCACATGCACCTACTGTTCAAGCGTCAAGCATGGCCCCCATAATCTTGCGGATGGGCGCCGAGTCCGTGGCACGGATCGTTGGCGCACCCCATCCTCGCACTTGTCCTCTTCGTGAAACAATGGGGGGGCACAGCCAGACGGCGCTCTGCGCGCGACGGCCCCCCGTCGGGGCTCATAACGATATCGCGCGCTGGTCTGATTGATCGCTTGGCCTGTCGTCCGCACGGGTGCAGCACTGTACTCGTACAATAGCCAGCCAGTCCAGGACAGTCCAGTACGGTACAGTACACACGTCCAGGGCAGGGAAAAAACCCGCTCGCTCGATCGTGCGGGAACCTGTTGCCTCGAACGTGGCTTTCATCAATGGGTCGTACGTGCAGTTGGTGTGGATCGTGTCAGCCCGCCACCCCCGGCCCAGATCTCGGTGTTAAGCATCGGCTTCCCGTCGCCCTTTTTGCTCTGTTCTGGCGGGAAACCGCCCCCAAGTCGGGCAGGCGGCCGACGGCGGTTCATGCACTCCAGCCGAAGCCGAGTAGGATCCTGCTCATCACGGGCAAGGGGGGCGCGGGCGGGTGACCGACCGAGATTCCTGTGACGATTCGCAGCAAGAAACGAAAAGAATCTGCTGTGCTCAGCCGCCGCCGCCGCGTTACCGTACCGGGCGCGCGGGATCCGGAGCTGTGTCTCTGTCTGTCGCCAGATGCTACGATGCGCGGCACACACATCGCTGCCGCCCCACTGACTGCCAAGAAAGCAAGGGCTTCTGCGGATGTAACTGCTTGCAGGTTGACACTTGGACGGCGTGAAATGGCCCGCTCCGGCGTCTCGAGTGATTGCTTCTGCACTGTGGCCCAGCAGGAGCTTATCTGGTGGTCGCTGCAGGCACCGCGGGAGTCTGTGGCATCGGGACCCGTCGAAGCGGGCAAATGCACATGGTTCAGGGAACCTGCCGAGGGATTCGGCGGCTGCCCCTGGATCAGCCATCAGTGGTCGCCTGCGTTTGGCTTGCTTCCGAACGTGGAACCAGCGAAGCCATGCATAAGTGCGCTGGTATCGGCTGGGGTGTCGTCACTTCGGCTCCAGCAGCAACAGCCACGGATCACACTGTCGTTTGACAATCGTTAGTTCGTCGTCATCGAACCCTCCGCTGTGTGGTACTGTAGGATGTACATGTCGCACTGGGGGCGGGGGCGAAGACAGCGTGTGCGGTTCCGCGATGCGACATTTCGTGCGACTTTCGATGGGGCCTCGACTCTTCAGTTCATGATGGCGTTGACATGAGCGTCCTTCGCGTCGATGGCTCAAGCCCCCGAAGTAGAGCTGACCAGAAGGCAGCGAGCCAGCTCTCGTCTGCGCTGAGGCATCTGCGCGAGTGTTTCAGGCATCTCGCCGTGTCAGGGCAGCGTGGCAGTGGCGGACGTGCTCGACAGGCCAGGAACACCGGAGTTGGCGATGAGGCGACATAGAGGCGCCGTCATCACGCGCCCTGCTCGACACGATGCGTCCGCCAGGTAATCGATAGTCCGGTTTCTCCAAGACGATGGCAACGCCCATGTGGCTTGGACGTCAACCACGCGCAGAATTGGCCGCCGGCACTGCAGCGCCGCGTCCACGGGCAATAGTCTCGTCTCGCCGTCGATCTAAGTCAGGCCAGCGGGTCGACGTCGATATCGATAGTCGGCAGCGTGGCGGCCACGCGACGACGAGCGCTGGTCCAGAAGAGCGCTGGTGTCCTGCACGTTGAGATACTTTCTTTTCTTTTTCCCCTCCGCCTCGCCCTTTCGCGCCAGTAATTTCTCCAAGCGTGCTCCGCAAACCGGGCGGAGCAGAGGCTCGAAACCAAGTCGATGGACCGGTTTCTAGAAGAACCTTGACGGGAAGGGCTTTTGAGTTGAGTCGAGTCGAGTCGCACACGTGTCGTGGCGGATGGCACACCTGAAGGCAAGGCAAGGCGCCTCTCCCACATCGGTTCTGCCAGGCACCACGCCGTCGCTGCGAATAGCAGCCGCCGTGGGCTTCAATCGCGCTGCTGCAGGCGTCATGTCGGCGTATCGCCTTCGAAGACGATTCGGCGAGGCCAATCAGGCATTGCATGCCATTGGGGGCGATGTTATGTGACGCTCGTCTTGCGTGTGTGTGTGTGTGTGTGTGTGTATTTTCCGTCCAGCGGCCGTGAGGCCGCTCAGGTCCCTATGGGGCACAGGACGTGCTGAGCTGAACTATCTAGAAAAGCGCCGCGAAGAAGCCTAACCCAGTGCTGCTTGCAAGACCTCGCAAGGCCGAGCTGTCGAGGTCGAACCCGGAGGCGGCTTTCCTACCTCCCGCATGGTAGGTTTTCGCTAAGCACACAATACAAGTGACTATGGCTGGCCCCCGCGGCAAGTCTTCTCAGATGTCCATCCAGCATTTCATCGGCTCGGAGGCGCTGCGTGTCAGAGCCTGGTGCCCGTCAGCGGGTCTTCCAGGCGCGTGGCGATAGCCACAATGGTCAACCCTTGGTTTTCACCGGTCAGAATTCTCTCGCTCGTTCGGCCAACGCTGCTGCCGCAGTCCCATGCTCCAGTAACCAAGCAAAGGAAATGATCGAGGAGCGGCGGCAGGGAAAAACCCTCGGAAGGAATCAGAGGCTGTCGCGCAGCTTGCCTTCAGGGAGAAAAACCTCCGCAACCGGTCACCGTGATTGAAGGGCGAACCCTCCAATTGCCCAATAGCTCCTTGGTTCCGAAGGAATGCTATGGGCCAAAGTGCAATTGTCGAGACCGGCTTCGCAGAGGAATATGAACTCTCCTAAGGTCTTCCTCTGTGCTGTTAGGGCCACGATGGGCCTTGGCAGCGAAAGCGCGGTCAGGTGGCCTGCAAAATCTGGCCCAAGCTTAGCGAGCCGCTAACAGCTCTTCAGGGGTGCAGATTTTTACAAGGGAGAGTTGGACGCTCGTCTTGCACCGAGGCAGGACGTGAGGACAGGGTAGGGAGGTTTTTAAGCGCCTGTCCGACGATCAAGGGACCAGACGAGTCCCACTGCAGCGCCTAGCAGGGCGACGGGCCGCCAATGGATGGAGCTTTCCGCACCTTCTAGCCTAGTAGCATTGGTGGTAGTGCTTGCTTGGCCAGGAGCTGGAGCTCGTTCGCTGATCCATTGGGTGGAGAGCTCCTTCCCGCGATGGCGATGACGACCAGCTTCAACGCCGTCCGCGGGACCAACTCTTTGACGGGGGCGGCTCTTCCTGATTCATCGTCAGCCATTTCTGCTTCGTCCATCGTCACTCTGTTGTCGTGCTAACGCGAAGCTGGCTTGGTGTGCGGCCGCGCAAGCTCAGCTTGTCGTCTTTATTCTTCATTCGGTCAACTGCGGGGTCCTCCTGCCTTGTCGTCGACCAGGGACCTGCCTTTGTTCCTCAGTCCTCACCACCTCTCTCCTGTGTTCGACGCCTCGATAACTGCCGCTTCGACAGCTCTGCCACCATGTCGGCTCAGCAGCAGTATTACCCGCGTAGGTGCTCCCCGTTCCCCGGCGCTGTTGCCCGACCTCGCGTCTTGCCATCAATTGTCGACAGTTGACAGAAGGCTAACACCCCGCGCTTTCCCCCACAGCCCCTCCAGGTGCCGGCAACACAGGTTCGTCACAACAGCCTCCCTCCCTTTCCCGTCTGCTTCGCCTCGTCGCAGTTATTCGTACGCGGACGCCGCATGCTGACAGCCTCCCAGGTGCCCAGCAGCACTACCCGCCGCCGCCTCCGCCGCAGCAGCAGCAGCAGCAGCAGCAGCAGCAGCAGCAGCAGCAGCAGCAGCAGCAGCAGCAGCAGCAGCATCAGTACGCGCCGCCTCCCGCCTCGTCTCCTCCCGCCCACCAGTATCAGTACGCCTCTCCTCCGATCTCGCCGCCCGCGGCGCAACAACAGTATGCTGCTCCTCCCACCGCATCTCCCGGGCACCATCACACCCAGAGCTACCCGCCCCCGCCCCAGCCATCGCCTGGACATGCCGTCAACTACCCTCCGCCTCCTCCTGCCGGCCAGCCGACCCCGTCTCCCCAGCCTCATCAACCGGCGCCCCAGCAGCACTATGCGCCGCCCCCCGCCACTCCGCCGGCGCACCAGGGCCAGCCGCCGCAGCAGGTGCATCAGCAGCAGCAGCAACAGTACCATCCTCCTCAGCAGCAGACAAGCATTCCTATCCGGCCGGCCGCGACCCCTGATGTGAAGCAGCCACCGCAGTACGATGCGCCTCCGGCTTTCCCTAACACTGAGGCTCCATATCCGCCCGAGAAGCAAGGCCATCACGAGGGGCACCTGGATACCAGCAACCCCGTCAACCTCGTCGCAGGAGCTCCGCCGGCGGGGCACTTTGTTGGAGCCGGCGCCGTCGTGGACGACGTGGGCACGTTTAACGGCGGCAGCTACCGTATCAGCCATCGGGACACAAACACCATTTTGACGATTCAGCTCGCCATGGGTTGTCCATTCGATGCGAAGCCAGGTAAGTGAGCAACGCATCTGCTCAGGCTACTGCGCCGCTGACGCACTTCTCAGGCGCCATGATCGCCATGTCGCCGACAATGACCCTGCGTGGCACCGTCAAGTTCAGCGTCAAGAAGATGATTGCCGGTGCCGACCTCAACACGTCCAGCTACATTGGTCCCGGAGAACTGCTCCTCGCACCTCCCATGCTTGGCGACATCACCAGCATCAGACTCTCTGGCAACGAGAGCTGGTCCGTTGGCCATGATGCGTATCTCGCCTCCACCCAGGGCGTCATCAAGGACCACAAGCGCCAAGGCCTCGGCAAAGCCATGTTCAGCGGCGAGGGTCTATTTGTCTACAAGATGAGCGGTACGGGCATCATGTGGCTGACCAGCTTCGGTGCCATCATCAGGAAAGACGTGAGTGATGCCTGCCCGCCACTCTCAGCACAGCAGTCGCTAATCAAGGGAACTGCAGCTCATCGACGGAGAAAAATATATCGTCGACAACGGCCACCTCGTGGCATGGAACACAAAATATGTTCTCGAGCGCGTCGCTTCAGGCGGAATAATATCGAACTTTGCCTCGGGTGAGGGCCTGGTTTGCAAGTTCACCGGCCCTGGCACCATCTTTATCCAGACCAGAAATGCGGTGCGTTGTACACTGTCGTTTGACAACTCCTCACAAGACTGACATGCATGCAGAAAGCATTCACCGCGTACATGGGAGGACAGACTGTTCAGGCGTAATCCTCGAGGGAAGCAAGCACCAGCGGGAATCCTGTATGCTTTTGAGTGTTGGATATCTACTTGGATGGCAGATCGGTCAGCTTCTCGTTTAACCAAATATCAAAGGGAACTCGCTCCACGACTTTTCGGCGCGCTCCAGTGAAGTGACTGTTTGCAGTGGCCCGCCGGCTAGGGGCAGGATGGATGTGCGCTGTCGACGATCTACTGTCGGAGCCTCAGGGGTCGCCAGAGGAGAGCATCCATACAACGGCTAAGGAAAGAAGAGCCAACTCGCACATCTCGCTTCGCCGTGGCACCTGCCTGATTATTGTCGCTCCTGCAGCCCCTGGTCTATCCAGCTGCCTGCCTGGTCGACCTTGTCCGTCCATTATTTTGCTTCGCCCCCGGAACACTCTCCTCCCACCGCGTACTCCACGGCTTGACTTCAGCGTTCCCCCTTTTTGGAATTTAAAGCTTATAGCACAGCAAACCTTGCGAAGCCTCGCGCACCCGCGCCGTGCTCCAAGGCTCGGCCTACAAGCGTTTCCACAGCGAGCATTCGGGAGCCGGTCTCTTGATCAGGGCGTCGCCGCAACCCCGTAGCCTCCTCCCCTTAGGCGACTGAACAGGACGGCAGTACTGGGGCAACCTTGGAGCGTAGCCTGCGCGAGCGATACCGACAAACTCAAAAGCCGTCGCGCCGTGTTTGCTGGTTCTCTGGCGCGACTAGCCAGCTAGGACTGTTTATATTGTTCGGCGAGTCCTCCTGACACCCGAACCTGACTTGAGCCTCGTCCTGTTCTCACTGCACACGAACCTCTATCACAATCCTGGCCGTCCGCAAAGCCACGCATCCCAGGGACTCCACGTCTACTATCTCTCTCTACTCTCTCCTACCATAGAACTCCACTCATCGTCGATCAATCGCCGGAGACACTCGCTGTGGGAAAGATTCTCGATCGTTTGTTGTGCTCCGGCTCGCCATACCAGGCGTATCGTGATAAACACGTCGCTTAGGTCTCGACAACATGCCCTTCCCCTTTACATGACACTAACAGCTAATGGAGCTTTCACAGAGCTCAGAGACTCGTATCTTCCAACCCCCGTCCAGTCAGGACGAAACTGCTCAGCATGTCTCCGTGAGTGTTCCTTGCAGCGCGAGGGCGCCCACATGGCTGACTCAATTCTGCACCGAGAAGCTTGGCTCAACAAAGTGTCGTCGGCTACAGCAAGCCCACGCATAGATCCGCAAGCCTCGCGGCGCAGGCCCCTTTGGCCAACAGTTTGCCCCGAGCCGCCGGCAGCTCTCCCGTCACCAAAAGGGATGGACCTGAAGGCCAGCGTACCACCTCTAAGCTTGCGGAGGCGTTGAAAAACCCAAACTGGCGAGATCGTGGGACTGATGGGGGCTCGTTCTCGTCCCTCAACATCAGCGCGGATGAGTCTCGCGCTGCCGGGCTCGATGGTGCACTGTCTCGGCCCCGTGGATGGCCCTCATCTTCCTCTGGCAGCTTGTACGCGGTCGAGCCGGATAACATCAACAACCGCAAGGTTTCCATGGCCGATCGACTGTTCAATGTGCGCCCGCCGACCAACGCCACACCTCGGGAGGCCGCCTCGGACCGGACCCCAGGAAGGCACGGGGGCGAGGCAGTTGCCGCTGACCTGTGTCGCGTAATGGGACAAGTCAGCCTTGATGAATTTTCGGGGTGCTCGGGCATTTTCTTGCTTGACGTCTCAGGGCGAAATGGCCGTGGCTCGGCTGATTCCCTTGATGGCGGCCTCTCTGATATCTCTGCTCGTATGGAGCGCGGGCCAGTGACCATTATGCCAACTCGTGGTCGACACTCTGTCGCCAGAGTGTGCCGGCCCGACGTCACAGTCGCCCACCAAGGGGGCTATGCCTGCCAAAGAACTGGCGGCGGCGATGGTTTTCGACTATCATCCGGAAGTGGTCATCGCGGCCACCACCATAGTCTTGGTATGCGCACTAGCTTGACGTCGTCGTCGTCGTCTGCCCGAACACCGGATTCGTCCCATCACAGCAATGTCGGTGAAGCTGAAGTCATCTCTCAGCGGCAGCCCGAGCATGGCACCACGGCATCACCAACTATGCGTGACGTGGTTGCAGGTGGCCATCCAACAGCTTGCCAAGAGGAGTCGCGTGCCCATCTTGATGCCAAAAATGAAGCTTTCCAAAGGATGCTCGAGAGGCTCAAGAAACCAGCTCAAACTGCCACTTTGCATGCACAAGCCATGAGGGACGCTGGCCGCACGGCTGTCCACGGACATGCCGTTGCCCACGGCCGTTCTAGGCTTGCACAGCCTGACGCTGGTCGCAACGATGTGGACGCGCCCAACACACGAAGAGAGCTCACCGTGTCCGACTTTGTTGTTCCCTACGGACGAGCCAAAAGTAGCACGCACCAGACGGAGCGTTCCAGCGACTCGGCCACCAGCACGGCCTCAAGTGCCAGGAATAACTCGCTAAACCCCAAAGCAAGAGAGTTTTTGTCTTTCAAGCAGGGCCTGCGACCTTCGCCTCCTCGCGAAAACCAAGACTCATCTCAAGCCTCAGGTTCTCTCGGACTGAGGGGATCCCAAAAAGACATCGCAAGGAACTCACCAGGCTGGACCAAAGTCAACCTTGGAGCGCCCAAGCCTGTGCTCACACCGGAGCCACTCATTCGTCCTTACGACAGAGTTGCGCCGAATCAGAACCCCAACCTGAACAGAGTACCAGATGTTCGCAACTTGGTTCCTATTCAACCCGCCGGCCTGCCCTACCCCCTGGTCCCGGGTGTGAACCTCTCCACGTACCCGCCCGATGCCGCTCAGCTCGTCGAGGTGCCGCAGGTTCTGCCCGGCTTGTACGCTGGAACCAGCGTCTTTGCCAGCCTCAACGCGGGCCCGAATACCTATCCGGCTACGACTCCGGCATATCGCTCACTTCCTTCTCGGCTCCAATATCCGATTTGGCCGGTAACCCCTCAGCTTGCTGCGAATGCCTCGAACCCTGTTCTCCCCCCGGTTCCTGTCAGTCGTCCAGTGCCGGTGCCGAAGCCTCACTTTCCCAGCGTTAGCGGACAGCAGGCATACGAGGCGTACATTGAGCAGAGAAAGGCCACGGAGCCTGGCTACGCGATGGAATGCCGGCAGAGACAGCAACGCAGAGCGAAGCGCAATCAGGCGGCTAAACTCGCCGCTGACCGAGCCCCTTAGCCGCTGTGATAGGCGACTCTACCCAGTTCCGGCGATTTCTAGTCCGACACAGTCACTCCCTCCTTTTGCATCATTGTCGTCGGAAGGGGTCCAGTCTATTCGACCCACACTCACCACCTTACTGGAAGCCTGTCTCGATTGTTTAGCATCGTTGATGAGACGAACTTGTTTACATTTTCTCTTGCTGTTTACTCTGTACCCTAATTTCCCGCCTTTGTATTCTCTCTGTGCTGCTGTCGTTGATCTTGTATGGTGCGGGTCCACGTCACTCTCTGATCAACGGGAGATTGCGTGCTGCGGGATGCTGTCGGGTGTTATTCATGGTAGACATGCTGGTTTGAAGTAACCGCGTGGCTCACGCCCTCGCCGTCCCCGAAGCATGCTGCAACGTCGGAACTGGCGATGATACTCCTTTCTCGCGAAGAGACCACGAGCATCATGGTTATATGCCGGGCTATGGAAGCGTGAATGGCATAAGGCAAGCTCGAAATGGCTCGGAGCGCACGGAGAACGGGAGGAGAGTGGTGTGTATATTCCACCGCTGGCTTCATGTAAAGTAGTGACGCGTTATTAGTGTATCATATCGCTGATATCGAAGTCGTCTCCCAACCCGATGTCTCCTTTCCCGTGCCGTGATGCCATGATGACCGTTGCCAAACAAGAATACAATGATGAATCCACCCTGTGTGCAAAACTCTCCTCATAACGTGTACAACATCTCACTGCATCCATAGCAGCGTCTCGTACCCCGCCTCGATATGCTCCAAAATACACATTCCTCGGGGTAGCGTCAGCCTCAGTTCCTACGCTTGGATGGACCCGCGCATGGCTGGGCGGTCCGCACACCCGCCTTGCACTTGTTGTTGGACTTGCCGTACGGCATGCACACCTCGACGGCCCCGTCACGTCCCGCCTGCAGGAACCCGTTGGCGGAGCCATAGTCAAACATCCACTTGCCCCTGGGGTGAGTCCGGTCGGGCACGGGAGCGCCCCCGCGGAGGTGAGCCGCCGACATGTGGTTGAGGAACCCGTTGCAGTGGTCCACGTCGCCCTCGTACGAAGCCACAAAGGACTCGTCGCAGCCGGGCGCGAAGCAGTACATGACCGGCGGGACGGGCGAGCCTACGGGATTGTCTGTCGGCTCGTTGTAGACGATTTCCTGCACCTGTTCTGGGGATAGCTTCTTCTGCGACCTTGGCGGCATGACAGACAGCAGGTCGCGATGGTTGAGGTCAACATGGGTCTTGTACGAGTCAAGGCGGGTAAACCTGCGTCCGTTCTCCGGAATAGGCTTCCGGAGCTTGTTCCATGCCCGTGAGCGTGGAATCGCCAATGGCTCTTGAACCATGGAGCAGGCGCCGAGGGTACAGACCCAGATTTCCGTGGCAAAATGTATGCTCTTCATGTGCCTCTTCCATTCATTCGTCCCGGTAAATGTCGTTTGGCACTTGGCGAACTGGAGGAGACAAGGGAAGTTTGCCTTGCACACTTTCTTGTGGCTTTTGAGCTCGGCGCTGTTGCGCAGTGTCTCCTCACAGTTTGAACAGGCGTACTCCGACACCTGGCCGCGAGCTATCGCCACGGTGTAGCCATCGCTGCCCGTTGAACTAACGTGGCATTCTGCCAGCGGTGGAGAACTCTGAGTCTGATTCTCCAAGAATGCAAAAGTACCGTGACCGTGTTCTTCCGCAGGCTGCATACCGCCTTGCTCACTTGCCGTGGACGTGTGTGGTGGCGATCCGCCGAACTGGTATGCCGCAGTCGAGTGGCCTTGAGTTCCGTGGATGGCTGTCGGCATGAACGAGCTTTGGAACGGGTGAAACGAGTCTGGGTTGTGATGGCCAGCATATGCCAGAACCCCAGTAGGACCTGCTGCGTATCCCTCTGTAGGCTGTGTAGACTGACCCGGCGGTGTGCTTGTAGCCGATAATATACCCCCGTGATTGTCTGGGCTGGACGTATGCCCGTACGTGTAAAAGTCCTGGCCCAAGTCACCGACGGAGGCTGGAGATGTCTGACCCTCGGAGTATCCTTGTGCTTGAGTAAAGTATTGCTCTCGAAGGCTGGGGTCGATGGGATCCATGATTCGTTTCGGTACAACAGCTCGAAGCCCCAAGTTGACAGCTTGGCCCAAGAAGTCGAGTGAGAGGAGGGTTTTGTTCGCAGTGGTGAGTTGTGGAGATGATGGGCCGAAGCTCGCACCTCAAAAGCGAGATGTTTGGATGTCGGCCTGCGTACGAGTCGGTGGATGGAAGTGTCTGCCTTTACGGGCCTGTCGAAGCGTTCGGCGCAAGGACCAGAGTTATGGCTGCTCTGCTTGACAGAAAGCTATCTTGTCGAGAACCTCTGTCTTGCTGACGCTGCGACGCAAGGTTCGTTCTTGTGTCTGGGTGGTGTCTTGGGGGGGAAAGAGGTCAAGTCTGGACAAGAACACGGTGCCGAATGTTCATCACCCCTTTTCAACGTTGCTTTCTGTCAGGGGAGCAGACGCCGCGTGTCGATTTCAGGTATGTGAATCTCCCAGGGAATGCTTTGCGTATTTATACAAGCCCACGGCAGTGTTCTTCAACTGCTGCAGGGACATTCACTGGTAATTTTCTTAGCCACGCCAAAACGCCAGCGTCTGCAGGACGACATAATCAGTGGCCGGGGTGGACGGGCAGGAAGTAGCTGCTCTGGGAGAGCTGCCCACCCACCCACACCACTTAGCAGAGCCTCAAAGAGGGCCATGGCTAGAAGTGGCAGTGTGGCCAAGGCATTCCCTGGTCCAGGGAGTCGGTGAGCCAGTGGTGCCTGATGGGATGTTGTATCCTGAGTCCTCTCGCGTGAGCAACTTGAAGGGGTGCAAAGGTTGGACATCAAGCTTGACAGCACTCTGAGTGCCCGGAGAAGTCTTCGCTGCGTCGTCTGCTACTGCATTCACCAGTGTGCGCTCTGAACGCGTTGCTGCCCTGGGATCCTCGCCTTCGGAGTCCTGACCCTTCTGGCCCCTTGCCCAGAGTGAGATTTGCGGTGAGCTCGGGTGTCCTGGTATGCCACCTGTTGCTGGAGGAGGCAGTAAGGCGTCGAGGAGCGCCGAGCGAGTGGATGAGCCTGCTGCAAGGCCAACACGCGCCGGCCACCAGGAGTGCCGCCAGGGTTCATTCTGGGATCGACCGTACCAAGGGTGTCCGTGTGCCCGTCTGGGTGAGGGTCGTCAGGGGTTCCACGCGTGATGCACCACGGGGCGTATCCAATTTGGCTTCCATGCAGTTCCCGTCTCTGTGGTTGAATCCACGGGCTGCAGCCGTGCAGTGCAGTCCAGCACAAGGTGGGGGAGGGTGTCTGTATGACATGGCTGGAGCATACGGAGTGCAGGTAAACCCTCCTCTTTGTAACCAATTCCAGAAATCAGGTTGCCAAATTAAAGGAAGGCGGTCGGGCATGGTCTGCTCCATGGCCGCAGCCATGGGACGAGGCGACAGGCAGTCGTTGGCGTCCCAGCGGGCCGGAACTGCGCAGGGTCGCAAATCTAATGCAGCCAGGCCGGTATCCAGTAACACGCTACTGCACCGGCATGGCCTTCGCCGCGGTGTTGCTGGCCCAGCAGACCTTGAAAGTCCACGTCTCTGATGAAGGTGCCCTGAACATTGAGCTTGGTCTGATGGGCGAGCAGCGTCGAATGCTTGGGCTCTGTAGCGTACAGGGTGTCGACTCGGTGCGGCGGATGGGGGATGGTGGAGCGAGGGTGAAGCACGCAGCTCATCCATCCCGCGGAGAAGATCACCCGGTTTGGCTGTCGAAGTGGTCAACGGTCGGCGTCGGGGGACCAACAGTGCCCCAAGAGCACGGCCAGGAGTTCGGCCGCATGGAGGCTGGCAGATGGCCATGCCTGGCGGCCATGGCTCCCGTTGACGATGGACTTGAGGAAGAGCGGTATGAGATGGTGGTCCACCGAGACACAGGCTGCAGCCGTGTGGATGAATTGGAGTATTACGAGCGCCGATGCAGGTGGCATGCGGTGAAGTGAAGGCGGTGGTGGCGGGCGGTCATGATGGTGGAGGACGGTGGTGCGCCCAGCTGGCGCACCACCTCTGAGAAGCCTGAGGTGGCATCCTTTTGGTGTGGGGGATGACAGTGGAAGGGATGAGTGGCAGGTGCTAGCGCCGCCAGTCGACTTAGACGCCCGGCGCTGCAGGGGCCGGCAGGGGGGCCACAGCGGGATGCTCCGCTCCTCTCAGCGGCCCCGGGCCTGTACCTACCCCCACCTCACTTCAAGCCCCCCCGAGCCCCCAGGCGCCCCCAGCACCCTCATGCCCGTCATGGGCTCAACGGCGGCCTTCGGTTAAGCCCAAGGTAGCCTGGCGTCCCGTCCCGCTAGCCACGCCACGGGGCCAGGACGACTCCCCTTGCCCTGCTGCCCCCGGGGCTCCCAGGCAGGACATGTTGGCTTCAGCACCCGTCAGGGCATCGGAGTCCAGCTCTCGGCTCAGCCGGGCGCGGAGGCCGGCCGGTGGGCGTTCAGCCCGATGCTAGCGTGAGACCGTCGCGTTTCTTTCTTTCTCGCCGTCCTTCGCGGGGTGAACTGCCCAAGCGCTGGCAACGAACGCCATGCCGTGGGCTTGAGCCCCTGCGTCCGGTGGACGATTCTAGAAAGCCGACCGGTGCCGTTCCAAATCGAATCACCATCAACGCGTGTCATCCAGCCCGAGGCAGCGGTCGTGGAACGGTCAACAACCGACGGCGAGATCAGCAACGGCTGTATCCTCCAGGCACGGACGACTCCGCTGGTGTGGCAACAGCCTGGTCTGCGGCCCGCCCGCCGACGCCCTTCTAATGCCAGTGCCGCGCATCTCATTCGAACGTCGTTTCGCATCGGCCGAGGCCTAAGCGCCGACAACGCCAAGCCCATGTCCCTGAAGGCCACATGGCAACGGCCTGCTCATCTTGGGCGGCAGCTAAACCCGGACGCATCCCTGTTCCTAGCCGTGCCAAACAACAGATGGGCGTCGGGTACCGACCGAGTACTGACCTGGGTCCTCAGACATGACGATCCGGCGGCTCGCTCTCGCAGTGCCCGTTTCGTTCAGAGGTTTTGAGCGAGTACTCCTTTGAGGCGCGTAAGTTTACCATGGCGGGGCTCGCTCTCACACGGCTTTGCAGGCGAACAACACCTCGTTGGCAGCCAGGTAACACCTCTGTCACGAGGATGATGGCATGTCGGCAGCACACACATCGCAGGCCTTCTGCCCAGCTTCTGCCGCTAAATCCTCCGCTTAAACCCTGCCACTATTTGGCAACGCACGTACCGCACGCGTGGGAGCAGAGAAGCAGGCCAGTCTCCCGGAAGGATTTGCGAACCATGGACAAGGGTCCTTGTATACACACGTGTTGACGAGGACCAACTTATTACGAGATGGTGATGCTGCTGCTGCTGCTGCTGCTGCTGCTCATGGCCGCGTTCCTTCTTTTGAGATGGGCACTTGTCCCACAGGATTCGTGGCCCCTGCTAACTGACCGTGGTAAAATGTACCAAGATGCCCCTTCTTCAGCCAGACTGCCCGGTTGCTGCGTGTCATACCGTAGGCGCTGGCTCCGTCGCCGCCCTGTCCTTGCCACGCAGGTACAGCGTGAGCGTCCTCCTGCCTTGTTCAGAGCGGGGCCTCACAGACTGTCTCCGGGCAAACAAATCACCCAGGAAGCGACTTCCTTGAGAGCCTCGAGAACGTTCCTACTACCCCCAGGCTGAAGAAGGTGCTGCCACCATAAATGACATACACTCCATCTAGTAGGCCGACACCGACTGATGCCTGAGCTACGGCCTTGGTACGAACTCCATTGACCTTTGTGCCGCCCCGGGCGAGCGTCGACACCCCTTTTCCCTCTCCCGCACTTCTGAAGACGCCGTGCCTTGCTCGCCGCCCATCTGCTTAGACGCACGCTAAATCCATCAAACGATCGTCGGGGGCGCGGCACGACACACCCATACCCCTGCGATTAGTAGCTCCGCACTCCCAACTTTTGAACTTACAGGTGCGACATCCATATCGCCCAGATCCCAACCCCAGCATCTATACTCGCCCGCGGTGGGGACGCCGAACCACGCCGTGCGTCACGCATGACAGATACAGGGAAGCAAGCGAGCGAGCGAGCAAGCAAGCAAGCAAGCAAGCAAGCAAGCATTGCAGTGATTGCACCCGTCTGGCCGCAGGAACGGATGCGGTAGGATCCGCAGAAGTCATGTCGGGCGACCCATTTGCGGGGATCAAGACGTTCAGCATCTTCAGCCACCAACCAAGCAACACACATCCTCCCAGCTTCGGGCCCTCCGTTCGCCGCCATCCAGGCATTCTAATTTTGTCCGCGGTGGCTACCGTCGTGAAGATTGCGGGCCATTTGCTCAGACTCTCGTTCACGTCCTCGCCCGCTGCAGCATCAGCCGAGCTGTTGGCCCGTTTTCGCGGCCTAGCTCCATTGTACCATGTACGGGCGTTGCACCGGTGGCTGCCTCCGTCCGGCGGGCCTTCACCGGTTGAAACACCAGGGGCGGAGAGCATCTGGTGTACGTTTGCACATGGGTTTCCGACGGCGTCGGGGCGGAACGTGGGGAGCGCAGATCCATCCTGCTGTGAGTCTTGGTGTTTGTGTGTGTGGTGAAGGAAGCTGACGTTCTCACAAGCCCGACTTCACCATCTTAGACCCGAATGGCTACAAAACAGATCGGCGCAACGACGTTCAGGGACCTTCGTTACGAGCATGGGCAACCTTGCGCTGTCCACTGTCGGTCCTGTAAGGTACAAATTACAGAGACCCAGAGTCCTGAAAGCCCCAGTCCCGGTTCCTGCGGCCCCCAAGACCAACAATGCGTCACCGGACCACACGACGTAGCACAACATGACCCTACTGTATAGCCGCTGATCAAGCGCCCGTAGCTGGCTTACAGGCGCCATTACTCCGTCCAGAAACCGTTGCCTGCAGTTCAGCCAACAACTGCCTCCTTTTGCCGAACAAATGCGCCGCCGCTCAAGTCCAACTCCAGCACCGACCCATGGGTGCGTCCTCGCTGACGCATGTCTTATGCTCAACGTATGGTTCATGAACCTGTGCGAGATTGGAGCAGCCGTCGGACTAGCAATGGCCAGCAGTAGCACCGCCGTCAAAATTACCGCGGCCGAAAGGACGGCCTTTGCCGCGCATCCAAGCAGCAACAGTTGCAGATGGCGTCCGAGTAAGATGATGCGTGTCAGACAGCGCCGTGGCGTGTTTGGCGTCTAGAGAGTTGCACAGCATTTCAAGGCACGCCAGGCGGTCCCCGCGGACGAACTCTGTCCCAACACCCGCGCTGTGTTACAAACATTTGCGAGCGGCCGGTCCGGCCGCTGCTCGTACTGCTGCTACACTCGGCCCCAGCCTTCGAAACACCCGGCCAACGAGACATTGCCCAACTGCTGGTCTTCGACCGTGACTACGTATGTACACCCCGGTAACGTTGAGCACACGACGACCATTCCAGAAGACACTCCGTTGTTATCCCTTCTCGGGCCCAGTCTTTCAGGATACGAGACCAGTGCAAGCCACGGCCTCTGCCGCGCAAGGCTGGCCAGTTGCGTAGCCTCGCCTCTTGACCCGGCACTCTGGTTCAGCCGCTTTTTCTGGTTGCGCCCGTCGTTTCGACGTGCGTATGAAGTCGCGGCTGAGCCGGGCACAGCAACCTCTTCGAGTAAGCCGGGGAACCTCGTCGGTCCTGATGGCTGGACGGGGGCCAGGCCGTAGAGGCGGGCGGGGGGCCAATGTGACGGAAGGAGATGCACGCCGGCGGCCCTCGAACCTGTTTCGAGCTGAAGCCTCAGGTTGGCCGACATCGAGGTACGCCGACATCCCAGACAGAGGATCTGCGCGGCATGCGTGACTACATGCCTACCTTTTTACATGTCCTGGGACGCAGTGGCGTCCGGCCGGTTGAGCTGATATGCATGCTCGTCCGAAAGTGGCCTCGGGCCATTTCACTGCTTGTCGACGTCACGGAGAGGTTGCAGGCCAAGTTTGGCAGAACGGGAAGTAGAGAACACGAGTCAAAATGTAAGAGCAAACTACACACCCGGCCATCAGAGCCCAGGAAGCCTCTATAGCAACATTACATGTCCCCCCAAGAATGGTATACGGTACCGAGAATACAATACGCTCATCATGGTTGCCCTCGCTTTCATTGTCGTCGTCATGTCATGTCCGCGGCATGTCGTCTCCAGCGACTGCCGCTTCCTCCCCCTCCATAGCAGCCATCTGGTCATCGCTAGTCTCGACTCGCTCTACCATGCAGTTTGTCGAGCACCGCACGTGTCCACATTCGACGCAGGAGGGGGACGTCTTGAAGTTCATGGTGGTGTCGCAGAAACACTGTCAGAGTGGTCAGTCCGGCGATTCGTAAGGGGGGGACCTCCAGGGTACTCACGCAATTCCACATGTACGTTTCGTCGCCGGACGGCTTCTTGAAAGGCCGCACGTCAATGTCCTCGGTGCTCTTGCGCTTCTTGCCGCCGGCCATGTCGACGTCGCTGCCGGGCACGGCCAGAAAGTCCACCTCCTTGATCGCGTCTTGCTCGTCCTCTTGGTACCTCCACTCTGAGATGTCCTTCTTCTCCAGGCCCTCTTTGCCAAACAAGTGGTTGTCAATGTGGTCGCACCGCTTGGTCCACGAATTGCCTCCCCGCTCGATGGCAGAGATCTCAATGATCTCGACACAGAACCCGCACCAGAATCTCGGACCACAGTGGCGGCCCATCCGACACTTCTCCAACATTTCCTCTATCTCTTCGGCGCCTTTGACGTCGTGATCCTTCTGCAGGTGATTCTTGAAGCTTTCCCTCCGCTGGCAAGTCTTGTTGCAATTAAGCTTGTTACAGTTCCAAGTCTCCAGCTCGTAGTGCTGGCTGCTCTCATGCCTCTTCCAATCGTTCTTGCTCCCGAATCTTTTAGAGCACTGTTTGAACGTACAGCCGTATGGCTTCTGGTGTCTTTTGATGTGCTTTCTGGAGCATGGTGTGAGCGCCGACGATCCCCTTTACCAGAGAACAAGACTTACTTCAATTCGCACTGCCGGCTAAAGGTCTTGCCGCAGTCGTTGCACTCGGGCCGGTTACTAGGATCATCCTCACTTTGGCATGCATCTCCTGTATCCTGTCCACGAGCTCGGAGCGCAGTTTGGAGATCCTCCGTAGGAACCGCGGTGAGGAGGCTGACGATCTCCTCTTTGTTGCGGTCGGCACCATGGGCCATTGCTTTCAGAAGTTCCACGATGGCGCTGAAATCCGGGCCGCGTCTGCACCGCTGCGGGAGCGCCAAGTCGGCTCTGTGGTCCTCAAGGCCAGGTTGGGTGCACTCACTGGGGCCTAAGCGGTCTATGCTTAGTTCATGCCGCTCTGGCTGCGGCGATGGTTTCTCCAACGGCTCAGGCAGAGTCGGTGCCGGTGTGCCGGCAGCATGATCGGGGCAGGCCTGCTGATCATACTCTGGAGACTCCACGTCGAAATCCGGGGAAGTTTGCAAATCGTAGTCACCGATGGACTGAGTGTCCAAGCTGCCCATGTTCATAGGTTCCACAAGCTCATCCTCGTCATCCCCATTAGACGCGGCCGTGGGCTTGACCAAAGACGGGCTCCGGAAGATTGAAGGGTCAATACCCACGGAGGTCTCCTGCAGTGAATTGAGTTGGCCATCCCCAAAATGGTGATCCAGAGACGTCGCTTGGCCTGAAAGACCGGGAGAGTCCTGCAAATACGGTGGCCGGGCATCGACGGCGACGTGGAAACTCCCAACGCCTTTGAGGTTAATCTTGTCCTCTGGCGGCCTGATAACACATCAGTCTAGCGGAACTACACGGGCCACTACAACGTACCGGTAGATGAAGTCCTTGTGGTCATCGTCGGCGGTCAATGTGATCTTATGGGCGCGATGGAGGTGTGATCGGAAATTATCCGCCCTCGGCCAGACTTTGGGGCCTTTGCTGCCTGGCGTGCAGTGAGGGCAGACAAATGACCGTCCTGGGAGAGCATGCTCTCCATGCACCGATCTCTTGTGACGCACGAGATCGTTGGAGGTGCTGAATCCTCGTTGGCCTTTCGGGCAGTTGATATAAGGACACTTGTGGGCCTTCAGATGGCGTTGCATGTGTTTCCTGTCCCATATGAGCAAGTAATGACACAGAAGTCTTGCAGAAACTCACTTAAGTTCACCCTGACTCTTCACGGTTGCGGGACATTCCGTGCAGGCAAACTTGCCACTTGGACCGCGGGAGGTCACTCGTGCGGCGAGAACGTCCTGAGCTGGGTTGAGTCGGCAATCACCCATAGCCTGTCCGATGTTCAAGTCGAGTGTCGTGTCATCTCCGTGTATAGACGCGCTCGCAATGCTGTACGTCGCGCGACTACCACCGTATCCTGAGTCAGGGGGCAGGTGAGACGAGCAAACAGATGGAGAAGCGGCGCTTCGGTAGTCCCTGAAACTTTGTTCATGAGCGAACTGTCCGGATGAAACATAACGGCCATGTTGATCGTTCGGAGACGGAGCCTGCAGAAGTGCGTTCCATGGCTCACTTTTCCGGGATGCCGCGTTGAAAATGTGGATGGGCCATGACTCCGAATATCCAGAGTGATCAACCGGCATCGCGCTCGGGGGGAATTCCAAAAACGGAGGATCCATAGTCACGGTTCCAAAAGACAAAGTAGAGGTTGATCACGGAGTCAGCTGTTGCGATACCATCGACGGCAGACCTTGGCTCCCTGCAACGTCCAGCGGCTCACGGCAGCGACGCCCGTAGAATGAGAGCGCGGCAGGGAGTGAATAGTGGGTGCATCCGAGCTGTGAGCAGGCAGCAACAGCGACTCCACGACCGTCGTCCGTTACTATCGTCCGTTGTAGCGGTGTAGCGTTGGCGTAGAAATGCTAACCCTTCTAAGAGGGGACACACGCAGATGGCCAGGCAAAGTGAGGCGAGGCGGATTTATAAGGCTGGCCCAACCGAAAGAGCCGCACGAAGCGGGACAGAGAAAGCCTGCAGTCCTGTCGGCTGCTGTAGAGTAGACTCTAGATTGGACACTGCAGCCAACTGCCAAGTTAGCCCTGCGTAGCTCGGGACGCAACAAGCACGTAGCGGGCTCGGGCTCGAAAGGCGCAGGCGGCTAAACGGCTGACGGGGGTCATGCACCAAAGGACGTGGCCACGGCAGTGGGACAGGGCGTCAAAGTGTTGATGCCATGCAGAACCTGGGCTGAAGACTCGAGTGACGAGCGGTGTGCACGAGGACACCAGACGCTCTCAAGGCAGCTCGAGAAAGGATACACCTGACGAAGACGCCACGACGTCAAGGTACAGGACTGTGTCGCAGCGCCAACGCGGAGGAAGAAAGGGGCTCAAGGAAGATGGGGAGACAAGATGGTTCGCGGTTGGTGGGTGTCACTGAAGCCACTCCCGCAGGTGGCCGTCGATTCGGTGAGGGACGACTCGTGGAGTCGCGGAGACGCCCAGCAGAGACAGAGGAGCCGGGCACCGATGACGAGGGTTGCTCACGAGGTGCCGGTGGTGGTCATTGTTTGTCCGTCCTGCGCACAGGCTGGCGGGCGGCACTGGATCTCGCGGGTCGGCGGAGAGTTTTGGCTGCGTCGCACGGCGTCAGCCTGCGTGCGTGTGTGCTTGCTTACTTGCTTGCTTGCTTGGGCGTGACGTGACTAGCAGAGGGACAAGAACATTCGGCGGCGGAGAAGGGCAGACGCAGACGCTGGATGCTGGACGGCCGACGACACGCAGGCCCAAGCGCCAGGGTCGTCCAGAAGAAGAAAAAGAGGCTGACTGGCACGGGAGCGAGGGCGCGACGCAACGTTGACGACGACGAATTCGCCGTGCCTGTTAGGCGGGCGAACCACTGCGGGCGTGGTTCGCCTCACTTTCAACTGAGTTCGGTGTGGTTGTGGCCAATCAGGCGGCGCCCTGTCACGAGCTGTGTGGTGCTCCTTCCGCAGTCGCCCGGGATGGGTGTCGGTGAGAAGATTGAATCGAAATTTCAACAAGGCAGCAGCGAGGCAACCCGGAGGGGCAGTTGCCTTGCCGTGCTCGTGCGACGCACATGGGGCCCGGCGTCCCGACTCTGCCCAACGGCCTCCCGCGTCGTCCTTCTTCACGCGTCCATCATCATCACCACCTCCACCGCGACCACCACCACCACCACCCACCCGGCCACCCACCCACTCCTCCTGCTGCAACGCCCAGTGCCTTGCATCCACCACCCCGGCAGGCGTCGTCGTCGCCCCTCCAAACGCCCCCCTGCTTCGCGGCTGCTCTTGTCTCTTTGCGCGACAGGGCATTCCAGTCATGCCGTGTTGGGTGGCTGCACCCTTCGGCACCGTCTGCAGAGTTGCTATACATTCCACGGGCAGTGGTGCAGTACAGCACATCAAGTGCCTCGATGGTTTGCTTGTCCGCCTCCACCCACTCGCTTCCTTGACCAAGATGGAGGTCTGAGGCTGGACGAGGGATGACGACCCCGGCTCCCCTTCGCTCGCAAGTCTCGATATGACCGATCGTTGCTGCTGTCGGGCCCAGCCAAGCACACCAGACCGTGAATGTCCTCTCGCTCTGCCCCAGAAGTTGGGCATCCACGGTGCTGTTGACCAACTGGCTGAGCGTGGAAGGACTAGTGCCCTGCAACTAGGACTCGAGTGAGCAGTCATCTGCGTGTCCGATCCAGAGCTGCCAACCACTCCGAACACTCGTCCAGGGCAAGCGCCTCAGCCATGGACAGATCGTACGTGTCTCTGGGCGTGAATGCCCGTCATACTCAACTCGAGGACGGCGACCGGCGTGCGGCGGCTTAATGCGAGCCGACTTCAGAGTCCCCTTGGTACAGTATTCTTCCACACGATACTCATGCGAGTTCGAAATGCAAACCGGTTGCGTACATAGCAGTCACAGGTCACCGAAACTCGTCATTAGTATGACGAGTGGCATGTCGAGACCGCTGCAGGGAATCGAGCATCAAGTTGAGGATTGATCACACGTTTGCTTCTCATCAATGGGGGTTTCGCAAACTTACCATTTAACAGTGCCGTTCAGTTACTTGTGCTTGGTGGCGAGGCTCATGAGTCGTCGTGCAGATGCTCCCCGTGTCGGCCTTGTCCTGACTGCTTTGCCTCACCTGTTCACTGAGAGCTGTCCATACTGCGAATATACAGCGTCCCCTTGGCCGGATCGCGTACCGGCCTCACTTGCCAGGCCCCTTCGTTCTCAGAGTAAGTCCCTCGCTGGGCTGTCCTTGCTGGCTTGTCCACTAGTCAAAGCACCTCCCCGCGTCGCGGCAACCAGGCTCCATTCCCAGGGTATCCGCGTGGGGCCCGATAACCGAAACGACTCTCGCTACTATTATCTGCAAGCTCTCATCAATGTCCCCTTCCGTGGTGCCTGTCGGCGAGTGATCATGTCGGCGCTTCTCGCTTGTGTTGCTGGACGACCAGGCTCGTTTGCCAGAAGCACCGTGCGCTGTGCATCAGAGTACTAGGATGTATGTCTTTGGTCCTGTATCATCATGGATTGTATCTTGAAGAGTGGGCTTCATGCGAGCTGCTAGGCCATGGCAGCATTATAAATCCCCTCGATCGGTTTTGCCGATACACTCCTTGGCATCAAGCAGCATCGAGGAAAGCTTCACAGACCTGCAAAGTTCGGCCGTTCGCTCTCGGTCTGGGGTGAGCAAACTCTGGTAATTCAACAGCAAACGTTTAAAGTTCAGGTTCGTGTTATGCTCAGCTTGTCCCGAGGGTGCGTAGCTGATGTCGAGACCTCTACTGCCAGGAGGATAGCCGGGCGAACGCGGATTATACGCCAGAATGTGCGACTGGGACGAGTTCCTCTTTGCATGCAACCACTCCGTCTTCCGGCTCAAATGGCATTGTCACTTTGCACGCAACGACCCAAACCATCGGTGCTACGGGGTTCAAGTCCTGCGCGGCTCGTGGCCACAGGCCAGGATGTGTGATGAGTGCAACGCACAGGTGCAGGCTCAGAATGCTGCGAGGCAGTAGTTGCACGAACCTATCTAGCGACTCAGGCTGTGATGGGACTGGTTGGAGTACGGTCATGGCTGGCTTCTCGGGTTACATGTGGTTTGGTACGCGACTGGGTTGTAAGCTGTGCGCTTTCTTGGGATCATAGACTGGGGGATTCCGATAGACTGCTTGTGTCATTTTCCTCGCTTCCGGAGTCCTCCGTGGTGTTTGATAGCTCCGTGTCGCCCATGACAACTCACGCCCAGCAAACAGATACGCCCGTCAGGCCGATTCGTTTGAAGGTCTCTGCTACTATGGTGAGCGCCGCAGCTGGAGCAAACACACTCACACATGTGCCTGGCCGGAGACAAAGGCAAGTCTCACCTCGGGTCTCACAGGAACAGGACGCGTACCACATTCTAGAAGCCACCGAGATCGCCCGCCCGTACGACCCTACAGAACATTGACGCCCGTCACGGGTGCAGCGGACGCAAGGCTGCTATGCTCGGCTCGGTGGATGACGGGGCTTGCTTTGTGAGACGACCTCCCCCCCTTTTCTTCCCATCGGTTTGGCCGGGGTGCCGCGTTTCACCGAGCAAGCGCCCCCATGCCGCGACAAGGGGGAAAAACGGGGGGTAGGGGGATCCTGGTGTTGAAGCCGTGGTATTATTTCTCCGGAGCTAGGACCGGGGCGGGACGAAGGGGGGGGGGGTTATTATGTGCTGGGTGCGGAGGAGGGTTTGCTCATGCAAGTAGCCGTCGCCGCCGTGGCGCAAACCAGACAGGGAGGAGGCATGCTTGGGAGTACATTGTTTTGTTATGTTGATGCATGAGAGGCCGGGCGCGCGAGATGACGGTCGACTGGGACAGCAGCATATGCTACGGACGTTTTGTGTGGTGTGCTATACGAACGAGGCATGTTGTTGTTGGGGAGTGGGCACATGTCACGGGGAGCCGGCTATGCGGGTGAGATGACTGGCAGAAGAACGAGAAGAGGAAGCAGGTCGTCGTCTCATGCCAAGTGACGTCGGCGGGTTAAGCCGACAGGTCCCAGGGCCGAGAGTGCGGTGCAGCACGCAGTGCCGACCCTCTCTGCGTCCTCAGCAGCGCTTGCGCGTCCAATCTCACCGTCAAGGACAGAGCGAGATACGTGTATCGAATCAAGCAAGGGCTTGGGACTGCTGCCGCTGCTGCTGCAGACACAATGACGGCCGCGGCGCAGCACAGCCGGCCAGCATTCGATGGCCCTTCCGGTACGAAGTACGCACGTAATCTGTCAGGGCGCGCGTGTGCCGGGTGTGGTGGCACAGAGATCAGGACGGAAGCCCATGATCATGCAGCGTAACTACCTACCAGGCTCCGGGCACGGGCTGGAGCCGTGTGAGCCTCCTGCAGATTGGCCGGCCGACTCCGACGTGCGTGTACGACGCATGCGAAACTCACTGGCAGGGCGCAGGGCTTGGGCTGACGGGACTGAGCTGCCGAAGCTAGACGTCCAAGAGCGCGACAGCCAAATTGTGAGCCGGTGGCAAGCACGTGAAAGACAGCACAGGTAGCAGAGAGTGAGAGAGTCCTTTCTTCGTTTTGATTCCATTTCAGAGGCGGTGTCCTAGTCATCCCATGTTGGCCGCCCCCTCGACCACGCCGACGATGTTGTAGCGCTTGGAGAAAAAGGTGACCCAGTCCTCGAGGACGCCCTTTTCCTTGTCGTCGAGGTCGCTCCAGTCGGCCTGCACGTCCTCGGGCTTGGTGGACGTCTTGCCGAGGGCGCGGGAGGCGTCCTTGCCGGCGAAGACTGCGGTGGGCTGTTAGCATGTACATACTACTTCGTACATGTATTCATTGCACTGGGGACTTGTTCCCTCCCTCAGCGGGAGAGGAGACGAGGGGAGTGAAGCGTTTCGCGTAGATGGGTAGGCGGCCCGGAGGGCTGAGGCCTGAGACGTACCGTGATATGAGCCTCCGGGCTGGTATGCCTTGTTGCCCGACACATCGTAGACCTTGCCCTGTGGGTGAGTGGTGTTAGCCACGACTGCATCAGATAACGGGCGCGACGAATGGACGAACCTTGATGGCCACGTAGCACTTGCCGCCGTCAACGCCTATACATAATCATCCGATCAGCCCAGTTCCCCAAGCTTTTGCCATGGAATGTCCCGTCCGTGACGGCGGATGTGGGGAGTGAGCTCCGCCCCCGACGTCTCCGCCTCGCAGAGCGCAACCCCAGCCCAGCCCAGGAGAGAAAGAGTTGCTCTGCCTGCCCATCAGCAGCCAGCCTGCCCGTTCCCTTCCCCAGAGCTACCCACCACAGGCGGCGCAGGTCATCCCTCCTCCTCCTCACTGGGCTGTCGGGTTGTCGCTGCGCTGAACTCATCGCCACGAATTGACTTCTCGCGGGGCGGCGTCGGCGTCGTCATCGCATCGCAGCACGTGCCGAGACGTCGTTTCCAAATCCGCGCGCAGCGGTGGCGGCGGCGCATGGCGGGGCAGCATAGCCAGCACTCATTCATTCATTCATTGCAAGGGGGAAAATGCGTCGCGCGCGTACCGGTAGCCTTGGCCAGCTCCTCGGGGGAGATGGGGTCGTCCTTGGGAGGGTTCAGGTTCACGGGAACCTTGGGCTCAAACTTGCCGGCCATGATGCTGACTTTTGTTTGTCGTTGAAGAACAAAGGAAGTCGTGAGTTGTTCGAGGATGAGATGGGAAAAGCCCTGGTGCTGGCCGAGGAGCGGGCTGGCTGGCTGGCTGCTATGGGCTCCTCCCTCCTCCCACTTCCCTCGGCCCGTCCTAGGTGACAAGTTTAGTGAGCGCGATTGTGAAAGTCAGCCCCCCACTTCGGCGCGGGACTGGGACTGGGAGCGAGGGAGCTCCAGCAGCGGGCGGGCGCACGGGCCAAGTCCGGCATTTTTGGCTGCTTTCATCAGAGAGCCGCCTCCAACGGAGCTCCATCGTATTTCTTGTCGACCCAACTTCATCATCGTCGCCCGACCGCATCATTGACAGACAGACGCGCGCCCCGAAGCTGCCACGACGTCGCCCTCCACCATTTGATCTCGGCCGTCGCCATGTCCGTGTCGGCGGTCGCCTCGCTGCGGCCCCTCCACGGCCGCTGCCTCCGCCACGCCACCACCGGCCTGCTGTCCGTCCAGCTCCGGTCGCGGACCGCCAGCGTCCACGTCCAGGCCGTCGTCACGCTCCGCCCGCAGAGGCGGTACCAATCGAGTCCCGCGCGGACCGGCAAAGATGATGATGAGGCGCCGCGCAGGCCGGAGCAGCCCAAGATGACGTTCGGGCGCTTCGTCGGGCATGCGCTGCGCGCCAGCTTCCGCAACATGGCCGTCGCGCTGAGTCCGCGCGGTATCCGGACTGCGTTTCGCGACTCTCCCGCCATGACGAGCATCAGCATCGTCCTGTATGTGCCTTTGCTTGCCATCTCCACGTTTGGGCCGCGAAGACCATAGCTGACTCTCCTCAGTCTCGTCCTCACACTCGCCGTCTCCGCCGTCGCCGTGCGCGCCTACCTCCAAGCCTTCTACAACTCCCAGTTCAGCCGGTACCCAGAGCCGGTCGCCAACACGCTGCGGCGAGCCATATACTACACAAATGTCCGCCCCGAGCCGGAGCTGGCCCTCAAATACTATAAGAAGGCCATGGAGCAGTGCGCCGAGCTGGGCCTCGACCCCTTCTCCGACGAGGTGATTGGCATCCGCATCCAGACCTCGTTCTGGCTGCAAAAGATTGGCAGCTACAAGCCCGCCATTGAGGTGCTCGAGTCGGTGCTAGACGACTGCAGGAAGTGGGTCGACGTCATGGAAAAGTCGGTCGCGGATGGCCAAGTCGACGCCAAGGGCTACTATGTGTCCGAGGCGGCGGAGCAAGCGCCAGCGCCAGCGAAACCCGAGGCTCAAGATTCCAAGTCGGTCAAGAAAGATGGCGAGCCTGCTCCTGCGCCCGAGACGCTGTGGCGAAAGCGACAACGCCTGCTAGCCAAGGCCATCGGCACCGCGGTCAAGCTCGGAGAGCTGTACTCTGACGAGCACGTCCTCAACCCCGAAAAGTCGCACTCGCACCTGGTCTGGGCGGTCGAGGCATCGCTGAAGGAGTTTCAGCGGCGGAGGACCGACGGCGTCAAGCCCGGCGAGGAGTCGTGGCTGACGCCCGAAGAGCTGGGCGGCTCCATGGAGTCGCTCGGGCGCGACTACGAGCGGCGGTCGCAGTTCCAGCTCGCCATCCCGCTCTTCTTCCAGGCCCTGCGGCTGTGCGAGACGCCCTGCCACCGTGCCGTCATCATGAACAACCTGTCCGCCGCCTTCGCCCAGCACCCCATCTACACGCCCGCCGAGGTGGAGGCATCGTCCGAGGCGCTCAAGGACGTGCTCACGACGGCCATGCCGACGACGCGCAAGGACTGCCTGGATGCGGCGCTCAACTGGGCGCGCAATGCGTACGAGCACGCGCAGGACGTCAAGGGCGAGGAGCGCACGGTCGAGTGCGACGAGGCGTGCGCTGTGGCGCTGTGCAACTGGGGCGACGTGGCTGCCATGCTGGGCAAGACGGAGCTCGCGAGGAAGAAGTACAGGCAGTGCATCGAGATGAGCCGCAAAATGGAGTTTGCGCCAGGGGTCAGGCAGGCGCAGGAGGGGCTGGCGCGATTGACGTCGACGCCGGCTGACCAGGTGTGAAGCACGCGATGACCTAGAGCGACGGTCGAATGTATTCGTATATAAGTCCGGCTCGTGAAGTCGAACAGTGTATAACACGTGTATCAGGAGTCCGGCGCCGGCTATCTGCCCGCCGTTGCTCTCGTTCAAATACACCGCTCTGTGCGGAAACTGCTCAGTTACCGCCGCGCTTCTCATCTTCCATGCCTTCGCGAAGGATCTTGACCTGCTTCTGAATCTCGACCCAAAGGATCAACTTGTCCAGATCGGACCTTCCTTGTCTCGTGGCTGGTGACTTGAGGGACCGGTCCGAAATCTCGACCCAGTCATCGGGTCCGTCTACGGTCGACGGCATCGCCATGCGCTTGGCGCCCGGCCGCCGTTTGCCGTCATACTCCTCGCGGTCCTTGTTCTGCTGCTGTCCCTTCCCGTCCCCGTCAGCTCCGCCTGTGTGGTCCCGCGCAATAGCCAGCAGGGCGGCGACAAATGCTTCCTGCATGTACGCGAAGCTGAAGTCGTCGGTGATGCGTGCGATGGCTGCGCACAGCTCGTCGGGGAACTCGATGTCGGGATTGGGCGCGAGCTTGCCCTGCCAGAAGCGGGCATAGGCGACGCGCTCGTCGAAGCTCGGGTTGGGAAACAAGTACTTGCGGTCGAAGCGCGAGGGGCGTTTCTAGGCAGCGTTAGTCAAGTCTGTTTGCATTATGGCTTGGCATACACTCCTGGCACTTGAGCGACGATGGTTGCACTGCGCAGTAGTGCACCGGGTGGCTTGGAGATAGATGGGGTGAGACTTGCCGCAATACCAGGGTCTAGGCGGTCGAGGTGATTGGTGCTGCCAATCATGAATATGCCATCGTTGCTTTGGAGGCCGTCAACCTCGTTGAGGAAATAACTCCGCACACCGTCGGAAACAATCGAGTCTAGATCCTCGAAGACGAGATAGCAAGGAGCATACTGGCGCGCCTTGCGGAAAATGAGCTGGATAGAGTACTCGGGTCCGGCAAACTGCGTTTCGCAAGTCAGCCATTCGGTCATCGACTGGCATAAGTCTTTATAGAGACCCGTAGTTGACTCTCTGGTGAGGGAAGCCTTACAGATGCCAGCGTTCTGACGTAGAGAGTAGGGACAGGCTTGTCAAGACTGTAGAGCGTGTTCATCATGGCCTTGATGGATATGGTCTTGCCGTTGCCGGGTGGGCCGTAGTAGATGACACCGCGCTTCCAGGGAACACGCAGTTGCTCATACGTCTCGCGACCATTGAAAAAGGACAGATGATCCTCAATCAGGGCCTTTTTCATGTCCGGGTCGAGAATCACGGCGTCCCAAGAGGCTCGACGCACGCTACGATAGAGATTGGCGTCCTTCAGCCAGCGGCCGCCGTCAAATACCCAAATCTCATCGTGGAGCTCGCTTGCCCACTGGCCGGCGGCAAGGATGAGAGCGTGGACGTGGGCGTCGCCATTGGGAGAGGGAGACGACGGGTCACGGGGGCTCATCAGGTACAGGTTGGTGACCTGCGGATAGGACGAGCCACCATCACGGCCATCGGCGATGTACAGGATGAAGTCGAGCCCGCGCCAGTGATAGGCAAACTTTCCGAAAAGCAAGGCGCGGGCCACGGCGCCGGGAGAGCCATCTAGACGCCGCGCGGGGGGCACGTAGACATCCCAAGCAAGTGAGGTGGGGAGGGAGGCGCTACCGCCACCGACATTGCTCTCAGCAGTCTGGGCTGCGGCAGTGGCTGTGGCGTCGGTGAGGTTGTCGTCGGCAAGGGGCGTGGCGCGGGCGTGGCCGGCAGCGGCGTAGGCGAGCAGGTCGACCGAGACGCGGGGGACGATGGATAGGTGCAGGTCGGGATACTGGCGTGTGAGGGCAGCCGCAATGACGGCATCGGTATTGACGCGCTTGGCTGTGGAGTGGGCGAAGTAGGCGTCGGAGGCGGACGGGGGTTGAGATTGAGGTCCAAGACCAGGCTCACGATGCGACGACATGGTGGTCTGTGCCTGGGTGTGATGCATCTAAGGGCGAAGGGAAGGGCGGTCTAGGGCGCCAATGGACCCTGGCGATGGGCGAGTAGTGGTGCGGTTCGACTACGGGGAGGTGTTGGCGACGCGACTGAAGCCAATCGGGATCGTGAGGACCGTTGTGGTGTTGCTCGTCGCGACATGAAGGGTCGTGGAGTCTTGTTGCGGCAGTACCAACACGAGGCGCCGTTCGCCGTGGCAGCACGTTGTGCATGTCGTCCATGCCGTCCCTGCCGTCCAGCCCATGTCATCCATCCATCCATCCGCGTCCACCAGGCCCCCAATGCCAATTCGTAGCACCTGGGGGCGGCTGGCTGGTGAGGGGTACAGTACCTCGCCTGGCACGAGCGAGGATGACGGATGGTCGGGCAAGGGGGGGCTGTGCGACTCGGCGCGGGCCCGATTTGGTAGGCCTTGGCCATCGGTGCAAAGGCCGCGCTCCTGCAATGCAATCCAAGTGGCTCGGCATCGCTCTCCAGTCCGTATTATTAGCTGGCACTGGTGTTGATGCCTGGGAAGGAAGCTCGCCCAACAGAGATGGGCGAGAATAGAAGGACTGCCCGCGAAGCCACGCCCCGTCGCTGGCCCGAGGTCGGTGAGTGACAGGTCTTGGTGACATGGCAGGCCAAGCCGTCCAACCCCAGGGCGGCGATAATAAATGCATTGCTGGGAGATGGCAGGATGGATGGCGGGCCGGTCCTGCCTCCCCAGCAGGTGCGTGCAGTACTGCACTGTACCTGGTAGCGATGATTGATGGCGCATGCTCACTGCTGGCTGCCAGATCGGGCACGACAGGTCACAGGAGAACCTGAGCCAACAGAGCGGCACGTTCCAGCGCCCCATGGCTCGTACAGTACGGCTGGATGCGGTAGTCGACCACGACAAACGAAATGCAGCACTGTGCCGTGATTTGTACTGTAGGTAGTACCTGCAGTGGTTCCGGGCTGTTGCCGTCCTTCATGTACGTGTGCCCAGTCTTGGCTCGACAGGTGCGCGCATTGATGATTCTCGCGCACTGGCAATGGGACCGCGTCCTGGCATCGTTGGACCTGACGCAGTATCCCGTACATGCATACTACATACCGTACGCAGACTCGCACACACCGGCGAGCGAGGGCCTGATCACGGAGCATCTCCGAGCACCCCTGCCAGCAAGGTTGAAATGCTACGCTCTCGACCAAGTGCCGTTGCGCTCCCACGTGCGAGGCCGTTGCTGCTGTGCGACACGACACGGCATGATGTGTGCGGCACGACACACAACGCAACAGCCTCATCTCGCGAGACAATGACGACAATGGGCGAAGCCCAGCCCCCCCAAATATAGCATCGGTAGGCCTGGAGAGCGCCGTGCGTGAAACCTGGGGATGTCTGAGACATGACCCAGCAGCCCGGCCGTCGAACAACACCACAGAATGCAGACAGAAGAATGAATGCAATTTCGACGACACTCTGATCGGGATCGGGCTCCGCTCCGCGAAATGGCGGGCCAGGCGGCCGATCTTCCCCGGAGTTGGGGCCGATGACAGGCCCATTTGCCCCTGCGCGGACGGCGTTAGGGAGCTCCGCACCTCACTGAACGGTCCGGGCTGCCTTCCTCTCCGTCCATCAAACAACCATCCATCGCAATGCAACCTCCTGGAAGCAGCCGTAGACCCGCTGTGGGTGCACCACTGCACACTGGCTGCCGAGCAGAGTGCGTGCCTCCAGCCCCCAAAGGCGACTGGACGCCTCCTCGGCTGTCGGCCTCGCTCACCGACTGCCCTAGCAATTTGCAGGCACCTCATGCAAGGTCGCGACTGCCTCCATGTGCCTGGCAACATCCAAGTACTTCGTACTGTACTGTACTCTGCGAGACGTACCTACAATCCTGACTGCACCCTTCTTACCCTGATGGCAACAGCACCTACCTGGCATCTCAGGCACATTATTAAGTATCGTACAGTACGGCACTTCCCGAGGTAGTCCGTACCTGCCTCCTCATTCGTACGGTGCCCGCTGGATCGTACGATGTGATACCGCATCGAGCAGATTGTTCCTTCCAACTTACCGTCCCAACACCCGACCCTCTTGCGCGAGATGCCTCACGAGACGCATCTCGCATCTCGAGCTCGCCTGGGGTCCCATACGAAGAGCCAGGGGTCTGCCTCGTCGTCCCCTTGGGAGCGGACTTTGCCGCGAATCATGCACCAGAACATCGTCCGGGGCCAAAAACGACGCCTTCTCACCATGTTTCCTATTGCCGCCTACAGTCCCGTTGGCACTCGTTGGCAGCTGCGCCGTCTGGAGCTCTGGGCAGACAACCATGGATGGCAACGAGGTACAGTACCAGTACAGTACTGCAGGTAGCCCGGCCGCAAAGCCACGATACAACAAGCACGTCGCGCGCCCAACACGCTGGCCAATCTCCACGCCAACACCAACAAACGGCGCCAACGGATCAGCAATCCTCGTTCTCTTGTCAACGCCTCGTGGACCTGCGTGTTGCCCTCATCGCCAATTCTTTTTTTGGGCGTCTCTCACCCTGATTCTAGAAGGATGCGCTCGCGGCCATCGGCGGATGGCCATCTCTGGCCATCCATGCCTCAATCCCGTTCAGGCGACCAGGTCGAGTCCACCATCAAGTCCTTCCTTTCATGACGGATGCATTCGCTCGCATCAGGAACCAACAGGCGCACGCATACTACAGACATCACCATGTCTAGCCGTGGCCTAGTCGCGCCAGGACCACGCACCAAGTGAGCCTCCCCACCACCCGACGAATTGCGCCGCGTCGTCCTCCTCGGTGTCCCTGATCGGCGTCTCAGTCACTCAACCAGACGCTGAATAACCTCAAGAGTTCGCACGCACGTCCGCCTCTCGCGCCCTATGAGGCTCCACGGCTCCAACCTTAATAAACTCGCTCGCCAACCTGCGCCCGCGAGATCTTGTTCCCGGCAATGGAACGACATCATCCCAACCGCACGTGCGGCCTGCCGAGGACGGCCATGATCGTGCATGGGCGCGCGGAGCCATGCTTTCTCCCGAGCCCCGAGCGTGTTGGCCCCCCCACCCGGGAACTTTTTGGGGTGGTCGGTCCTGTGATAGCTACGGCGCTCTGAGCTGGCCGGAAAGCTGGGAACCAGTGTGACGAGCCAGGAGTGTGAGTGCGTTACTGTAATGCACCATTCACCAAATCTTGCTGGGCTCTGGCGGCGGTCGAGGCCAACAATCGTGGGCTCCATGTTTGCCTCGTCCAACCGCGCGGCACCAGCGGTCCTGCTATTCCCGTTTCGCGCGCTCCCAGTCTGGGGCGCGCCTCTGGAGGGAACAAGCCGTGCGGCCTCCCGGGGCCGAAACTCGCCGTCTTGCCCGTGTGTGCCCTCCCCCCATCGCTGCCGCCGTCGGCCATCGTGTACTTCGTACCGTACAGTACATTGTTTCTCTTCGTTCAGGCTCTGCCCGCCAAGTTGTGTTAGCCCCCCAGACCCGGAAACAAAGGCATGGGTTCCGCGCGAGCAGGGGCGAAGACCAGAAGACCGAGGCCTGCCACGGCCCTGGGGCATGGGGGCTTGAAGCCATCCGTATTGGCAAGCCAGGCGCCGCAGTGTGCTTGTTGGCTCACGTACACTGGCTCATACAGACCATAAGCCGACGGAATTGGCCATCCAGGCACGGAAACCGACGATGAGGCGTTAGATATGGTGGCGATTCTGGGGTATTGAGGGCGACTTACATCAACCTGCGTGGGCTGCTCTGCTTTGACAATCTTGCTCTCCACCATCTGTGCTGCCGCGCTGCATCAACAGCACCCGCATATATATAACCGACGAGGCACACAAGACATCCTCCTCGGCACCACCACAACCCGGGATTCTCTCCCTGGGGAGTGTACGCGACTCGAACACCGGATGAAGGAGCTGGATTCGGTCCGCCCACCTACCACCGGCGCCTAATACAGCGAAACGGCAAGGATGATGTTGCTCGCCTCTTGGCCGCCGCACTCTGCAGCAGCACCCATGGATCCTACGCCGCCGCCCACTGCAGGTAGCAGTCTGGATTGGGATGCTTCCTTTCGCGACGCGCGCAGGAGGACATCATCGGCCACTGCGCCCTCCCCTACCCTTGCGCCGCCTCACCAGCATCACCCCTACCACCAGCCTCAGCATCGTCACACGCAGAGCCAGAGCCAGAGTCAGCACCGCGAGCATACGCACATCGTCCCAAGGAGCGAGATTGCCCTCCCGATTAATCCAGCAGCCCATCAGAGCGTCCCTACGTCCGAGTCCCAGTATCTCGGAGCTGGTACCGGGGCGATCGCCCACCCAGAGCATCACCCACAGCACCATCACCACCACCACTCGTCGTCGTTTGAATACTTTACCGGTAACAATCAGTACATGAGCTCTCCTCCCCTGCAGCAACAACCCTTTCCCATGGGCCAGTACTACCCCGTGGTAAGCCTACTCTAATTTAGTCCCTAAGGCACCGCGCTGCATAGAAGTCGGGTGGAAAGGCGCTGTCCGTAGCTAACACGCACGTATTAGCAGAATACCGAGGCGTCCACGTCTGAAGCAACCTTTGCCTTTGCATACACCAGCCCCTGTAGTACCGCAAGCGACTCCATTCTTCCCGCCAGCACCCAGCCGCCAGCTGCGACCCTTTACCAAGACCATCCTCCTCAGCCTCTTTCTCTGCCGCAAACTCACCATGACGACAAACTGTCCCTCGAAGACAGCACCTCAGCTTCCGCAGCCGCGACAGCAGCAGCTTCAACAACTACGCGCCGCCGTCGAGAAAATCGCTATCGCAACGCGCCGCCAGGTGTTCTCTCCGTACGTTTTGCACCCCTATCTCGCTCCTAGTCGGGCCCGTAAAAGGCCCTTGGGTAAATGTATACGTTCAACTAACATTCTTGTCCACAGCGTCGGCGTGCCCAGAACAGAGCCTCGCAGCGTGCCTACCGCGAGCGCAAGGAGCAGCGCATCCGAGACCTTGAGCAGCTCCTGCGTGAGGCCAACAACCGGGAGGAAACCCTGGCCCAGGCATATGTCGCCCTGCAGGCCGAGTACGACTCCGTTCGTACAGGCTCTTCCACATCCCCGCCAAGCTCCTCCCAATCTTCCTGTCGATGCGGCAACAGCACCGTGGCAACGACCACCGCTTCCGCAGCCAAGTCGAGCGCGGGTCAATCTCCAGGCCGTCATCCACCGCCGGCTGCGCCGCCGCCTTCTCTCCCGCCAGATTCTGAACCAGCTGCCGGTCCTGCCGCATCCTCGCCGGCCGGTCCGCAAGTTGGGCAACGGCCAGGTATTGAGACAGTGTCGGCGGCCTCCTCATTCGATCATCTTGCCGCTCAGGGCAATCATGCCGCCCCTTCGGGTAGCGGTGGCTACGCCATGCCCCTGGACATGGTTGGCTTTCCCCGGCAGATTTAATTTCCAGGACGGATCGCCTCTTGCGACGGTGTGCAGATGATTTACGAGTTCATGGGCGATGGCATCAGGCACTCAAACGGCGTCAAGGCGGAAGGGTACGAAGGTAATAGCGCCCACGTGGCTTTGTCATGAACACCAACACATCTGAGGTGGCGACGGACCCTTGGAAGAGGGTCCGCAGAGGCGTTGATAGACTAGATTCAGTCACCTTGGGCAGTCAACGCGTGTAATGTTTGGTCGACAAGGCTCGGCTAAGGCACAGGCGCAAGCAAATTGGCACCCGGTCTCGGCATTGGCTCGCGCGGGCGTGGGCGGCATACGAGGCGCGTATTGCTCCCTGGGTAGTAAATAGTAACTACGAACTTGACTAGTACATTGAAATGTGTCGTGACGCTCCCGTATACCTCTAATCCCATACCGTCCCGCCGCTGCCGTGATCACACATAGCAGGGCGCGAATATGTCCCATGTCATAAACTGTCTTCCCAAGATTGACGCCATACACCCAGCATGGAAGAACAAACAGCCCAGGCTCCGGTTCATCATTCAAGTCATCCTCGGCCGCTTCGCGTCCGCGCCGTCTGCAGCGGGCGCGTTGGCCTGGCCTGTTGTGTTGGGCGGCACGTCGACAAGGGGCGAGCGCGGCACGCCGGCGGCCCCAGCCCCGTCGCCTGGCAGCGGGCGCTTCATCGACGGCGGCTTGTACGAGTTCCTGTTGGCCAGCGGGCTGCCCGGTCCGCCTGGCGCGCCGATGCGGCGGGCGTAGTCGAGGGACGGGTTCACGACGCTGCTGCGGGTGACTGGACCACTTGCCGCCGCCGACTGCCTCACCGGGGTGAAGCTGGAGGTGTTGCCTGCGGTGGGTGCCGCGGCCGGCGCTGAAGACTGGCTGCTGGCAGGGGCGACGTGCTGGCCGTTTCTCGCGACGGGGCGCGACGAGTTGTGATCGATGCCGGGGGTCTTTCGTATAGATGGGCTTTCAGCCTTGGGGTTGAAGAGCTGCTTGTTCTGGATGTGTGCGTTGGCCTCGGCGGCGTTCGTGGAGACGGAGCGCGCGGAGAAGAAGGCCACGGGCTCGGAAGGGTTGGGATTCGGAGGCTGCTGCGCCGTGGGGTTGGGTGACTGCCTTCCGTTGCCGCCCATCGGCCGGCCTTGATGGCTGTCTTGGTTGTGAGCTGGGCGAGAGTTGGCGGCATGAGGCGTATGCGGAGGGGGCGGCCGGGTGGCGCTGTTCCCGGCAGAGGCAGCTCGGTTGAACTGCCTCGGGGGAGGAGGCTGCATTTGCGGCGGCCTGTCGGCGGCGGGAGGGACCACGGCAGGGTTTGGCACCATGACTTCGTCGGGGTGGCCGTCGCCGGGCACGCAAAAGTCGGCCTCGTCGAGTTCTACATACATTAAGCCTCAATCTCCTCGAATCCGTCCGAAGAAAAGACCATACCTCCGAGGAAGTCCTCCTCAAACGACTCGCTGGGCTCCGTCTTGGGCAGGGTAGTGGTGGTAGTGGTGCCTGCGGCGGTTGGGGCGGTGGTGATGGTGGACGTGGCAGATGTAGATGCCGACTCTCTCTTCACAAAGTCGGCGTGCCGGTGGAGGTTGTCCTGGTCAAACTTCTTGACGGGCTGGGCCTTGACCTTTGTGACCTGCTTGACATAGTCCTGGTCGTAGATGCAGTTGCCGAGGACATTGCCGAAGCTACGCAGCGCGCGCTTCAGCCCATCCGTGGTACCCTCCTTCTTCGCCTTCTCAAACGCCATGGCCTTGCCCTTTGCGTTCTCGATGGAGCCGTAGCCGATATCCTCGTGGTAGGTGCCGTCGCGGAGGGTGACGCGGACGATGACGCTGAGCCCGATGCTGACGCGCTGCGTCTGCGGGTTCTCGTCGGCAAAGTCGACCTGGATGTTCTGGATCGACGACGACCACCCGTTGAAGCCAAACACCTCGTTGGCCAGCCCGATGCACTTCTCCGCCGTCAGGTAGTGCACGCGCGAGCCGCCGGGCCCCGCCCGCGACGATATGTACTCGGGCCCCAGCTGCTTGTCCAGCTTGGACGATATCGTGGCGATTTGCTTGGCCGTCCATTCCGATATGCGCGGCTTGGCCTCCTCGAAGGGGTTGGTCCATGACGTGTGCTGGTCGCCCGGGCTGTTCCGCGGAGCGGTTTCACTGTCAGCGAGCGGGCGGCGCACGATGGGGGCGTGAGCGGGAGACGCGTCGGGGAGCTGGGGACGTACGCAGGCATGGTGGGCGGTCTTTAGACGGCGCCAGTCATCTATGCGGGCAGACGTTGGAGCGTTGAGATGAATTCGGTTGCCGCAATGCTTGGTGTCTTTCTTTGTGTTGTCACGGTGTTGCTGGATGGCGAATGGCGACGGGGTGATTACGTCGGGACCCGTCGCGTTCACGGTTGGCAGTCAGTCGCGTCGACACGCTTCACTAGACGGGTGAGCACGTGACACGGTATGTATTGATTTCTGGGCCACCTCGTTCGTCCCGCCTCCATGCTTGAGAGCACACTACCCCGCCAAAGCCCCCAACCATCGTCCTGCCAGATCAAACCCACGAATGTCACTGGGGGAGCTACAGTACTGTACATGCACAGCAATGGCGAATGGGCGCAACGAAGAGGTTGGACGTGCCCGCAGCGGGCCGAAGAGGATAATAGGGCCGACTATCTACACAGGGCCACACTCGCACCCGTGCACAAGGCATCAATCTCGTTACAAAAGAAAGCTGGATTCGCTGGCACGATCCGGTGGCCGCTGCGTGCTTCACATCCAGCGCGCTATATACATACAGAGAGGCTGCAAAGGCTCACAGCAACAGCAGTCCCGGTGAATCCTCCCAAAGTCTCCGTCACAAGTGTGCGGCAGGCAGAGAATATCAGAAACGCAAGAAAGAAAAAACGCCATTCCGTCCCGCAGTGCAAAGAAGAGCGCCCGTGTCTATGCCGTCGTAGAATGCAAGAGGGAAAAGGTCGTCAAGTGTCGTCACATGTTCAGTGGTATACCGGTCGAGACAGAATGCGAGAAGTGGCCGTTCTTATCGGTCCTGGGAGTTCTACCACGGTCCGACGCGGACGGGAGAACCATAGGCCCCCGACATCAACTGATTCAGGATCGAATTCTGCTCCCCGGGATTGGCAGACTGGCTCGTGGCCATCCAGCCAACGTTGTCGCCCATTGCTGCAACGGCCGTCGCCAACCGTCCGCCCGACTCTTCGTTGTGTCGGGCAAGTCTCTGGTCCCAGCCACCGGAGCTTAGGGTGATGCCGCCCCCTCTCTTTCCGGCTTCGTTGATGACGAGGGCCCAAGCCCTTGAGAGCTCCTCGTACGCGCTCTCCTTGTGATGCCGATAGGCTTGTGCCTCCCAATCTGGCAAGTCGTGGACAAGCTTGGTGGCACCGTCCAGAAACAGTAGCGACTTAGCTACCTGTATCTCGGCCGGTGGCAGAAACTGTGGTGTGAATGCTGACAGCGCCTCGAGAAGGGCGACCAGTGCGTCTCTGATGCGGTAATATGTGTACTCGGGGCTTGATTCGCCGTACGGTATGGCAGCCTTGAGCTTATCCTGGTACTCGCGGAGGACATTCAGCGCCGCTCCTGCAGTAACCCGAGGCGCTTCAGAGACGACCTCTTGGCCGATATTTGGGTGGCGTTCACAAATGCGTTCCAGGACGGTACGCAGCTGATCGGTGTCGAGGGTCTCAAGGAGGCGAGGCAGCGGTAAGGGACGGCCGATGAGCTCGTTTGCTCGGGCCTTCTTGGAGGGGCGGGCGAGTGTCCTGGAGGCGACGGCGGGAGAAGACATGGGAGACATGGTCTCATCGCCATCTTCGTCGGCTTTTCGTTTGCGGTTTGCCATGGTGGGCAAGGGGGAGACTGCATCACGCTGGTTAGCTGCATGTTGCCACGATCCCTTGTCGACGCACGAGGGACAGCAACAGCACGACTTACCGGATCGCTGAGGAGAAAGACGGTGGTTTTCGTACTGGTGAGGGAAGACTGGCGGCTGCGGCGATAAAAGCAGATTCATGGTGGAGAGGCGGGCCGCGTGCGACGAGGAGGAGTGATTGAGCACGGGACTCGGTAGCGGAAGGCGGCAGACGAGGCGGCAGCGGCGGGAGAGGAGGCGTCGATGAAAAACAGGTCGGCCGCGACGGCAGGGTCCGTATGGATAGGATGTCGCGGCCGCACGGCAATAACTGCAGCGGCCCGGTGTTGAGGGCGAGGGGTGTCGTGAGGCAACGGGAGATGAAGAAGGGAAAACAAAGGCGGAGGCGGTCAGAAGCCAGACGGTAGCGGGCAGGTGAGATACTGGACAGTGGACGGGGTCGGGCGCCCGGCCGGGGCCAAACAAGGGTCGGGAAAAAAAAGCGTCTGGACGGGGGGGTGGAGAGTCGGTCCTTGGCCACGGCCGAGGTGGAGCTGGACTGCGCAAGCAGTGTTGCGTCGCTGCGCAGTGCTGCGTTGCGTTGCGTTGCGCTGCGCGGCGATGCGATGCGGACGGAGCGTTGCGCTGCGTTGCGTTGCGTTGGGGCGGCCGAGGGAGACGGGATGGAGGGGGAGAGATGGAGGAGGAGGAGGCGGCGGAGGAGGCAGGACGGCATCGATTTCTCCAGGCCCGTCCGTTCAGCTGGGCTTGCCTCAGGATTCGCTCGGGCGCCCACACGTGACGGGCGCCCGCCCAAGCCGCCATCCATCCATCCCATCCAGAGGCTTAGCGTGGGGCCGGCCCGGGCGCCTGAAGCCCCATGGCAAAGCTGGGACCTCCACTAAAAACAGCCATCGAGTTGCAAGGTTGCAGCCCTGCGGGGAGGCGTCGCAACTCGAGCTGTACTTTGCCGGGCACTGCAATCTGGGTCTGCACAAGGTATCTCCTCTGTCCGCGTGCCGACTGACGCCAGGTTCCTGCTCGAGGCGTCACCTTGCCCGTCCTGGGATTGAGAGTAACTACCCCAGCCGGCGCTTGGCGGGCAACTGCATCCTCACGGCAACCTGCCGGAACCTTGGAACCCGCCGGCGCGCCGCCCACCCCGTCATGGCCGTCCAGCTCGCCCTGTGGAGGCCGGCACCCGCTGTATTCCACGACCCACGGCTGCTACTGGTGGCTCGTCCAGCTGCCGTCCCGCCGTCACTAAGGTAATGAGCGGCGGGCACCACCGATTCACCATCGCGGGGCAGTCGCTCACCGGCCTTCACCGAGCAAATATTCCACGACCGCATCCACTACCCACTCACTCGGAACGTCTTGTCGGCAAAGACAAACGACTAATCGAAAAGACGTCAGCCGCTCGTCTCACGCGCCTGAGGCTCAGGCCTGCAACAAGTACTCAGTCCTTGTCGCAATGCTGGAGGGTCCAATGGCTGACCCTGTGTGCAGAAAACCAACTGAACCCAAATCTGCCGGCTTTTCACACCCAACTCACTCATCATGACGCTCGGCCCGTTTGAGCTGCCCGCGGCGGCGGACTTTCACGTCCACCTCCGCGACGGAGCCATGTCCTCGGCCGTCGTGCCAACCATCCGCCGCGGCGGCGTCAACACGGCCTACGTGATGCCCAACCTGGTCCCGCCCGTCACTACCGTCGCACAGGCCCTCGAGTACAAGGCACGCCTCGAGGCCATCGACCCCTCGGTCAACTACCTCATGACCCTGTACCTGCACGAGTCCATCACTCCCGAGGTCGTCCGCGAGGCCAAGCGCGCCGGCATCTCGGGCATCAAGAGCTACCCCGCCGGCGTCACCACCAACTCCTCGTCCGGCGTGCTGTCCTACGAGCCCTTCTACCCTGTTTTTGCTGCCATGGAGGAGTGTGGCCTGGTCCTTAACCTGCACGGCGAGATTCCCAGCGACCAAAAGCAGGGCATCACGATCCTGAACGCTGAGAGCAAGTTCCTGCCCACGCTCAAGAGCCTGCACACCAAGTTTCCCAAGCTGCGCATCGTCCTGGAGCACTGCTCCACCAAGGACGCCGTCGAGGCCGTCAAGGCTTGCGGCGATACCGTGGTTGGCACTTTGACGTGCCATCACCTGTTCCTGACTGTTGACGACTGGGCCGGCGAAGTGGTAAGTGCTCTGGATAACCTAGCATTTGTAGCGCTTTCTTACAGGTTGATACAGTTTTCCTTCTGCAAGCCAGTTGCCAAGGTAAATCACCCATATACATCAGTCGATAATTCCCTGTGCAGTCTCGTTGCTAACAAGATAGACCCCCGAGGACCGCACCGCCCTCCTTCAGGCTCTTGTGAGCAGCAAGGGCAAGTTCTTCCTCGGAACCGACAGCGCACCCCACGACATCAGCGCCAAGAAGGGTGCCGGCAAGACGGCCGCCGGTGTCTTCACGCAGCCATACGCCTGCCAACTCGTCCTAACGGCGCTTGAAGAGGCCATTGCGCGAGGCGAGGTGCGCGAGGAGCAGGTCACCCAGGAACTGCTCGAGGGCTTCTTCAGCGGCTTCGGGCGGAAGTTCTACGGTGTCGAGGACAAGTCTGGGGAGAGAATCCGCCTGTCGAAAGCTCAGGAGGTGGTTTGCGGCAACATCAAGGGCGACGGCGTCGAGGTGGTTCCCTTCAGGAGCGGGCAGCAGACCTGGACCGTTGAGTGGATCTGACCATGGGGTGGCACATATTTGAGATACCTGGCTTCATATACAAAAGCTCATCATTTCTGCCCGTGATGCTATTTAATCTACTGTTGCCGCGGTCTCACGATGTTCTCAACTCCACCCCGAAGCCGATTCTTCCCTCGCTGGTAAGTCCTGTACCTGCAAACTCCGCGACAGACTGTGTCGGCCCGGCTCTATAATGCGCCCTGTGCCCTTTTTGGCCATCGATGCACACACCAGAACCAGCAGGCCTCTTCCTGGCGGGTGTGCCTACCGGACCCCAATTATACGGAACAAGAGGACTTCCACCATCCTGCCTTTGGTGCATCTCTGCACACCGTCAGCACTTATGTGCCCTTTGTAGGATCGGGCGAAAGCCAACCAACTCACTGTCAAAGCCACTCAGCGGATGACTTGCCACCACGTCTCTCCTTTCTCCCGCTCTGGTATGGCCCGTCACTCGTCCAACCTGTCCCCCGCTCAACGGAATCGAACTGCGCGTCTCGTCCTGACTCTTGAGGTACCATCCAGGCAGGCCCTGGAAGAGGCCGAGTGACCGCTGCGTTTCCTCGTCAAAGGGCATCTCGTGCTTGAACTTGCATCCCTGTTGTGTGAAGGCGCAGACGCCTTCGTGGATCCACTTGTCGCAGTATACCTTGTGGCGACGGCTGGTCTTGCTGCTGTTGCTGCCGGACGTCGTGGCCAGGCCGCTGGGGTGGCGATCAGGGCTCTTCTGGACGAAAGCGTCAGTACATGAACCTTGCTGGACACTTGAAGACTTCGCGAATGAGATGAACCCAGGCTGCCAGGGCATTTGTGCGGCTTGGGATAATGCAGTACCTTGATGGTAACGGCGCTATTGATGCCAGCGACCATGTTTGGCCGATCACCAATCGGCGTACCGAGAACCACCATGCTCGGATGATACATCTCCCTTGCCGGAAGGTCACCGAGCTGCGGCAACACATCAGCGGGGATCAGCCTCGTGACCTGCCCATTACCTCTATCCAGGTAATATCCAGACCCTTCGATACCATCAAGCACTGTCACCGTGGGCATCGTCCTGTCCGATAGCTGTCGTCCTGAAGATGGAGCCAAACCCCCGACAATGCCGTTGTTCGTGTCATATCTCAGTGACACAGACATTGCGGAGCCGCTGCCGCTACTACTGCTACTGCTCGCGATGTGCCCAGACCAGCGTCGGTCCCGTTGCTGATGCTGTACGCCCAACCTGTGCGTCGTTGGGTAGGAAGCGAGGCCTTGATGGCTGGTCGAGCTGGAGACGAAACAGCCACGAACGGTGCTTCCCTCGGCTGACCACGGGCCGTGGTTCGGAGGACGAGGGCTCGGGTGCCGCTTGTCAAACCGATGCATTGCAAACCAAGTGTCCGAGTTGTGACAAGGCCGGCAGGCAGGCAAGCAAGCAAACGGGGTTCGGACTCTCGCGTGGGGTGGCAACAGTGTATAGATATAAGACAGAGTATAACAACGACTTGAGAAATTCACCCCAGAGAGGTCAACCCGAACCATCCACACTCATGGTCAAGCGAGGATGACCGGATGCCATGCCAAAGCTGCACTTGCCAGGTTTTGATAGCAGTACCTCAACTTGCGGTGACGGCTCGTTTGCGATGCAGGACGCAAGGTACCGCGGTGGGCGGCCGGCTGCAGGGAGTTGATGTCGCGTCTCACTTCCCCGACATTTGGTGCAGGGCACCGAGTCAACGGGATTTTACTGTCTTGACGGTCACCACCCTCCAACCGTGTCCTGCGATTGTCAATGGGCAGATAGCAGCACCACGGATTAAATCACCCACAGGCACATCCTGGTCAGGCCGTACAATTGAATTTCCAGCATTCCTCTGGATGAACGGAATTCGCCTAAATCTCCAATCCCGTCTCAGGTACTTTTTTGTTTCAAAATCACAATGGGCTCGTCGAAGTCAAATCCGCCGGCCAGTCTTTCTGATGACTGGTGTATATGTAGGGTAGTCAAGTTGCTCTGCACACCAAAAAGAGGCGCCGCTCGCGCAGTGACGGATCCCTCCCCGCAATGGCGATCCGGCCCGGCAGCTTATCGCTTATCGCCGTCGCCTGCTCGAAAAAAAAAACTGGCGGAGCCGTTGGACCCTTCATTGCGCTTCGCACCGTTTAAGAGCGCGCAGTGAGCCTCTGTCAATCACCCACCCATACTTTGCATTGCACAAGCCATTACGTCCCAATGGCTGCCAAAGAAGGCACCCCGCCGGCCGATGCCGGCAGCCCGGACAAGACCTCCACGAAGCGCAAGTCCGCCGTCGATGAGATCGAGGTCGACCTGGCGGCCCCGGAGCCGCCGTCCAAGCGAGCGCGCCGAGCGCTGAAGAAGGGCAAGGCCCTCCCCGCGAAGCCGAGCAGCGACGACGAGAATGACGGCGATGGCGAGGACAAGAAGGAGAATAAGGAGAAGGTCCGGTCAGAGCACGCCGTCTGGATTGGCAACCTGCCGTTCTCGGCGACTCCAGAGCTCATCCGCCGGTGGCTCGTCGACAACTCCGGCGGCGTCATCACCGACGAGTCCATCACGCGGATAAAGCTGCCCACAACCAAGGAGCCCGGGCGCGACAAGAGCCAGAAGCCGGCGAACAAGGGCTTCGCCTACGTCGACTTCGCGGAGCTCGGCCCCAAGGTCGGCGCCGTTGCGCTCTCCGAGAATGACATGGGCGGGCGCAAGCTGCTCATCAAGGACGCGACGTCCTTTGAGGGCCGCCCGGCGAAAGAAAAGGAACCCGCGGACGGGGCCGAGGCCGGTGGAGACGCACAGTCGCGGAGCGACGCCAACGCGAGCCGCAAGGTCTTTGTCGGAAACATGAGCTTCGGCACCACCGAGGACGACCTGCGCAAGAACTTTGAAAAGTGCGGAGAGATTGAGTGGGTCAAGCTCGCGACGTTTGAGGACTCGGGCAAGTGCAAGGGCTTTGGCTGGGTGAAGTTCAAGGAGCCCGAGGCGGCGGCCTGGGCGGTCAAGGGCTTCGTCAAGATCAAGGAGCAGATTGAGACGGAAGACGACTTCAAAGACGAGGAAGACGAGGACGAAGACGCAGATGCTGGGGAGAAGCAGAAGCAGAAGCAGTTCAAGACGCGCAAGTGGTGGGTCAACCGGATGCTGGGACGGCAGCTGAAGCTGGAGCTGGCCGAGGACGACCAGACGAGGTACAAGAAGCGGTTCACCAAGGGCGGCGCCGGCGCCGGCGGTCCTGGTGCAAGAGCACCCAGGGAGCGGTCCGAGAGGCAGCATAACGGTCGCCGCAGGGATGATGATGCGGGCGAGCCGGCGAAGCAGACGGCGCAGGAGCTGCAGGAGGCGCGGTTGATGGGCAAGGTGGTGCCGCACACGGGCACCAAGATGACGTTTGACTAGACGACGTATGTGTACGAGATACCCGAAGTATATACACACAATATTACTGTAGCTGCGCTCCTTGACCTCTGCGATGCGTACGTGAGGCGACTCGACAGTGTGACCGTGGCAGCGGCCCAAGCGCGCGGAGCCGAAAGCCCCTCCCTCTCCTCTCCTCCGGCGCGGGGCCCCGCATCGGCCGGGTTTCTGTGTGACGTCTGATCAACACCACCGCCCGCCTCATTCATGGCTCTCCCTCTGCGCCTTCGACAACCCGAGAAATCGCTCGGCATTTACGCGAGGGACGTAGATCTCACCGCAGGCGCCATGTATCAATCGCAGGTTTCGTTCATCATGGACACCATCTGTCCATGGTAAGTGACTCCTCATCCCGCATCCGAGATTCCCTCCAACATACGAATTTGCGGACCGCTCACTGAGAACATCTTGGTCGCAGGACATATATAGCCAAGACCAAGTACGTCCTCCCCACCTGCCCCCTTCCCTCCGCTACCTTTACGAACGCACCAGCTAACATGCCCATCCCCGCCCGCAGACTCGATCAGGCCCTGGCGCAGGTCCGCGCAGACCCGGCCTCGGCCGCGGCGGTGACCTTTTCGCTCCGCTTCCGGCCCTTCCAGCTGGACCCGTCGTTCCCGGACACGGTGCCGGACCGGGCCGCGTGGTCGCTGCGCGAGAAGCACATGGGCAACGAGGACGCTCAGCGCGCGTACCAGGCGCACATGCGCGCGCTCGCCGAGCCGCTCGGCCTGCCGCCGCTGCGCTTCGACGGCCCCACGGGCAACACGCTGCAGGCGCACCGCCTGATTCAGCTCGTGCAGGGCGGCTCCGACGACTCTGACGACGACGACGCCGATGCGGCGGGAGCGGTGGCCGAGTACGGCGGGCCGGACGCCGCGGCGAGGCTCGTCGAAGGGCTGTACAGGCGGTACTTTGCCGAGGGGGCGCACCCGGCGAGCGAGGAGACGCTTCTGGCTGTGCTGGTGAAGGACGTGGGTCTATCAGAGGATTTGGCGCGGCGGCTGGTGGCCGGGGAGCAGCGGGAGGAGGGCCTCGCGGAGGTGAAGATGCGGGCGAGGGAGGTGGCGCGCGATGTGGACGCGGTGCCGACGGTGGTGATTGAGGGGCGGCGCAGGGACTTGACCCTCACGGGGGCCAAGGAGGTGGCCGACTACGTCAAGGCGCTGCAGACAATTATCAAGGAGAGCAAGTGAGCGAGTGAGCGTGAGGGAGGACACTGAGCATCGGCATGGGCGCAGGGGCAGACTACGAGTTTTGGTGGCGACGGGAGGCGGAAACTGCTGCGCTGGCTATGGAATATTCTGACGAGAGGTACAGTGAATGAGATACATGAAGGGAAGAAGACAGTGAAAGAATGGACGTGATGTGCATCGTCGTCGTCATCGTGAAATCATTACAAGCGGTTAAAAACCATCGTCGCATCGTCCATAGATTTCGTTGCTCGTCCATACACCCATGTATGGTAGGCGGTGCGCCGCCTCACGGTCAGGACCTGCTAAACATGAGCGGCACCAGCGCGCTCCGACTCTCGCACGCTCTCCTATCCTCAAGCACCTCGCTACCGCACCAGCCGAGCTCCCTGCCCGCTAGGAGTCGACACGCCGCGACCGCATCCCCTGCACCGCCGGGCCGGCTGCCTTTCTGTTTGTGAGAGGCGGTAGCTGAGGCGCAGAACTCGCGGCTGAGCTTGGCCAGGACAGCCTCCTTGGCGCGCTGGAGCGCGCTGGCCCGCGCGGAGGGATCCTCGGCGAGAAGCCGGTGGGCCTCCTCCTTTTCGATGTCGCGCTGGACGCTCGTGATGCCGTCGTCGGGTGCGGAGGCGGCGGCGGGCGAGCTGGGGTCGTAGACCCGCGGTTGAAGGAGCACGGGCCGGGGGTCGGCGGCGAGGATGGGCGCTGATATAGTTGATTCTCGGGGGGAGGGCGGAGGGGGTGGGGTGGAGCAGCGGCGGATGCTTTGTTGGATCGACTCCAGTGAGGACTTGAGCTTGGGGAGTGAGGGCCTGCGACGGCGGGACGGCGTTGATGACGGGGAGGATGAGGATGATGAAGATGTGGAAGGGCGCCGCTCGGGAGTTGGTTCCTCGCTCTCCTTGTGTGAGTGGTGAGGCTTTCTGCGGCGGCGGCGGGAGCGCTTCTTCTTGAGCTTGGTAGTGAAGCTCATTGTGTCTTCGTCTTGCGCCACGGACAGCTGCTCAGAACGGTGTCCTGCCTCTGCTGTCTCCTGCTCTTCCTCCTCTTCTTCAGGAAGACCAAAGCCGCCGAGCTCCACGTCCAATAGCTCCCTGCTCGCGGCCGCCACCGCCGCGCTCGGGCTCGGGAGCTCCTCGTCGCCGTCATCCGAGACGACGCTGGTCTCAGCAGAGAGGCCACCATACGGCGGCGGTCTGGCGGTGCTGCTCCTAGCCCACGAGTCGTCGCCCATGACGGGCGCGAGGGCCTCGTCCCAGCTGTCCTTGCGCGCGAGCACCACGTTCTCAAAGTCAAACTCGCGGACGGTGGCCGTGTGCGCGTTGATGAGGGCGCTCAGCTGCGGGGCGTTGACGCGCGCGTTGCGGACCTGCAGATACCGCAGGACGGGGAAGTGGATGGGCGCGCGCGGGGGCCGCGTGGGCAACGGCGACATGGGCGACGTGACCTCGTGGAAGAGTTTCTTGGAGGCGCGCGGCGGCGCAAATAGGGGATCGCCAGACAGGGCGACGGGGCAGGGCCCAGGCACGGCGCCGACCCAGGAGAAGGCGAACTTTTCCAGCCGGGGCGCGAAGAAGCGCACGTAGTCGTCGATGATCTTGAGGTGGTCCAGCCCCGGGGAGGAGGGGGCGTAAAAGTCCCACGCCTCGACCGAGACGTGCAGCTTCTTGATCTGCCGCCAGCGGCGGGCGGCCGAGGGCACGCAGCCGACGCCCGAGACGTGGCGCAGGTAGTTGAAGGCCGCGGGGTGGACCGACGAGAGGGACAGCTTGGCGAGCTTGGCCAGCGGGGAGCGCTCGACGGCGATGCGCAGGCTGATGAGGGCGTAGTCGACGACGTCGCGGCGGTAGCGCTCCGCGGGGTCCTGGCCGGGGCAGCGGATCGTCAGGTGCCGCAGGTTGGGCACCATGCCCACGGCGTTGATGAAGCTGGGGACGTTGGTGGCGGCGTGGAACAGCGGCGGGTACTGCTGGGTGAGGATCTCGGCCAGCTCCGTGTTGGCGTACTTGGGCCTGGCGAGGGCGGACCCCATGCTCGTGTGCGGCGAGTAGAGGAAGCATATCTCCTGGCCCGTGGCCGGATGCACGAGCGGCGGCAGGAAGGTGGCGTCCGAGTGCGGCATGTAGAAGATTAGGTGCTCGACGTGGTGGCCGACGCGGGACAGGGCGTCGAGGCGACAGGGGCGGGTGAAGGACGAGGAGGTGAAGGTGAGGTGCAGGCGGGTGAAGAGCCGCTTGGTGAGGAGGTTGCAGCAGGCGGAGGAGGAGACGCGCAGGGCGCAGAGGTCCGTGGTGGAGAGGTGGTTGGCGAGAGAGGACTGGATGGTGTCGCTCCTCAGGAGGGCGAGGAAGAGCTGCTCTGTCGAGGCCATGGCGGTCTCATGCTGGGTTTGGGCAAGGCGAGTTGAATTTGTGATAGTGATGATGATACGGTGGTTGGTGTTGTAGCTGTGGCCTTGCTGACTTTCTAGAGATAAGCAATACTGACGGTGCTTGTACCCCGTAGACAAGAATGTAATCTGTTGCAGTTGTAGAAGAGAGCCTTTGACTGTGAGGTTGTGGCTGAGAGCAGGTGCCGGTGAGGCGCAACTCGTAGAGTCCAGTCCTTGAGGTTGTCGTAGTCGTTGTCGTTGTCGTCTGCAGTCGTCTGCAAGTTAAGCCAACTCACTTAGACTTAACCGCCAACCTTGACGCCTGATGAGAATAGAGTTGAATTAAGGTCGGGGCCCCAGGCCGCAACACGAGCGGCCGGCATTCGAATATATCCCGCCCACTCGCGCGTCGCGCCCTCTTCCACCTCTCTCCCTCTCTCGCACACTCCTCTCTCACCCATCAGTCCCCTCTCGCTGATCAACCGCCCCCCTCCCTCCCCTGGCCTGGTTGCCCCTGGACCCCGGCTCGTCGAGTCCATCGCTCGCCTTCCCTCCTCCTGCCCCCACCCTCTTTCTCCATCCCCTCAACGGGAAAGGAGGGAGACAGAGGGGGGACAGAAAGGGTCCGTCCGTCCACTCCCTCAGCGCCCGCCTCCATCGCGAAATCGACTGGCTGGCGGTGACTCACGGACAAAGCCCTCCCGCGTGGGCGGACAGGACGCACGTCTCGCGACAAGCGCGTCAGGCACCGCGCCAGGCCATCTCGTTGGCCGGATGTCGCTGCGTCCAGGTGTCGCGCTCCACCGCGGTGCAGAGTCGCAGATGGGCCGGCCAGTGGGAGGTGCAGCTGCGGGACGAGAGAGGCTGGGGCTGGGAGGCGGACAGGGCGACATGGGTGCGGAAGAAGACTGGATGGAAGACGGTAGCAGCGACGACGCGCTATCGATAGCGAGTGCCGCGTGCCGGGTCCAATGGGAAAACATGCGCCCAATCAGCGGGGTCGTCCCGACGCGGGGCCGTGAAACACGCGCGCCGGGCGCCACTGAGGCCACGCGGAGCAGCCACGCGTGGCGCCGTAGACTCACGTCGTGTCGCTTCACTGGATTGTTGCCCGCCGATGCGCAACCAACACCATACGCACGCTACGGCTCCCCACACGCGATGCCCTCTCACTGACCTCATCGCGCCTCTCGCCTCAGGGTCCTCACCACATTTTCACGAGTTGTCCAAACCTCACAACCGCACCGCCGCCAGACCCTGCAGAATCTTAAAGCATGCGCAATATGCACTCGCCATGTGCTCACAAACACCACAGGCCCGTGTAGATTCCCATCATCCACAACATCTCACCAACCATCTCGTCGCGTCTACGCCGTATCCCTCCCGTAGGCCCAAGAAACGGGCCATCGCCAGCCACTCATCCTCCCGTCCCGACGCTAAAGAAGGAATGGAGGAAAAAGCCTCAAGTCCGCCTCGCCGGCTTCCTTCCCGGCAGCAGCCCTCAGACAAGCATGTATGTTATGTGTGTCTTCATGTTGCCACTAGCACTGCGCACATGGCCCATCCCGTTTCCCGCAAACGCCCCATGTCCTGTTGCGAGTTACGCTTCTTCCCGAGTCCTCAACACCCCTGTTTGGCAAAACTCCCCCCCAACTCCAACGCCAGCCTATCACGCGCCAGACGCGTTTCCCACATCGAAACATGCATTTCCATCGGCCAAGTCCACCCCGTTTTCACTGGGATTTGGCTGGATAACGACACTTCTCCATGTGTCGCAGGCCCGTTCGCGTCGAGTCTTCGCGAGCCAAGCGATCGACACCCCTGGCGCGCCTTGAAAACCCTCCTTTCGGAGCATCGCGTTCATAATGTGCCTGTACGCTACGGAGTCTTGAGTATCGGCAAACTCATGCCGCTTTCGCTGTTTGTCACTCCACAAGTCAAGATGAGAAATCGCAAGGTACCACCCAACGGCGCCCTCCGTAGCTATTGCCTTTGCTGCTCTACCATTCAAATACAAGGGTATCACAAATGCTCCTGGTATGCCACCATGATTCGATGCACCTGGGACCATCATCGCCCAGTCCACGCCCATCGCATGCAAGTCGCTCCGAAGCGTACCTCGACGCGCTCATCACTTGGCGCGACCCCGTCCCCTTCCACGGCCTTTGCCACCGCCACCACCAGCGCGTCCGCCTCGCCCTCCGCGGCCGCCACGGTTCTCACCCTGTGACCGCGATCCGGACAGACCTGGCGGAGGGGGCATGTTGTGGTAGCCCCCGCGTGACGAACCGCCACGAGCCGGCGCGCCGCCTCTGCTTGGCGCGGGCGGCCTGGGGGGCAGCGATGAGCCTGGCTGCCGGGACTGCGAGTTGGAGGATTGCGGACCAGAAGGTGCTCCTGGGGGTCCAGGTTGGCCCCGTTGGTTTCTGTTTCCGCCGTTAGAGCCGCCATTCGCGCCGCCGCCGGGCATCCTGATGTTGCTCGACATGCGCATCTGGCCGACTCCGGTGGGCTTCTTGACCAACCTATTACCAAGAAACTCTGTATCACTGTCGTCGCTCTCTGCGTAGTGAATAATTGTGCTCCGGCCGCTGTGTCCGCGGATCCTGAGGTCTGGGCCTTGCGTGGCCGTTCCATTTGCGCGCCTGTCTGCCGCAGCGGCGTCCTCAATGGAAAGGGTGTTGCTCTCTCGGTCCGTATACTTTTCGCGCGTCGCCAGCGAGTAAGAAGGGTTCGCCGGGTATTGACGCGAAGAGCAATCGGAAAGATAGTGCTCCTTTCCACCGCAAATAGCACAGGAGACGGGGACACTGGCAACCTTCTTGGTGACCTCGGGGCCTCCCCGGAACGTCCGCCACAAGGTCAGGCAGTGATTCTCGAGGTGGTCGGTCGCAGAGCAGTACGCACACACGAGACCGTCGTCCTCGGTGACCTTGACCTTGGCGGTGCAGTTGTCCCCCCGGTGGCCAAGCTGGCGACACTTTCCACAGCGTTCCCTTGTGGGACACGCACCATCCCAGTGACCCGTGTCCAGGCAAAACTTGCAGTGCGTGTTGGGGCAGTTGGCTGACGTGTGGCCCTCGCAGGCACAGGTCAAGCACACGTTGCTCGGGTCGTCGGCAGAAGGAAAGTACCTGCGCTGCAGTGCGAGCTCCTCCGCGCTCGTGAGCACAGGAGCCACGGGCAAAGATGCCGCAGCCGGCTTTGTGACATCGCCGTTGGCCTGTTGCGACTGCTGAGGCGGCTGTGCCTCTGCGTTGCTCCCAGCTGACGGCGTCGAGTGCTGGGGAAAAGACGCCTCGGCGGGGGCTTTCGAGGCGGCGAGTCTCCGACGTTTGGCTTTCGCGGTGGTTCGCGTCATCTCCAGCTGCTTTGCGAGGGCGCCCGACTCCTCTGCCTGCTTGGCTGCCTGTTTCGCCGCCTTCCGCTTGGCCAACTTGAGGCCGCTGTGATTGTCCAGGTAGTATGCGTACGCGGCGACGATGAGCTGCGACGTGAGCGAGTCGGCCTGATCGATGTTGTGCTCGACGAAGACGTGTGCCCAGTCTTTGAGGCGGGAGGGCCACGAGCCGGCGCGCGTCTTGGGCAAGGCGGGGAGTTTGAAGGAGCGAGAATCGAGGATCCAGTAGTGCGCGTCGTCGGGCATGAAGACGCCGGAGGGGAGGTCTGATGTTGCCTCGGAGACGTCGTCTGGCACGGCCGGCTGAGCAGCGTCTGCGTTTTGTGCAGGTGCGGCTTGGGCCTGAACAGAGCCCGCGGTCTCTGGGCCTCCCGGCTGGCGGGCAGTTGCGCTCGCAGTGAATGCTCCAGCTGGCGCTGCCTGGGGCACCACAGGCGCCTGCAGCTGCTGACCTCCAGCTTGTAGCCGCGACGTCTCTGAGACTTCGCCAGGACTCCTCCTCTGCGCGCTGTGAGATTCACCAATCTCTCCCTCCTCGGACCCTGAGCTGTCGCCGCGCACGGGACTGCTCAGGCGCAACCTCTTGGACGAAGGCGCACTGCTCAACGACGATGACTCGCTCCGAGCAGGGCTCTGGTGAGCACTTGCGCGCGCTCGCTTCCGGCCCTTGACGAAGTCTTCCTCTTCGCTCGAGTCGATGAGGATGACATCGCCCGGTACCTCATCGTGTGAGGCCATCTTGAACTGTGCCGCCACCACACTGCGCGGGCGGGCTTTCACCGGTGAATCGCGGGCGGACTCGTAGTGGCTTTTCTGAAAACTTGTTGCCGCGCGTGCAGTAAATAGGCCATTAAGCTCCGAGAAAGTGTTGAGATAAGGTGAAGGTGTGAGAGCAAAGGTGTACGCCTGGGGCGCGTCTCGGCTTGGGCAGATTGGGCACGTCGGTGCGCGCAGGTGGCGGATGAGAGCTGGCGGTGGTCCTTTCGACTCACTCAAGAGGACTTTTTCCCTTCAATGGAAGCAAAGCGCTTGTTGCAAGCTTTCCGGGCAGTCTTGCGCAGCTTATTCGTAGTTGAGACCGATGAGAATCAACTCGCATCCGTGGATCACGAAGATGTGTCGCGGCGAGGCTCTTGGATCAAAAAATTCCAGGAGCCAATCACACGGCGTCATCGCCAATGGGCGGTCCGCCCTGACCAGCCGCCTGTTCCTCAAGCACAGCCAGCACATCCGGCACCAGCTGGCGGACCGTCCAGTCTGCCGGGGGTTAACCGGGAACCTGTCCCGCTGGCGCGGTCCCCTGGTGCCGCCGGGAATGCGGACCAGCGCCGAGCCGGCGGGTTGGCTGCTGGCTCCACTGTAATTTGGACGGCGCAGCGGCTCGCAGCGCAGGGTCTGAAGTCTGTCTGGAGTCTCGAACCTTTCCCTGTTGCACCAAAACGAGATCGCGCAAGGCTGTGTACGAGCGCTCCCGCGATGCCCGCCGGCCCCCGTGGATTTCGGGTTTCTATATATAAAGTTTTGTAAATGCGTTCGCGCCGTCGAGGGGGAACCGCCGGGAGATTTGCATCTCCGCCCTCGCCGGCCGGATCGGCAGGGTAGACAAGGGGCCGCCCGAAGAAATGTTGCATCGCCAGATGCTGCGACCAAAACGCATGTCTTTTTGCCGAGATGACGAGTCCTTATGCGCAGGGCAGTCCCCCCCAACAAGGCCGCCCCGTGGACTCTCCACTCCCAGCTCCGGTCGCCAGCAGTGATCGGACGAGCGAGCTGTGTTACGTCTTGGAACATCATGCTCTCTGCGTCCGGCAGAGTGCAGGACTTGGGAGGGGGCCACACACATGCCTAGGGTAGGGGACCTAGGCGTTGTAGACGCCGGAAGATTGAAGCTGGGATTGAAGACAGGGAAGGTAGATAGGTACTTGGGCGATGCACCCATCTGCTGCGAGTTGTCAAGTACATCCGCCCGGGCGCGAGAGCCCGTGTTGCGCTGCCGCCGCCGTGCTGCCAATGCGCAAAACCACCTGCGAATGAGCTGCATGGGCGGCTGCTCACATGCCCTGCAGCGATGCACCCTGCAGAACGCCCCGACGCACGCTGGGGAATGGAAAAGGCCAAGCTTCGGCAGCGAGAAACACGTGTCTCACTGTCGCGGGAGCTGCTGGCCGGGAGCTGGCGAGCTGGGGTGCGCGCTGCCCGCTGGCCACCTCAGTGTGGCGGCGGCGCCAGCCCTGAAGGTCATCAGCCCGTCTGCCGTGGCGCGGCCTGTGCCGCCGGGACGAGTGCCCGCGCTGTGCTGTGCTGCGCTGCTGTTTGGGCGGTACCTCCCCGATGCTCCCAGGTACCTGAGCAGCAGCGAGCGCCCGCCCCGTCGGCTGCCTTCCATTGCGCGTCCCCGGGGGGTCCCCTTGGTCGCGCTGGGCCCAGCTGCTGGGTGCTCTGCTTAGGTTGCTTGGCCCCTTCCCAGCAAGCGGACAGTGGACACGTAACCTGCCCGAAGGGACGGGACGGACGACTGCCTTGAGTCCGGGCAACAGGCTACCTACCCAGGGTGCCTGAGCAATGTCCTCGCAGCGGTCTTGCAGTGGATTGATTGCCCGTCTCTTAGGTGCGCGGCCATTTCGATCGCCTGCCCGGAGCCTGGCCTGTCACTGACGCCGGTGGTGCTGAGGTCGACTCGGGCCCCCCTGCCCACCTGCCACACGCCCGGGCTTCAGGTCCAACTTCCATCCCATGCATCCATCATCCATGGTGAGGCGGCGAGGAACGGGGGGTGGAACCTCAACGCTCCACTTCCACAGCGGCGGGCCTGCAGCGCCCCCATTTGCCAGCAGCCTCCACCGTCCCCGACGTCCCTCCGTGCTTTCCACCGTCCCATCCTCCGCCATCATCATCACCACCACCACCACCACCCGCGTACCTCAACCACCACCGCTGCCGCCTCCGGAAACCGCCCACGACTACCGACACGAGTGCGTGGGCCCGACTGCTCCTTCAGCCTTCTCCATCTGTCGTCTCGTTTCCTACCCGTCCGCATCTCCAGCCGCCGTTCACTCCAGGCGCTGTGCCCCTCGTTCATCACCGTTTTGCCGTCGTCGTCGCCCGTCGTCGTGGTCGTCGCCTGACCCGCGCCAACTTTGTATTCGTAACGCTGTTCTCCGTGCGTCGCCGCCCGACTTCAGACATCCCGCCACCCCGCGTCTTCCCGTCCCCCCATCCGTCCGATCCCTCGACCTTGACGGCGATTCTCTCTTGATTCTGGCGTGCCGGGGTTCGACGCGAGGCAGACACAGAGCCTGCATCACCGCCTGCCGTCCACGCGAGCTTCGCTGCCCGTCGTCCGTGCTATCCACCAAAGCCGCCTCCGCGTAGCTGCTCGCAGACATCGGTGGGAGCCTCCCCTCGCCCCCCGTCCCGACCATCACGAGCTAGGGGAGCCAGTCACCGCTCTCCTCTCTCCTCCCCCCAGACCCGCCATCTTCCCCGACGAACCCGCCAATACCGCCAAGCTGTCTTCCCCAATTCTCCTCCAGCGAACCGTCTCCTACGACGCGGGAACCCGCCCGCCGCGCCGAGGAAGCATCTACCTCGACATGGCCGACCGCGACAATGGTGCCCGCCGGAGGAGATCGAGCAGCATCCTCCAGGTGTATCACGAGCCCCCCGAGACGCTCGAGCAGATCAGTGATCAGGCGGCCCTGCCCAATCTCAACGCCAACTGGACCAACGCAAAAGGTAATTCTCTCCTTGTTCTCCCTCCCCCGGCGTCGGACCGGTGCCCGCCCCAGAGTTGCTGCGTGCTGACATGCTGCGACGGTAGGAGCTTGGACCATCCACATTGTCCTGATAGCTTGCCTCAAGATCTTCTATGATGTGATCCCCGGCGTGTCCCAGGAGACTTCGTGGACGCTGACCAACATGACATACATGTTCGGCTCGTACCTCATGTTCCATTACGTCCGCGGTGTGCCCTTCGAGTTCAACAGCGGCGCGTTCGACAACCTAAACATGTGGGAGCAGATTGACAATGGCGCCCAATACACGCCCACCAAGAAGTTTCTTCTAAGTGTCCCCATTGTCCTGTTCCTCCTGAGCACGCATTATACCCACTACGACCTGGCCTATTTCATCATCAACTTTCTTGCAGTCCTGGGTGTTATTATCCCTAAGCTGCCTTTTGTGCGTTTGCCCCGTCCAGTCCCAGCCTCCGGCGTCCGAGACCGCCGCAATTGTGCGGACTGAGCTAACCAGAGTCTCACGTGCAGAGCCACCGTATGCGATTCGGTCTATTCTCTGGCCTCCCTGAGGAGTGAGTGGCCCGGCGGGGCTTGCAGCAGGCGTACCTGCGGAGGTGATTTGCAGAATCCGCACAAAAGCAGGCACGGGAGCAACAAACTCAATGGCGGGAGGAGGCACGGGGCCGAGAGGCGGAGCCAGGGGAACTCAAGTCAAGGTGGATACATACCATAGCGAGCATAATCGGGCACAATAGCTCCAGAGGCTGTCGCCGCAAGTTGTCGTGGTTCAGTAGCTACGGGGGCAGAATTGGATGCAGAGCAGAGATCAATAGCGTTTGTGTGTTTTACCCCCTTCGTTCACTGTCCTCCCCTTTTGACTACCGTCCTCGACTCCTCGCTGGCCATTGATGAAGACGCGCTGACGCGGATGAAGTCACGTTCGTCCCAGACGCGTCCCGAGGACCGGCGTCTAATATACTTTTTCTTGTGCATGCGTTGACGCGCCGACGGCCAAGCCGCCCCCTCTCCCCGCTGCAAGCCACACCGGCAAGCTGGGGCCGAAAAACGATGGGATCACCAGTCTCCTAGCGACGATACGTTGCGGTGGTGACGGCCATTACCTCTTGACCCGCCCAACAGTGTTGAGGTGGCTTGCCTTTTCGAAACCGGGAGAGGGAAATCGCGGAGTCGCTGGTGGGATCTCGACGACTCCGGTAGCATAGACGATGTGCAGCGTGAGGGGTGATGAAAGAGAGTTTGTCCTGAACCAACTGGGTCCGCGTGTGAAGCGCGAGGGACAGAGTTGCCGAGTCAAGTCCACAGCTCAATCACCAGCCCTCCTGAGGATGGACGTGTCTGTCTATAAAGCGAGGCTGTCTTGCCAGTCTCTTGTCTTCGCAACTCACTCCCTTTACTCACCAGGAGTCAGACACTCGCTTACACAACGATCTATACCGTCTTTACCACACTCGCTCCTCAACTCTTCAACTCTCTTCGTCTTTGACAACTTGCAAGATGCACGCCAAGTCTGTTGCTGTGCTCGCCCTCGCTGGCGCCGCCGCGGCGGTCGCCGCCCAGCAGGCGCCCAAGGACGAGCTCATGGACGCCCTTGCCCGTACCGAGGCGCTCGAGTTTGGCCGCGCCGGTGATGAGGAGACCAAGGAGATTTTGCTCGAGGAGACGCTGGAGGAGGAAAACCGCGAGGACGAGCCGGTCGTGGTCCCTGAGCTCCAGGCCGGCCACCACCAGCTGCAGAACGGCAACACCAACGTCAACGGCGGCTGCAACAAGTGCGGCTGCAAGGAGCCCGGCTGCTGCGCGTGCCCGACGCACACGCCCAAGCCGCCCTGCCCGCCCAAGCCGACCAGCAAGACCAAGGTGACGCACACGCACACCGTCACCAGCTGCGGGCCGCACAATCCCGACTGCCACCACCACACCAAGTGCCCTCACCACCCCGACTGCCCTCACCAGTCCAAGACGCCCAAGCCCACGGGCCCTTGCACCACGAGCAAGCCCGGCCACCCGCACCCGCCCCCCAAGCACGGGCACAACTCGACGATGCCTCACAAGCCTCACCCGCCTCCTCCCCACAACACGGGCAAGCCCGGCCACTCGGGCCACCCTGGCCAGCCCACCCACGTTCCCGTCAACAGCGGACACGCCGTCGTCGCCTCGGGTCTTGGCCTGGTCTTTGCTGCTGCCGCGGCTTACTTCCTGCTCTAAGCGGTTGAGAGGCCAACAGACGCAGCAACAGCAGCAGCAGCAGCAGCAGGAGTGCGTGCAGGCGCAGCCCTTCTCGGATTACGACGTGTTGCTCTCTTTTGGGGGTTTTCTTTTGTTCATGGGGGCGCCATTGGAGTTTTCTGCGCGGGACCGTCGACTCGGGCTTGATCCTGTGCAGACGGGCGTTGTTACGATTTGACGAAAAAAGGGGTGGCTGGACGGTTGTTGTGCTGTTGACGAAACGGGAGGGGGGGTTGTGTTGCTGGTCGGAGAGAGGGGGTGCTGCCTCTGCTTGCTGCTACTACTACTGCTGCGGTTACTGAACGTTTGGATGGGTGCGGGGACATCGTGGAGAAAACGGGGGAGACAGTTCTATGACGACGAGAGACGGACAGAGGAGAGGGGGGGCCAGAAAGGGGGGCTGGGGATGGGGATGGGGATGGGGATGGTTGGACGGGGCAACGGGTTGTAATACATGGCGGAGACGGAGGCGTATACGGCGGATGGGGATGCGGTGGATAGTGGTTGTGGTTGTGGTTGTGGTTTTTGGCTTTTCTTCTCCTTTGTCGGTCTAGACAGAAATGGATTGTTGTTGTTAGTTTTCTTCTGGCTTCTGCATCTGCATGAGAGGGAAAATAGAGCTAGTACGCATCAAACGACACTCCGTATACCTGAACTAGAATCGGTCCAGCGGCCTCCTATGCGCGTTTTTGCGTGTTGATAAGTGAATGTGGCGCGCCTTGGGACTGGAGAAAAAGGGGGCGGCGGGCGGGCGGCGACGTGCCGATGCGCGCATGCAAGCCACGACTCTGTATGGACACGGGTATTGCAGGATACCTGAGATGAGCAGGGCATGTGTGGCGCGGGACGATGATTTGGGGTGTGATGAGGGGCCTCGATTACGCGTAGATGGGTTGCCTGGGTGCGATTGTTTGGGGGGGAGGGGCATGCGCAGCGGACGTTGTTGTCTGGTCCAGATCCGGGGTGCGAAACATAATGAAAGATGAAAGATGAGAGGGGGGCTGGTACTGCATAAGCCTGCTTAGACGCGGGACTTGATCAATGCGTTGGAATCTAAGATGACATGGAGATCTACGAGGACTCATAGATAGATCATAGGTATCGCAATCCGTTGCGCAGGGAGTTGTTTGCGCTCAGCTCGCGGGCTTGTAGTACACGCGTAAGTGGTTTGACTGTCTTCAGACTGTCAATGATACGAGGGGGGAGACAAGAAATAAGAAAGTCTAGATAGGTAATTGTTGTGGCAGCGACATGGAGTTTGCGCCGGCGTGTGTGGGCCGTGGTGATATTGCTTGACGGCAAATAGCAGGAGTCCTCGTGTAGCACCAGCCGCAGAGTGACTCCCTCCGGAAATGCGATCCCGCGAGCGTCCAGGTAGTACCGAAGAGATGTGAGACTCTTTACGGGTTACATGGCGGGGGCAGTCGTGGCATCTTCAGGTTGACGGCGCACCAACGCTTCAAGATTTGGTCGTCGGGTGTAGCCGCGCCGTTGAAGGCAGGGGATCACGGCGATGCCCACCTCCCTATCTTGTTGCGCAATATCGAAGGGCGCTTCAGTGGAAAAGGCACCTTCCATAAGCTTGCCATACTTGCTCAAGAGCTGAGGGACATTGAAGTCGGACATTGCTCAGCTCGCAATTCACTGTGGAGAATGACAGGGCGACAATCATTTATGCCTGGCCTCCAAAATGAATAACGATTAAAGTGGCATCCAGATCAACCAAGACGAGGTGCTGTAGCACTCACTCCAGTACTTATAAGCACAACGTTTCAACAAGTCACTGGCAAGTTTTAATCATCGATGTTCGGAAGCACTCATAGCCGAGACGAGACGAAACGTCGCTTCGTGAATACTCGAGCAGATCACACGGACGATGAGAGTTCAAGATGCAAAAGCAGGGGCACCCTTGCCTTGAAAACATTGAACATGAAAGTGAAAGCGGGCGTGTGGAGCTGGTGCGCGTTCGGCGCGACGGTCTGCTGGAGTTATGCATGAATATGTGCCTTGGCAATGGCTTAGTAAAGCCGTATGGCGTACAAAGTTCCTGGGAGCAAAGAGAGGGCCGAAGGTTCACTGCCCATGTGTAAATGGCCATATATTATATGTAATGTGGGTAAGTGGTCACGAGTTCGGCGCCCAGCCGAGTATATGTACACACGCGCTGACGAAAGGGACAGCACATTAACGCCAAGTGGATGATACGAGGACCAAAGCCTTTTCTTCTCCATGCGTACTCACGCCATAACCGTTCTTCGTGGTCCATTCGTGTTGTACCAAGCTGAGGCGGGGAGACTGTTATAGCAAGGTTACACCGTAGATTGAGGAGGGAGGAGTTAAAATGCAAAAGCATGGCGCTCCCTCCATGTCATCCTCCCGCAACATTGCAAGGAGAGACATCACAGAGACCAAACTCTCGACTGACAATACACTCGACCAAGGACTCCAGCCACAGCTTTTGCCCCATCTTGGACGTTACAAACGACATCCACCATGCACGCCATCAAGACCATTGTCGCCTTCATGGCTGCCGCGGCTCATGTTGTCTCGGGCTCTGCTCCCCCTATGCCACTCAAGCTCACCGTCGAGAACCGATGCGACTTCTCCATCAGCTCGTGGCTTCTCAGCAACGTTTCGCAAAAATGGTCGGTCGGCAAGACGGAGTCAAAGACGTGGAACTTTGAGCTTGGGGAGAAGGACCGCGACTTAGTCGAGCTTGAGATGCTAGGCAACTCGGAGTCTCATCTCAAGGAAGACGACGACCCTCGGTCCAACAGTACGCTGAAGCCGTTTCGGGCGGGTGTCTACTTCAACGTCATGCCCCTGGAGGAGTCCCATCCCACGTACACGAAGCCCGTGGAGAGGCCGCTCTACTATGGCTTGGCCAACCTCTCCGGAAGGAGGCTTCTCAAGTCTGGGCATATCAACCTTGAGGACTCCGAGTCCAAGTGCCCCGAGATTTATACGCAGACTGGTCTGGAGAAGGACGCCCAGGTGGACGAGACCTGTAACACCACGGCCCCGCACTTTACTCTTGTACTTTGCGAGTGAGTTGGCGATGGCTTGAGTTGGGTTCGAACCATGCTGTCTTGGGAGAAAGGGGGCTCGGATCTAAGAGCAGGGTCCAAAAGGGGGCGAGAGAAAACCCACCAGGGCTAAAGCATCGAGGGCTAGATGTACGAGGCGAGTATGAGGGGAGGAATACACACTCTCGGATCATATGGTTCGTCACAACTCCACAGTGTCAGCCGACAGCATGTATTGTTCTGCCCCAGCCTCGTTGCCTTGGTCGAGGACACCCCACGACAGAAACAAAGATCTTGCCGTGAATTTTCACACCTCGAGTACGTGAGGAAAAGAACGGCATTTTATCGATGAGTCAGTACCGTGAAGGCGCCCGCGGCGTGCGTTTCATTCAGTTCAGTTCTAAATCCGACGATCGCCATCATCTCCAACGTGGTCAGGTTCGTGTTCGGGTGAGGGATGACGGCCATGGTGTTGTATGTACGTCAGAATCAGGATTCGGACCCTGTTACGTGAATCCCAAGGCCACCTTCCGAATAGGCACCGGCTAGGATCACGTCTGGGCTGGACGTGCGCTGCGCGCGTGTGCTATCATTAACCACCATCAAACTGTTCCACTTTCCAGGTCCATAGCATGTGTATGTACGAGCATCTTCTCTTTTTATGTGTTTCCGTATATGTTGACTTGACTCGACGGGTTGACAACGCAATAAAAAGACGGGTGGAACGTTCACTGCAAGTTTGGCAGACAGCCTTCACGGGCCTGTTGGTCGCGTCCTCCGACCACATGCCGCCCAGCGGGGTGCAACGCTCGTCAACAATAAGGTGCAGCCACCGTCACCGGCCTCAGCCCACTTAGGAAATAAATCGCGGAAGTCCCAACGGTCCCTTGATAACCAGACCAGGCAGCACCAATAACGGCTGATCCGCCCATGGCGCTCCCCATGCCGTGCAGCTCCCTCTCGGAGATATATCACCATCACCGGCTCGCACGCCGCACGTCGTCCCGGGACGTCGGCGGGCCTAGCGCTGACGGCCATGGGCGCCCGCCGTGAAAGCCGTCCCCTCTTCAGCCGGTCTCCGAGATACCGGAAGCGGGGTGGGCGGCCGGCGGGTCATGCCCATGCCCATGCCAGTTTGGCAGCAGCAGCAGCCGCCAGGCAACCCTACCTCGCCCTGCAGCTCAAGGCGCGCGCGCCGGCGGCTGCCCGTCCGGGGATGGGGGGACCTGGGATGGATGGGTGCAACTTTCGGCGACGGGACGCAACAGGCGCGCGGGGCCGGGAGATCGGGATTGTGGGGGGGAGCCACTCTCGGAGGTCCGAGCCACCAATTCGCTGCTGCCGTGCGTAGCAGGAAGTCGTCGTCGCGGGTCCCTGTCACGTCAGGCAGGTCACGTCAGTTCCGTGCGTGCGGAGGAAGGAAGCGAGGTTAAAGCGGGAGTGAGTGGATGTATGTTGGCTCGTCGCCTCGGGGAGGGGCAGGGGAGGGGAGGAGGGGCCAGAGATGAATCCCGCGCGGGTGGGATATTAACTTAGTATATCACCTCGGAGGTAGAAGTATATAAAGTTCTCGTCGTCGCGCGCTCCGTCTGGATGATAATCACCACCGCCGCTTCATCTTCATCATCAACCTCCTCCCCCTCACTCACTCATCCACTCCCCCAGCGGCGCAACGTCTCCCTCTCTCATCAAACACCACCTCTTCCTCCTCAAAGAAGCTCTTAAGAGACAGCCCATCATGAAGGAAGGCGGCACGCCCCTCTACGCCACGCCCGCCCTCGGCGACGTCGTCACCGACTACGCCCGCGCGCACTCGTCGGCGCTGCCCCGCCACATCGTCGACTACCACGCCGACGCGTCGGGCAAGCGCGACGACTCGGAGATGCTGAGCTCCAACTTTCAGTCGCAGCTGCAGCTGCTGCTGGCCAACTCGATTGGCGCCAAGCAAAGTATGCGCCTTTTGCCTTTGCCTTTGCCTCCCCCTCTGTTGTGTTGTGCTCGTTGTGTCATCCTTGGGGGTCCCCGGATGCTGCGCCGTGTGTGTGTGTGTGACACGAGGCGAGGCGGCTATGCGTTTATCCGCGGGCAGCCCTTCTGTCATTGGACTTCAATGCCTTTCCGGTGACCGGCTGGCTCGATGACCGACTCAATTGACTGACGAAATGTAGTCCTCGAGATTGGCGTCTATGTCGGCTACTCCGCCATGGTGTGGTCCCACGCCGTCGGCCCGGACGGCACCGTCACCGGCCTCGAGTTCGACCCGGAGCTGGCCAAGATTGCCGGCGACGCCCTCGCCGCCCACGACATCACCAACGTCAACATTGTCGTTGGCAACGCCGCCGAGACGTATGTGTCCCTACCCTCCTTCTCTCCCCTTTCCTCCCCGGAGTCGTTACCCACTCTCCCCTCCTTCCCCCGCTTCCTTCACTCCTCCATATGTACCTTGCAACTCCAAGCGTCCGCGTCTGACAGCTATTTGCACCAATCCACAGCCTGCCCAAGCTCCCCGCGCCCCCGGGCTCCTACGACCTCGTCTTCCTCGACGCCGACAAGACGGGCTACTCCAACTACCTCTCCGTGCTGCTCGCGCGCTCCAAGCCCACGGCCCCGCCCGCCGAGCGCCTGCTCCGCCCCGGCGCGCTCATCATCGCCGACAACGTCCTCCGCCGCGGGCACGTCGCCGACCCGAGCCTCGGCGCGCCGCCCTCGGCCCGCAACAGGGACGCCTGGGACGAGCACATCGCCGCCGTGCGCAGGTTCAACGACGAGTGCGTCGCCGAGCCGCGCCTCGAGACGGTGCTGCTGCCGCTGTGGGATGGCGTGAGCATCATGCGCCTGCGTGATTGAGCACGGCATGCTATTATCCGCGGATGTATGTTTGCACCGAAGCTCACGAGACAGACAAAGGCATGGTGACATGAGTTGGAATAATATAAATTTTTCATATAATACTTGGGACTTGCATAGAAAACGTCAAGCCGTCGATAGCAAATGGGATATCATGTCTTGTCTCGCGAGAACAAGCTCATCGTCTTGCGTCCGGTCATAAAACCATAAACTCTTGACGCCGCCTTTACCAGACGCCGCGCCAGTACATTACCACTTCCGTTCTGCTTCCTTCTCTCATTGAGCGTCAACCCTTGCGACAGCTACTTTGCGCGACTAGTAGCGGCCACCGCGCTGCCAGAAGCGCCGACGGGGAGCGGGCTCGGCGAAGCCCTCCTTGGAGTGCCCGACGGAGCGGCGCTTTTTGGAACGACCGGCGCAGCAGGTGATGAAGACAACGACGGCGGCGGCGAGCGTAAGGATGGCGGAGACGAGCATGAGCCAGATGCCGGGGCCCCAGTAGGCCCTCGCGCGGTCGTCGTCGTTGACCTCGTGCTTGATGATGGAAAAGGCGACAAAGTCGCAGATCATGGCGACGACGGTGACGACAAAGGAGAGCAGGGAGAAAAAGGTGGCCATGAGCGAGCCGCAGATGCCCGTGCCAAGGCAGAGCAGGAAGGCGATGAAGCACAGGCCGGTGGCGACCGGGTGCAGGACCATGACCCGCGTGAGGCCCTTGGCCGTGTTCTCCGAGGCGTCAGAGAAGTCGGTGCCGGCGATCGAGTTCATGACGAGCGCCGGGTTGTAGCCGATCCTGGCGTTGGAGCATTGGTCCGTGTTCCTGGACGGTGTTAGTGGCGTTCGTCTATTAGTCTACATGTCGCATGGTGGTGAGACGTACCTGACACCTCGGTGGCAGTAGCCAAAGGTTCCAAAGGTTACCTGCGTCCCTACGACGGTGGGCCCGAGGTCGACCTTGAGGATGGAGATGTTGTTGACGACGGGCGCCGTGATGTCGACGACGATGAGCAGCACCGTCGCGACGAGCAGCAGCAGCGTGCCGATGTGGTGAACAAACGTGCCGAAACCCATCTTGAATGCTCCGTCGTGTTTCTTTTTTGCAATGCTTTGGCTGTGCTACCAAACGGCGGTTGTCGAAGCCCGTTGCGCAAAGGTCCGTGATTTGGTAGAGCAGCTCGAACGATCTGGGGGAGGGCGACGACCCGGGATATATGCTCCCTTGTGAAACGAGAGCTCCTTGCAGGCTCTTGGCACCGGCAATCAAGACGCAAGCCTGTCCAGACTGGCCGACGTCATCAGGCCACATCC